TTTTTCAGGTGTTTTCATAATAAATGGAAAAACCAGAGAAAAAAGGTAGGAAAAACGGGGAAATTTTTGAAATATATTATTTTCAAATCGTAAATATCACATCTTTTCAAAACGTATACAATCGAACTCCGTTCAGAATCGTTTTTTGTTAACAAAGATTAATCGCTGCTTAAAGATATACATTAAATTCTCGTCTGTATTCTACCTTCCCAACTTACCATCAACAACAGTGACTGCACCCACGTGCGAAGTATATCCGTCTTTTTTTTTATTAAAATGAAATAACTTCATTCAGTAAAGACTCAGATACATTTTTCCCTATTAAGAACGTATTTACCTATTTGTTAAAATAAAAAACTTTGAAAATACTTGCAGTTTTTTACAAAGGGTGGATTCAGGGGGGTGGTATTCTCTTTCCTAAATTCACTTTTCAATATATACTCATAATTCATCATTGAGCTTGTCATAAATGCATGTTTTATATACATTTTCAAAACTGCCCGCTCCCATATCTTGTCATGGATCCGTTTCTATTTTTTTTATATATCAATATTATTAAATTATAAAAAGTTTAAACACTGAAAACTTTTAATCGCAATTACTGATAGTTTTAAAAAGTTTAAAACATATATTTTACAAGAATTAATGATTGAAATAATTAATCACGAGTAAAATGTGATAATAATATTGTCTTGTAAAGTTATAACGAAAATATTTCGATCAACTGGATGATTTCCGTTATAAATAATATCTAATTTTTTTTAGGAACATCAATTATTGCATACTACATAATATAGCGAATTAAGTATGTAAAACATGATATAAAATGCAGTTTATGAGATATATAGAGTATACCGCAAAGATATACCCATTGCAATATCTCCTGAGATAATAAAGATTAATTAAGTTGTTTTTTTTTTTTTATTATTTCTTGCTGGGATGAGAATTAAAAATATTTATATTTGAATTAAATTTGTATGATCGGCACAAAAACTAAAAAAAAAACTTTATTTCATTATTATTGAAAAATTTGAAAATAGCCATTTTATAGAGAATTCTTCTAAAAAATTTGACGTTTCAACTTTTTATTTTTATTAATGCTTAATAATTTAAATCGGAGAAAAGTCAAAGAGCTTGACCAAAATAATAAGCCAATAACTATTTTCTATTTTCTTCAAATTTATATAACTGTTTTTAATTTCAGAGATTGTAATTTTATTTTTTAATAAAAATTGGTAATTCTTCAAATTGCATTATTACTATATTACCCCCATTTATTTATTCGTACGACCTAGATAACACACACATTAAGCAATAAAAATTAACTAAGCAATAAAGACTAATATATAAAATAAATTGTATAAGATAGTATAAAATGAAATGAACTATAAATTGGTAACAGATTCTTTGGTATATATTATGGCAGTTGAGTTTTATTATATTTTAATGTCTAAGTCTTCAAGCCATTTGACTGCATCCGCAGTAACTTCATTGAGATCAACTAGTCCTCCTAGAAAATGATCTTATAGGAGAATCCTCAACAATGTGGTTAAAAAATTGGATTTAGTTGCCGCAGTTGCATTGCGAAAGGCACTAATACCCCATCGATGTAACATATATCTAGTGCGTCCATGTCCTGTTATAAATCTGTTCATCGCTAACCACTGTCTCCTGGGGAATTCAACTCCAGGGGGTTTCCCCGAAGGTTGGTCAAAAAGATAATTTATGTCAATATTGCTTGTTCTCCATTCTTCGGTCTATTTTGAAATTATTTTTAATTTTTCGGTAATTAATTTATCCGCCAATTACCAAGAAGGTTTCCTGGATTTTAATCTTTGTGTTGGGCCAAATATATAGACTATAGACCTACACTAGAGCACAGTATTCAACTACAGAATACGTTGTCAATGTCGAGATTCTGTTTGGACTTCGGCACTCCACTAGAAGTTAGCCATTAATAGGATAATAGGTTATCAAATAGTTAAATGATAAAAAAAAATATCCATACATACTTACTCCATTTTATACTTTTATGTAATATGAGAAACAATATTTTCATTTGTTATTAGTCTTATTTACAAATTTAATTTAAGACAGATAATTTTTTGATTTCAATATTTATCCCTTTCGAATCAACTGTCTAGTGTATTTGTAGTAAATGCAGAATTTGGATACACATTATAATAGTTATCTTCTTTTGACCAGAGAACTTATTTTGTTTAAGTTTAAAGAAAGTTTACCCTTTGTAAATCACTCTATATATTAGTTGAAAACTGAATTTTTTGATGTTTTTAACATAATTCAGAGACATAATATTGTGAATTATCGGTTCGAAATAAAACTGATACCACCAATATCAATTATAGGTTTAGGTATCGGCTACTCTTAGACTATTACGCATTACTCAACTAAGGCCCGGATTTTTATACAACAAACATTGTTAAATATATACATATTTATGCACATACATTTACGAAAATATGTACATATATTTATCAAAAATGTTTAAAATTATGCATATTTATACAGATAAACTTTAAAAATATGCAAATAATATATATATAACAAATACATTATATTATGTATAGAATTATAAATACTATATATATATATATAATACTAATTATATATTATAATTAAATACTTGGAAAATGGTATACAATTTTTAAATTATAAGGTATTTTTAATTTTTTTTACCTATTAATTATTATCGGACAAATTCAGTATTGTATAAAATATTTAAAAAATTATAAATATGTATAATTATATATTTTAAATGTATAAGTATATAGAACAAAAATTTGTATTAATTTTTAAATGAGTACCAACATGAAATAATAAAATGTACTTCTAAATTATCAAATTGAAAACTTCTACGATTATCACGTAGCATCATCTTGTACTTCGAAAAGCTTCTTTTCACGTCTGCCGAATTAATGATGCAAATTTGAAACAAGAAATATCTTCAGGTGACAACACTGCAAGGTCTTCATTATCGTTACTTATTTTTCCGCATATAATTCCAAACATTTTTTTATTTGTGATAATCAGGGATCAAAGTTTCAGTAAAATTTAAAATATTTTATTTAGTATTTATAATATATGCACATTTTATGTGATTGTCCAGAAATATGCAATTATTATGCATTTTAAAATAAATATGCAAAAAAAAATGAGTAGTAGAATCTACGTATTACGAAACGTTAACATATTTAATCGGAATTATTATAAATCAAATGTATAATATTATGCATTTGTATAAAAATCCGGAACTTACTCATAACAATTTTTTTCACCGACAAATTTTAAGAAAACTAACCAATAAACTATAGGATACATATAAGTGGTATAATACTGGTATACAATTTGGATCATGATATATCACAACAACAAAAATACATTACGAAGTTTTACTATTGTAATTTATGTATAAATATTATTTAATTTTAATCTTAATAGAATATTGAGTAGTTGTTTTAATTAATATTATTTAACAATTAAGGACATTAAGATGCAAGTGATACAATTACAAAGCAACTCCTAGTTTGTTGTACCAAACTACTTTCCACTTACCCAAAATTAAAACTGAAATATCTCGTCAATGGATTGACGAAAATTTAAGTTTTCAACGCCAAAATTTATTTAATTGAAACGTCAACTGTTTATGGAATTTTTAATATAGATTGCCATTTTAAAATCAAAATATAAGGGTGACAAAAAAAAAAGAAATGTAACATTTTAGAGCTGTTTGTTTTATAGGTCGTAAAAAAAAATTCTAAAAAATGTGCATACTTTTCGATATAATGATAGATTGATCACTCCGTATATAAATTACCCCTAAATAGTTAAACCTAAGTACATATAAAATGTATTCCAAATTGGCAAGTGAATTGTCACCTATAATAAAGAGCACCAACAGTGGTAGGATATACGATCAAAGAAGAAAAGAAACTTGGAAGCAGATAAACCTTAATAATATTATTAAATGGTATAGTTGAGCAACCGGTATGGGAAAGGCGAAAGGAAAGTTTAACAGTCGGTACTTGATTAATGAACAGAGTACAGGTATAGCAGGTAGTCTATAGCACACCACGCCCTTTGTTCATACAAAACGGTGACCTCTCTTGCCCTGCATTATTATGGTCAGTATGTGTCATTTTGTGCAGTGTACATAACATACATATAATATAATAATATATCAGTAGATCACACAAAATAATAAATTCGCTATCCAAACATATTTATTATAGGTTAATATTCATTGTTTAGATAGAAAAAATGATGACTATAGTTAAAAATAAAAAATCTATGCACTATACTATTTGTGTAGAACAATATTATATAACTAGTACGTATACTTAAAACATTATTTAATACTTTTATGAATATAAAATTAACATCAGTATAAATTTTAATATATTATCGTTCACTTGAAAAATATTTTTTGTTTGCATGGTAAATAATTATATATAAATACTATACTTTTCATTTAGACCAAAATCTAGTATTAGAATTAAGTCAAGAGTTTACAACGAACCATTTATATAACTTTCCCCGTTTTATGGAAATTCAATATAGTCGGGCCAAACCAGACTCTTGCAACTAACACTCCGGAAACTTTGGAGGATAGCCCGGCCGGACTATAGAATTTCCATAAAACGAGGAAAGTTAGGTTATATGTTCGTTGTAGATTCTCGACTTAGATAGTTATACAATACTAAGTTTAATACAGTTTAGTAATACTGTTTAAAAAAGAAAATACATTTTTTTTTTTTTTTTTTAATAAAACTGATAGATATACTACTGTTTTAAGAAATACGTTGTAAGAGAGGATATTATATAGAATAATTTCATTTATATCTGTACGAATCGAATATCAATTACGACAATAAACAATTCTGAACGGAGTATTATTATTATAATGTTGCTAAAGTAAACCAAAAATAAACAAAAATTGTTTAAGGTTAAGTTAGATTGGACGATTTTTATCATTTATTAAGAAAATTACAGAAAAAATATACAAATGACCACCCTACTGTAACAACTAGATTAAAATTACTACAAGAAGGTACTTATAAAGTTTTTGATAACAACAATATTTATGGTCGAAAAGTTGTTTACAGACACAAATAAATATAAATAAAAACCAAAATCTTAGTAAATGTGCTTCACTCAGAATCTATAACGAATTAAATAATTATAAAACAGAACGTTTCTACAGTAACGAGACACAGGCAAATAACTCTGTGAAATGACTCCAATATATTTTTAAATAAACGAAGAAAATGTTTACTAATTTGTCAAATACAAAAATGTTTTCGTATAAAAGTTTCATTTATCGGTCAAAATAAATAGGTACAAATATGTTTATAATAATTATAAATGTATATATTTATGTGTATTGTGTATGTATTATTATATATTATAAAATCAATGACAAAACCAAATACATGTTACATTTCGAAAATTAAATTAAAGAAATATTTAAAATTTTGAAAAACCTAACAATATTTACAAAACATAGCCGGCAATTAAAACTATTAAAATATAAAGAATAATAAAACTTAAACTAAAAACTGAAAAGAACGTATTAATTGTATTTATATAATAAAATACCGAAACACAAAATGTAATTAGGAATATATAAATTATAGAAGTAGGTATATATTGTTTGAATGTGTCCTTAATAATTCCCAACATTAATTTTACTTCAACTTTGTTGTTAACTAATTTAATAAAATATATATTAGGATTACTTTACAATGACAATTACAAACTGAATAATAATTTATAACACTATATAAGATCCGGTCGAATATGTCTACGAATTATTTGTATGGAAATGCAACAAACTTCTGTGTCGTACATTTTAAATGATTCGTCAAATATTAAAATATTAATATTGAATTGATTTCAAAAAGTATAAGTACAAAAGGAATTCTTTCATCGATAATACATGTAGCTATATTCAAACATGAAGGATTTCCCATAATCTAAAAAAATATAAACTAAAAATAACGAACTTATACGGAGGATGGTTGCGGTTATAGGTGGGTAGTTTGGAAGGTAGATAAAGTTATTTATGTACCGATAAACCATTGCTAACAAAAAACAATTCAGAGCGAAGTTCGGTTATAAATTTAAAGGTTAATAATAACTGATTTACAATATTACATATAACATATGTATATATATATATATATATATATATACCTTGTACAGATTATAAATCTTTCGGGTTAAATTTTCATCCGGACACTATTACAATACCTGTTTATTAATCTATGAACTTCATGTACCATAAACATATAATATATAGACCATGCATTATACTCATTTTATGTATAACACCTTGAAACAATCAAATGTGCGAAAGAACTAGACTCATAGTTGATTTTTCACTCAAGGAGTTCATAAACAATTTATAGAATACTCTTTGAGTTTACTTTCATTCTCAATACAATTTTGTACAGATCAATGGCACGATGGTAGAAAGTCTTTTGTCCATAGTGATCTGAGGTTTTTTTAAATAAGTTGTCAACTGATAATGATACAATGTTATCAGTTATCATTTTTTATCTCAATTATCATCAAAGAGTGCTATAAAATTGCATAATATAACCTCATTAAAAAATGCAACTATGAGTCTGTCTTTCTCGCACATATTATGTTGGTTTCAATATATTTCACTAATGCGCGATTTATATATTATACCCATGTCAATACCACACATCAAATGCAGTTTATATGTTATTACTATTACCTATATAGTTATGGATAATGTGTGTAGCCAAGTAGATATATGTTAATTAGTCCATCCGTATTAATTAACGTGACGACAATTTACCATTTAATATTCCACAACATATGCCTATTACGTATAAATATGAAGGTAAACTTTTTAAAGATCGACGGAACTGTATCTATTGGTACCTATAATGGTATATATAATAAGTATTTCAAAATAAAAAATTGAGAATATAAAAAGTTTGCTATAGAAACTATAAACAAAAAAATAACCGGTATATACTTTAGATCTGTATATTTCTATGTTCCAAATCTGTACATAATATATACTATAAAAATTATTTTTCAACACTTAAGTAATTATACATATTATATGTTAAAAACAACTTGATCAAGAGCTCATCTTCGTAGAATAAAGGAGAAATTAGTTGACAATAATATTTAAAGCAAACTTAGAGTTTGGATCACTAAAAATAATCGAAAATACTTCATATGAATTAATATAGTTGGGTAATCAGGACTATAGTGGAAAGTATATATACTCCGTATACCTTTTGATCAATACGAATAAACACCGTATAATTTCTGGTCATGGTCGTATACTCTCTGTCATAGTGAAATCACAAAATGTATTATACAAATATTATTATTATTATTATTATTATTATATTTATTATTTTAATTTTTGATTGATTACGAAAACATAAGTTATTTATTATTTATACCCTTTACTAAAACATTAGTTTAAACAATGTACTTGAGGACATTACACTTGTACCTAATAATGATATGGTTATAACTTATAGTATACCCTCTGCTCTTTTTACAACTAGAGCACTGTAGATAATTGTATAAGTTCTATAAAAAAAATTAGGAAAAATAAATAATTATTTAGGATTTTGCATAAGGAATTTAACATTTACTAAATAGTAAAGAGGAATATACAAAAATAAATTCGAACCTTAAATGTTTATAAAAAAATGGCTACATAAAGTTCAACTTTTTTCCATTAAATACAACTTATAATGAACTACGTTTTTAAATAAAGGAAAAATCGAACCATAAGTTATTGCATTATGATCGATAATATGAGTGTGTGCAAAATTTCAAATAAATAGGATCACGAAAAGTGGCTCAAAATCAATTAAACATTTTAGGCTCTTATTGTCCGTGTGTAAGTTAATATAAGGCATAGTAAAAATAAAACCAAAAATTCGATAAATTTGTCCTTTTTTCTATAAAATTTCCACTTTTTCTCAGTTATTATGAAAACTACTTGGAAACTGAAAATTTACTTCTTCAATGGCTTATTAAAATCCCAAATGCTAATAAAAGAAATACGATTGTTGTTTTTTGATTAGAGCAAGATTTCTGGTACGAGTAGAAAAGTTGTTCACAGATAGAAAAAAATAAATAAATACATCTCCTCCGTTCGCTAAAAATCTTAAAAATTAGTGGGTCAATTTTTTGAGTCTTAAGTTAGTTTTCAAAAATTATATAATAATTATTAAAAATATTCATTTATTTACGTATGGATTTACGTATAAAACAACTAGATGTATATAATTATTTTAAAACTGTAAAAAAAACGTTCAAAATAATAATTGAATAAAAATTACTTGTATAATTAATATAAATTATAATGAAAAAATAAATCATGTTAAAAATACATATGTATTTATCAAACAGTCGTTAGAAAAATTAAATTTTCCATAGCATATTAAATAAAAGATTAACCTAAATTTTTAAAGCCACTATCAAACTTTAGTGTTCTGTTCATCATCTAATAAACTGACTTATTAAAAAAATATACATATAATTGTACTAAAACCTAAATATTCATAGGAAAATTACGCATACACAAAATACCAAAAAAATCATTAAAAATTATTTTATTCTAAATACACAATTTAAAGATCCAAATTACTCAGCAATAAAAATTTCGTTTCCAGTAAAAAAATAACCGCAAAATCAATAAAGTTCAAGCACAAGTAATTAGGTATAATTAACAAAATTTAATTCAGAATAATTGCCATGTCAATAATCTTCATGTTTATAACACCAATATTATTAATTGCATACGAAAAAAATTCGCGAAATGTTAAAAAACAAATCGATTTTAATTAACGAACGGAGTTTTATTATGCATATTAATATATTAATTTATAAAACGTTGAAATATAATAATATTTGCTCGATTTTATATTATTCATAGTCTATAGATGTACTGTGATATTTTATTTGTTTTTTTTTTTTTAAAACTACTATCAAACAACACAACATAAAATCCTAATGGCGTGAAATATTTTACAATATTTTTTCGTACTCATTAAAAATTATATTAATTGAAAGGTACATGATATGAAACAAAAAATAATCATACCTACTAATTATTTTTAGTTAATAATGTATGTTTTTGCACAAAAAGGTCTTTTTGCCGTGTACGTGTATAATTTTTCTTAACTACGACCAATTTTAAAAAATTCATAATACAGCTTTTTTTCCTCGAAATATTCAACTAACCTATTTTCAGTAGGTAGATGCATAATGATAATAATAATTCCGAGGGTTTGGTATTAATATAAATTAAGAAAATGATTTATTAACGTTTTTATAATATTTACAACATAGAGCTGTCGTCGTCGTCGTTACGAAGACGACCCATTTTCAATCCCTAATTATTATTTACCAGGAGTTCAGCATGAATGAAGATTATTTTGAAAGGATTTGTGGACATTTTAGGTGACAACATAGATATTTTATGTGGTCCTGGATTGACGATGAATTTAAGTCTTTGTAGATTCGTTGATTTCAAACAAACCTAAGAATGGCATTTATCTGGAGTAGGAATTTTGTAATTGGAAATTTTTCTCATACATAGTCTACGTGCTAGTTCAAAGACACATTTATCCTATGCTTGACAGGTAAGTAAATGAGTATATAGTAGATGAAAAGTTTTAGATTCTGAGCGGAGCGAGAAATGTATTGGTTTTACAATGATATTTTTTTTTTCTGTAAACAATTTTTCTACCAGAAATTTTATTTCAATTTTCAAATGAAACACTTTTTCGGAAATTAAATTTAACTAGGTTGATATATTAAGAAGGTTATTTTTTGATTTTCCAAACAATTTTCATAATAATTAGGAAAACCGGGAAAAAAACGTAGGAAAACCGGGAAATGTACGAAATGTATTATTTTCAAATCGTAAATATTATGGCCATTCAAAACATGTATAACTGAACTCCACTCTGAATCGTTTAGCAATGATTAATCTTTGGTACACATTCAATTTTCTGTCTACCTTCCCAACTACTTATCTAAAACAGTAACCCACCCATTGTGCGACGTATGTTCGTTTATTTTTTTTCTCTGAACTAGTAGTTTTAAACTTTTAATGTGAACAAATTTTGATTTTTTAATTAAGCCAGGCTGTTTTCGTGGTTAGATTTATATACATATAGAGTAACAATAATCTTCTCGATATTGACTTGTTAAAGTTTGGATTAAATGTAAGAGCTTTCATGTTAATATTTTGACGCTATATAGATAAGTACTGCAGTGCATTTACGAGGGATTGATCGGTTGTCAAGTATAAGTCGTGTAGGTGGCTGTGATGTAACAAACAAATATATAAACTCAAGTTACTTATTTATATAGTAATATAAAAAGATTTATTTTTAAAATTTCCATTAAAATTAAAACTCTATGTGAATATTATTTGTCTGTATTTTAACAGAGTATTTTTTTTTTTTTTTGTGTTTTAGAATATTTCAAACCGGAATGTTGGTTTCAAAATGAATGTATTATTCTGAAATCATTAAAAGGTTTATATACGCCTCTCAAAATTTACAGTATTTTGAATAATCATCAACGAGAAGACAAATAACCAGCAATATGCGTAGTTTATTATGATACTGTTGGAGATTTTTTTCATACTATATGGATTTCAAACTGTGTGTAAGTATAGCTATATGTCGTTATTGTTTAGATTGTAAACAACATATGTATATAAATGTATACATATTATATATTAATATTATGTGTGTATACCTATTAGGCGAACCTACAAAATCATTGACATTCAAAAAATATTTACATTTATTAATTTATACATACGTGTGCATAATAGTTCTTTGAAATTCAAATTCCATTATCTAGTTAGTAATAAAGTAATTAAATATTCAGATTTAGTTAATAATAATATGCACATCCATATGTATGATTACACGTCGAGATATACAAGTATATCTGTCATATTAACAGGGATTTGTTGATGATATAAACTTTAATACAAAAACCACAGACATACAAGAAAACAAGTCCTACAGAAATGAACATATAAATTTATAAAGTCATAATACGAACAGAATTTGTGGTATTACTAAAGATTTAATAAAGAATAAAAACAGTGGTTAACTTCAAATATTATTGAAATAATGAAAGAAAAGAAGAAGATATAAGAACTATACTACTGTTGAACATAAACAGAGCTACAACACTCTGAGAAACTTAATTACAAGGAAATCTAAAGAAGTAAATAAAAAATATTTAGAAGAAAATACGAAGAAATAAATGTTTTAACCTCATTAGGCAGCCATAATCCCATAACCATAGCAATAGAAGATGAGGAAGGAATAATTATTTACGAACAGAAACATATTACAGGAAAATTGGAATAATACATAAAGGCACTGATGTACGTTATAAAAGAACTCACTGTCACTGGTACCATAAATTATATGGGATAAGTGAATCCGAAAATAATCATATCATAATATCGGGTATCTAAAAATAATTCAACAGAACTCTAAGATACCTAAAAGCCAAAGAAAGCTATGAAAATACATGAAATTCAAACAGAACTCTAGAAGTAAGCGGATGAGCATATACTTATTAGAGATGTCTACAGGTCAACAGGCTATAAATAAATATTATTCGTCCTATTCCAAAGAAAACCACAACCAAAAAATACGAAAAATACTAAGTCTAAAAATAAACTAAGTCTATTACCACATGCTTCGAAATATTAACATAAGTTATATTCTGAAAAATGGGGAAAAAAATATCGAAGAATTAAAACACACAATATAAGAAAACCAGTTCAGATTGAAAGAAAACAGCAACAAAAGACGCGATATTGACCTTGAGAATAATAATTAAAAAACGCAAAAAGATTAAGCTAACATTTAATTGACACTGAAAAATAACTAAATAATGTTACCTGAGCATTAATGTTTAAAATTCTAAAAAGATCTGAAGTAGTATTCACGAGAAAAGTCTGCCAAATTATATAGAAATGAAGTAACCGTCATAAAAATACAATATATTAAAAATGAAAAAAACAAAGAAAAGGTGTCAGGCAGAAATTCACGCTATTACCTTTAATATGGAATGGTCTTGAATATTCAAGATATCACGGGTACTGTAACAAAGAATAAATGCAAGGAATAGCCAATTGATGGATCAAATAATAGATGATCAGAAGTGTAACTCATACCAAAAAATGAAAAAGAAAGCCAACAATAGAGAAACATTAAAATTGTTGCAAATCAATCATTATATAGAAAAAACTCTTATGTCTGTAAAAAAAAAAACCTTTCACGAGATTTAAGTATCAATATTGTTTATAGGTCTGAAGAGTTGTTCTGGAAAAATAATATGATCTCAGAGGTTCCATATCATTCATTCAAACACATTTTATTTATAATGATATTGAAGGAAATTATTATTGTTTTCATAGATCTCATCATTCTTATATAATCCATTTATGAAATCTATTCCATCTTATTAATCCTTTAAAAATCTTGGAAGATGATTGCAAATATTTATTTTTCCAAAGTAAACCATAGAGTATACTATGTGTAACATATATTAATTTGTAATAGAAAGATTTAGGAATTGTTGTCAAATTAGTTATTTTTAGCAACTGTTTTATACAATTTTAGTAAAATCGAAAAGATTTCACATTTCCAGAAAACCTAGATTTCCATCAAATTTATCTGAATTATATAAAATATTCATAAAATATTGATTTAATAAGTGTTAAATCAATAAAAATGATTTCTCACTTTTCTTAAACAACCCTTATTGTAAAAACGAATTTTATTTAATTTTACCATCGTAAATATAGAAGCAATAATGGTTTTCTCTGATTCGTTATTTTGTTCGTACTCTTATCATATTATCCAAATTTAAATATCTCAAAACAACCAAATTGATTTAACTTCATCAAAAAAATCAAAATTGAGATATGTTTATAAAGGTAAAATTTGAAAACGGCTCATCTTAATTTTTCCTGGAAGAAAATTCCGATTAAATCATACTTTCCGAGATTAATTAGTGTTCATTTATTAAAAATATAATCACCCCTTACAATTTTAGTTTGATAATTCAATTGGACCACTGAGGTTTTTATGTATTTTAATCAAGACGTTCGATACTGTTTTAAATGAAAAGTAATTGGTACCGACCAAAGTATTATGAGTGATAACAATGCAATAGCAATATTATCACTATACTAAATATATATAATATACTCTACGTTTACACGAAAATAATATTTAATCGTATGAAACACGTTTCTCCATACATAGGGTGCTTTTCTGGTAGCCATGCTCCTGGTGACATCACCGTCATGTTTGTAAGTCCTACCACTGTCAAAGTATCTTGGAAAATATCACGGAGAGGTGTTGAAAAATATGACGTCATGTACAAACCAACAAACGCCAGGTATGATTTATAATAAATTATTAATAAAGAAAAGATTTTTTTTTTTTAATTTTATATTAATAATATTTAAACATTTTACATAAACTGCAGTAAATTGTACAAATCGACTAACACACTGTGAACATTAAATATTTTTACCTCATGTTATTAAAAAAAAATGACTTAGGTAATTAATATAAATACCAAATAAATACTAAATTAATATAATAGTTGTTAAATTTCGAAATAAGGTTTAGTTATAACTATCTACAATTTTATTTTTACATAGTCATTTCTATTGAATAATATTGAATTTGGATATTAAATTAGGTAAGTACATCTCTCATCCACTATATTTTTTCTTACGCCTACTTCATATACTTTAAATGAATATATACTTTTGACTTTAAATTTTAAACTATTTAAAAGAGAGGGGATTGCACTTTTAAAATTCAAAGTGTTTACTCGTTTCAAGTACAAGGAATTGAAATAAAAATTGTAAATAATGTTAAAATTAATTTTAAATGATTTCATAATTATAGAAATCAAATTCACTTATTAAATCATACTAATAGATTACCTAGAATAAAAACGAATCAGGACATCGGGTAATCTTCTAACATGATTATTGATTATATTTTATGACAACATTTTTGCTTAAAAACAAAATGAAAAATACTTTTTTGCATCATAATATTTTTTACAATGCATCAATAAATCAAAATACATGCATTATTTCTTTTACATTTTACTTTATACAAAGTATAATATTTTATATACTTATTCTGTAAGTATATCGATGACAAGGATGGAATTGAAAAGCATCTAAGAGCAAAAATCCCTTATATACCTACGTATAATGTATATATTATATATACAATTTTATGTACACAGAAAAAGCATTTCACAAGTATAACATTAGTTTAAACTTCAAAGTTCACACGAAGGAGAGTTTATATACGTACTTTCAACGCACAAAACTATTATAAACTTTAAACGACTAAAAAGAGCCTAAGTATAAAGGTAATAATTCGAAAACTCGTTTAAAATTAGTCAGGTAATTCGGCTCTTTCTATTCTTTTGATGTAAGCATTTTTCTTACACAACATGCGCCGTTGTAACAAAATTTCGCTCTATATAAATATAAATTATAATTATTATATTAATAAAAAAAAATATTCAAAACGTTTGTATCGAGTAAGCAACTTTAAAAAAATCCCTATTTATGTCTTTTATGCTAATAAATGCTTTGCTAATAATTTAATAAAAATTTTCTTAAAATCTAATTAGATTTTTTTTCTATACATTTTACGAAAAAAAAATTACTTTTATTCCATATTCAATAAAAGTTCCCGCATACTATGTGATCATTGTCGATCAACCGTTACATACCAAGGAAGTTCATCCATATCGTATCTATTTTAGGTTTTTTGACAAAAACTTCTATTACGCAGCCTCTAAAATACATTATTACTATAACTTTTTTTCTAGTTTTACATAAAAAAAATTATTGGTAACTGTAGAAATAAGAAATAAAAACAAAGTAAAAAGCGCATATTATAATTTGTCTAAAAATTAAAAAAAAAAATATGAAAATTGCTTTTCTCCACGACATCCTCGTGCGACCAACATGCAACTATAATGTTATTATTATTATTATTATTATAGGTACTTATATAGGTTACTACCTACTACGTAATCGTATCGAATAATAATTTCCTCCGGTTACCGCCAGGTCACGTAGGTATCGTTTTATGGTCGTAGTGTTGTACTTATACTCGTAACCATATATGTAGCTAGTCGACCAACCACCAGTCTGCCGAGCCGATTAAATATGTATAACGATTCGTGTATTATTGACTAGATGTTTTTTTGTCATTGGTCAGTTACAGGGTAGTGGCGGAGATAGCGGTCAACTCCGATTCCGTGACACTCGGTAACTTGATGCCAAACACACAATATCAAGTGACCGTTACCGCGTTCAAAGCCGGACGTAGATTCCGCAGCAGACCGGTTATATTTAAAACCCTGGGTAAGCAAAATATTATCGAGTACTGTTCACTGTTTTCAATATAGATATTATTATTACAAGTCGGGTATTTTAAAGTATTTTAAAGATATTTTTAAACATCTCGTTTTACACTTAAGCGCGGGAATAATTATTAAAATACATTTACACTTAATCTAAGAGGATACCACAGCGAGTACTGTATCCGCTGTTCAAACGTCCGACAAAGCAAATTTTCAATCATCAGTGCACCATTGTGTTGTTATTTTCAATATTAGAACGAATTTACCCGTTTTCAAATTTAAATATAAGAACGTTATCTCTGCAACTAAGTTAATTTTTTTTTTTTTATTCGATATTTTAACTTTTAAGAGAGCCATAAACATTTTTTATTTTCAATATTTTACATATTCATATGTCATTATATAATAATAGTTTTTTTAAATTTTTAAGTTTGAAAATAAATAAATTTACTCTTTTATTAAAACTAACGGGACAAAATTGTTCCTGCTGAACGGTAACTTGATATTTCATACATGCGAATGTGACATCCTCTTAACAAAATTCTATAAAAAGCTATACCAATAGAAGCTTTTCAAACAAAATATCATATATACAACTAATTCCTGATTATTATTAAATGTAAATGAAATTAATATTATTATTTATTACATATTGTATGCAATTTCTATAAACTATTAAGGTAAGTACCTTAAAAACGTATATTAGGAAAAATCATCGGTAATCAAATGTTGTAAATAATTTATCGAATACCCGCATTTTAATATTTAAAAGTTCTCGTATTATTTCGTCTAATTAATAATACACCATGATGTTTTCATAGACAAAGGTGTGTCTTGGCCAGATATTCAACGATCTCAGATGAACAGTAGTGGCGATGTGGACATTTCGCCGCCCGACGTTGTTGGTGGTACTGGACATTCAATACTACCGGAAGGATCTACGTCCCCTCCTTACGTACAAGTAAATAAATTACCTATCTTTTTAAATTAAAACTATGTGTAATGAACTCTAATTTTATTTATTTTTCCCTAATATAAAATATAATATTACATAAATATTAAAAATAAACTCAAAACACCCAGAAATAACAGAGATCGGGCACTATTGAGTCGAATTTTTGCCTATCTATTTTATATTATGAAATTGTCCTTTCTAAAAGAATAAATAACCAAAAGCTTTAATAATAGAATACTATACTAGATAAACTAATTACTAATTACTTTTTACTTCCAAATAAATGTGAAATTTAATCATAAAAATGATAAGAGTGATGGTTGAAAGTTTAAACTTCCAAAAAGCACATCGTAGATATTAACGCCGTATATAGGCAAAATGTATTCTCTCTGTATTCATTTGGAGGGGTCTGTAGAAGTGTTCAAAGCTAAAAAAAACCCTCCTCTCGCAACATCATGGTAAAATTCGTATTGAATTTCAATTCAACTTTTTCACTTCAATCCACCTATAAAACAATTTCAATTCCCTAGTTTGAGTTCATTTGGGCTACAGGATGCTTCTGAAAGTGTCCAAAAATACAGAGGGATATATTATATAATAAATACAATATGATGCAATAGTCTCTATTTTCGATGGAAATTCGACAAAAGCATGAAAAACATAAATGCTAAAATCGATTATATAAAATTTTTTTTTTACAAGCTAGATAAAAATAAAAAAAACTTCAACTCAAAACTACTTAAATCTAACCTTACAAAATTTTGTACACAGATAAATTAAAAAAGAAATAAATAATTCCGCATTAAATGAGGTGTCTACTGACACACTTATTGATTTTTACTTTTACATTTTAGGGCCATAGTTTACTTTAAAGTAGTAAATGTTGATGAGAAACTCTGTTGGTATTTATATTGATCTACTAGATATTATATAAAATTTATAACACCGTTAAACTAAAGAGCTCTTTTTCTTTTTTTTTTAGTTTTACTACATCGTTTATTTTTCAAAATAAAATTCGTAAAATATAAAATCAGAAAATATTACGACTGTTTTCAACGATTTCAAAAAAGTTAAACAATTATATAAGAATAAATAATTGTTAAGGTTAGGTTGTTGGTATGTTAGGTAGGTAAGGTATTGTTAAGAATACAATTTTATATTGTATTGAAATAGCAAAACATATTAATTAATTTAATTAATTAACGCCACTCCAGAAACTACATAGTATAGTAAAGTTAACAAGTTTAATAGGTTAGTAATAATAATAATGTGATGAGAACAGCAAAAATAAAAATAAAATAAAAAGAGACACAATGTTAACATATTAAGAACATGTTATAGTGCGAATACGACGAATAAAACTGAGGTAGAGGTTAAAGAGTATTATGGAAACGTAGCATTCTATGATTCAGGTAGTTGTGATTTTAGTTCGTGTGGTAAAAAAAAGATGTGGACCAATGAGTGGTCTTTTTTTGAATAGACAGGGACACAGGGACACAAAAATAAAATAGAATTTAGAATATCAGGAATATAAATTGAGTCATTTAGCAAAAAGGAGATAAAATTAAAGTCCACCTCAAGATGATGTGGGGAAAAAGTAGGAATATTTAAAGATAAGCTAATTGAGGAGTAGGTAGTCATGAGGTGGGTAAGTAATATTAAGAACGAAAGCAATATATGAAAGAAATTAATACGATGCTGGTCCTTGACTAAATATGGATGCCACACAGCTATACACACACACACACACACACACACACACACAGCTATTGAAATAAAAGTTTTGAAAATTACTTGCTGGGTGTTACCACTAGATAACCACCCTAATCTGAAGATTTCCCATTAATTAAGTTTTTCTTATTTCGTCCTATATCAAACCTACTAATTATACAAAATTGTATAGATCGTGGATAACTTTAAAATTAATAAAAAAAAAATTACTCCAATATATGTCCATTAAAATTATAATAAGCCAAACAAAAAACGCATTTCCAACAAATGTACAATCCTATATACTCGTAATTAGTTTTTAAATTATGTTTATTGTTTTACATATCGTTGGCTACCCAGAAAACCCCCGTAATTTTTTTTTCTGTAAACAACATTTCTACCAGAAATCTCACTCCAATCGAAAACTATATGATATTTTATTTATTTTAGAATTTTTGAATTAGTTGGTGTACTCAGAAAGTTATTTTTTTTCATTTAGTTTTCTTAATAACAGTTCTCTTGCCACTGTTTTATAAAACTTATTAAAATCGACTTTATTTTTGCTGGATGACTGACAGTATATGCAATTCTCACAAAATGTAAATATAATTATGTAAATTTATAATTATGTACGTTTGTATATATCTCAATACAACCAATTAATTACTCTATATTAGCTATTGTTTTTAATAAATAAGGTAACATTTTAGGAGGTAAAATTTCTACTTGCAAGTTTTTATATTATCATAGGTACTATTGTATTGACCGGTATGGATAAATATTGTAAAAAATAAAAAACAAATTTAAAATACCATACTTAAAAAAATAACTAAAAAATTAATTACTGATGGGAAATATGAATACAAATATTTTCTCGTGGATTTATCATAATGAACAAAATTAAATACGAGCAAAATAAATAAATAAATAAAAATACATGACAGCTTTAATATGCTTAGGATTTGGGATATAGCTACAATGCAGCTGCTCTATATTGCCAGACCACATCTTCTTTAGCGTATCGTAAACAATTCACCATCGAAAAATTAACGAGATTTTTTTTTATTATTTTTATATCATAATGCTAAAATAATATACAAACAAATATCAATATCTTGATGAAATAATTTTTGTATGAAAAAAATATACTTATCACGAAACAAAATAAATATATAAATAGTACCTAAACTTTCAACACAAAACCTTCAAAATGCTGGTAAATAATGTCCAACAAATTCGAGCAGTGATTCAATAATATCCAAAAAGTTACCAACAAATTTGTTAGATGTATTTGATAAGTTTCTGTTATGGGTGTTGCTACTAACTTTATAAGGATTGTTATGCGTATAACTAATTTCAGGTACGAGGAATCGAAATCACTATTGTAGTACTGGTTCTGATGGTCTGGGTTGGCGCTATTATAATGTTTTTCAACCGCTGGGGCAAAATCAGAATGCTTATACCGTACCAGCCCGATTACAAGGACACGCAGCTCAAAGTACCCGGGACGGGGGCATGCAATCCAACCAACTCGTGTCAAAACCAAACCGGAACAGGTTTCTGCTGTTCGCAGGTCAGTACCACATTAAAGTGATGTTTTTTTTTTCCAGCTCCGAAAACTATATGAATATAAATGCAAATAAATTCTTTAATTATTATTGTGTGGTGCACGTGAACATATTGTGATGTTTAAATTGTTTGTACCATTTTTAAAACTTTTTTAATTTAAAAAAAAAAAGTATATCAACCTGTACTAAAAATCAATAATACAGAAGCCGATTGCGTCAACATAACGTACATATAAACATAAAGCGTTTCATGCATATGTTTATATTTTGTTGTGAATATCGCATTATAGTCATAATATCAAAATGAGATTGAAAACCGCAGTATTTTTTGTGGAAACTGCATTTTCCAAATAGAGAAATAGAACTTAAACTGTAAATCAATGGCAAATGCAGTGAAATTTTTCGATTTTGGATAATCCCAAGGAATATAATATAATAATTAGATATGCAATCGTGTATTATGTGAGATTGTCGTAACTACATCGTACCGTATATAAAATATTTCAAAAATAATAATATGATAAAGTTAAAGTTTTAAAGTGTTTAAGTTAGTTTTATAAGACTAACATATTATTTAGTATAATATAACTATCTATGTTTACTCGTTATGTTGATCGCGGTGATAATTAGTCGGGTCTCAAAACACACAAGGTATATTACGTTTTGTTTTCTTTAACTTTTGATTACTATATACCTAGTATTACTACCTACAAAACGTTTTAATGAATAAGTTTCTATGGCACTAATCAAAATCCCTAGTTTACATATACAATAATATATAACCTTGCACACAGGGACGTAGACGAGGGGGGGGGGAGGAGTTAAATTCTTGTTTCAACTCCCAATTCACTCGTATTACAAATCAATGATAGTCAACTCCCCCTCTATAAATAACCAAACCGTACACAAAATAATATGTAAGATGAAATTACAATAAATTTGCATCAAATAGGCCTTAAAACATCATCCATTGCTCATCCAACATGTATTTGTATAGATTATTTTTAATAATTTATAAAAAAAAGTTTTATTATTTTATGAAAAATGTCTATAATTTATATCGACGTAATGATATCGAATATAAATGACGAATAATCTTAAAACTGATAAAAACCTATGAACTTTCAATAGCAGCCACCAGAAGAGAAACAAACATTTTCACAGAATTTATATTTGTACATTTTATTAAAAATTAATAAATAAGCATAAGTACCAATTAGGTAAAACGATCTCAAATATAGACAAATCTGTAAAAAATTCCTCGATCTTCTAAAATCCTCTGCGTTATGTTTATAAAAATACAAATTGAATAATATTATTCTTTACGTACTATTTAAAACCCAATACCCGCATAGCCAATGTATTTTCAAATTGACGATAATCTTTTGGAAAAGTGAACAAACAAAAAATTTTACTCAACGTACACACTGGTAAGTATGCTTCTTACATTGACAATTATGCCCAATTATGCTTTAGATATTAGGGTATATACTACGACGTCGTGTTATTATAAATATTGGGATACCAATATAGCTATATAGCTTTATATTATGTTCAATCGTGAACATCAAATAAAATCGATATTAATTCACGACCTTGAAGATAGTATAAAATACTTATAAGCGTATCATAACAACAGTAGTTATAAACTGCTACAGTAGAACCGACCAAAAGTTAATAGCATTTAAAAATATATCTATCTAACGTTTATAATATAATCGTGTCCATGTTTTTTCTTTTATTCAATCAAGATAAATGAGAAATAAGTTTTTTTAGCAGTTATCTGAGATAAATAATTCAATCGTCCAGACAAATCTTTTTTAATCGTAATTTATATTATATACTTGTTTTATGCACGCCGTATGACGGATTATAGTGAATTTTATATTTGGGTGCTATGATAAATCAACATGAAGCGCGTCTCAGTCGGAAAAACGAATCACGGCTGCTTTTCTATATAAGCTTAGAAATAATAAGTAAAATATTTAATTTATTAAAATCATATGGATTTAAAAAACCACACAACCTTTTTGAAATACTTAAGTGTACCAAATCTGGTACACATTTACTACTTTTAGCACTTAGTTATAGATAGTTTTAGATAGGTCTTAGATAGGTACTTAAATTAACGAAAATGTCTTTTTTTATCTTAATAAAAAGATTCTAATTATTTATCATTATCTAATTAATCTTTATATAATACTGGTCACAGTGAGATTTTCCATCTCTGTATTTTTAAAGGACTGCAATACAGAATGTGATTTTTTTTTTTATCATGATCCAGCGATAGTGTACGGAGGTTTTAAGGGAAATTTTTTTTTATTTTTTTTTTATTTTTAATCGTTATAAAATCATTTTATGATCTTGTAATTAAAATATTTTCAAAATGCTACCCTTATTCCATACGGTGTACGCCACAAAGTATAAATACATTAACTTTGGATTTTTATAGAAACCCGCCACTCACCACTTTCAAACCAAATTCTAAAAAAAAATTATTTTTATTTTACACATTTTGATATTTATAACATCAATAATAGTTTGAACTAAAAATTTAGACCAGAGGCATAAAAAAAGATTATCGACTAAAAATGAATATGAAATTACTCATTCCTAGCTACTCCTACATACAATCTAAATTTAAACCTATAATAACTCGAGAATAGTGTATTCTATATTAGCTATATGCGTACCAACATATTTAGAAAATAATTTTTTCGAATCTGTATTGAATAAATAGTCATCATATAAAAATCAAAAGTTACGATTCAATTGGAATATAAAAAGTTAAAGTAACAATTCAAAAATTAAATCAAAATAAAGCTTAAGCAATTCCATAATAATAAAGAAAAAAAACGGACATACTTCGCATGGGTGACTGGGTGAGCCAATGTTGTAGGTGAAAAGTTAGGAAGAAAGAATAGAAATTTAATGTATATCAACTGAAGGTATGCAACGATTAACCATTGATAACGAAAAACGGTTCTGAGCAGAGTTAAGTGTTGTTTTGTCAACAATGTATCTCATATCATGGTAAAATAATTATAAAAGTATTTTCTTTAATGATATTTGTTTAATATTATACCTATTTTCCAGTTTTTCTTACGTTTTTTTCAAGGTTATTCCTCGGTTTATTCCATTTATTGGGAAAACTCCTGGGAAAATCAAAAAATGACCTCCCTATAGTCCTCCCAAGTCATATTTCTTTTCAGAGATGTCAGCTCTGGTCAGAATCTAAAATTGAAACCAAATTTATGTAAAAACTTTTAAGAAAATCACCGGTTCGTGATTAAAAAAATTAATCTATACAACAAAAATGTATTCTATAACTCAAATATATAGATTAAAGCATTTCAAAGACAATCTCCTTGGTGTTTTATACAATTTAACACATTCAACTAATTGGCGGGATACAAAAAAAATCCTATTTGAGTTTAAAATTTAAAATTATCTGTAACCTTTTTTAAATAATTGACATGAGTATTCCAAAAAATGTCCAACGAGATTTTCTTGAAAATTCAGTCTTCTACAACTTGTATAATATTCCATCTCTAAAACCGATTTTAAAGACCTTATTGTTTGTTTTATGTGAACACTTTTTACTAAGCTGCAGCCCAGTAGAAGTGTAGAAAAACAGAGACGGCGAATACCACCGTGACGGCATTTTAAGAACTGCCAGTAAATACTTTTCTGGGAAAAACTGTTGTTTAATAATATGCAAAAACAAATGATGAATTAAGTTTTGACTTCTACAAAATAAATGATTTAAAAGAAACGACTAAATTTATATTGAAAATCTATACAAAACATTATTAATTTTATATAGGTATTAAAAATTAATTCAAACAATTACGAATATTATTAACACACTATTACTATTATTAATCGTATATTATAATACAAATAATATTATACACTATAATTTAATGAAATTCAGACGTACGAATATTATATCTGTACTCATCAATACGCGTAAGTTATTCAAGCACTTTTACTACACGGATATATTTTAAACCCTTTGTATTTATTTTAAATTTTATATACTGGATGTCTCACAAACACATCCGGATTGTAATCCGGAGATAATAAAGATAGGTAATTTAAAATACTCACAGTGATAAGGATTATACATATTTATTTGATATGCAGCATACTGTAATCAAATTTACTAATTGATTATTATTAGTATTATTATTGATTAGTGACTGTAGAATTTTTTTCTCTGAACTTTAAAAAATTATTAAAAACCACGAATTTAAAGAAAATAAAATTGTTAGATGAATAAAATCTATAAAATGTCTATCTTAAAAAATAATAAAACAAAAAGTAATTTTTCAATTTTTTAACCCAACCATAAAAATTTAATTCAAGTATAAATATTTATAGTCCTTACTCTTGTGAGTTTTATATAAAACAGAATTTGATTATATTTATTATCTCAGAAGATATTGCATGGGTATTCGTGTCTATGTAGGACACCCTGAATATATATACAGGGTGATTTTTTTACTATGAACCAGCAATTATCCCGGAGGATTTTAAGTCAAGTCTATCTATGACCCTTCTCTACTCTTCCGGTCTAAACTTAAAACTGTTATAACTCATAAACGGTAAATTTGATATTAGTGTTATTCATACCAAAATGTCTAAACAAATATTCTGTATTCAAATCTGTGTTCAAAAGGGGGATTCCTATTTGAAAATCAAAAGTATGCACTTATTTAAGGTACATAGAGTAGGAGTAAAAAATAAAAATGGTTTTAAAATAAAACTTAAACGATTCCATAATGATTAGAAAAAACTGAAATCAAATTCACTTAAAATTCTCTGAGACAATTGCTGGTTCATGATAAAAAAAATCACCCTATATATATATATATTTTTAATTTGGATTTTTTCACATTCTACGTCGAAAATCCTTTAAGACTACGAGCTACGACCTTTTATTACCTTTGTATTCATTAAAATTGGCGAAAAAAACCTAAACTAAACTGTCACGACACATAACCAAACAACACGATGTATTATTCCCTCGGGAAATTTCATTCTGTATTATATTTTTTAACATTATGTCACAATAATAGAATAATGATTATTGATTAAATTTAAATCCCTCATAATGCCGTAATAAAAGTACATGCAATTTTCTATTTTTTTTTTTTTTTTTTTGTTTCTTTTTTAATACTCCACTAATTTCATAAAAACACAAAGAAATACACTAACAGATTAGCCTCACACCTTTGCCTCAATCTTGCAATAACACTTTTTAATTGTATCCAATAGGGGGTTTTTTAAGACGTAAGTTTATCAGAACAAACTCCGAAATTTGGTGAAACATAAACAAAAAATTTGACGTGTCTTCAACGAACTTGATAAGTGAACGGGTCATGATGAATTTTACGAACCGAATAATTGAGTATAGAGCTACGTCATATCTCGGGGTCATAGGCCCGATATTGTTTTTCACGTTCAAACACCAAGATTTTCCTGAAGCAAATGGTATGTCTTTTTGTCTTTTTATAAAAACAAATGAATTTAATTGATACCAAAATCCAACATCTCCTATAAATCACCCTATTCTTTTAAATCGGAAACCTATGGGTATAGTATATACCCTTAAATTTATTTTGCTCTGTTTCCTATTTGTTTGTGATCTGGCGTGGCTGCAAAACCTTAAAAACAAAATCGATTTTGATTTTTTATAAAGTTTTTATAATAATATTATATCAGTATAATTTTAACCATATAACACTATAAAATTATTATTTCTCATAATACTTTTACGTTTCACCAGTTTTATTATATAGAAGTTTGAAAAAAAGTTCATAGGTTTTGTTGTAAATCCAAATTAAACTTCACTATAACTTCCTAGTACACTCGAACATTTTATACATTGATAAGTAAATATTAATTCAACGGATTTAATATTTTATAAAATAACGCGTCTCGATACTCGCGGATAATTCGAGCCATTTAATAAAGTACTATTTTTAAAATACACAACAATTAAATTTTAATTCACAAAATCACGTCAGGGAAAAATCAAACGACTAAACCAGTATATAGGTTATTTTTTCTTTGATAAGTGTTTATTTAGTTGTACAAAAATGTACAGCTACTATACACATAAATTAATATTGATTATAAGTTTTGATTAAGTCCTGATTGTGAATATAATACACTTGATGACCTAAAAATGTTTACAAAACTCATGAAAAAAAAAACTAAAATTATTATTTTACCGTAAAAATTATTAAAATAAATTAGGCAATAAGCAACAATATTTTTAAACATTAAACCATAAATGGAAAACGCAAAATTTAAGTTAAACTTTCAAAGTAGGTACACCTAAATAAAATGTCTCTAGATAATATTTTTAATAAAAGAATTAAATCCCAAATTGTACACTGCAATACTATGCAATATAATATGCACTAAAAATATAAAAATAAATAAATTTCCTAAAACTATTCAAAAATAAGGACCAATAATAGGAAACTTTCCCAAAAGTATTGCAATATCATATAGTTGCATAGGTACACCGAGGAAATAAACGAATTCTAACATTTTGTAAAATACCGCCGATCGGTCTACCTAAATATATAGCTGGTGAGTGATGAACAATTTTAATAATTTTATAAACCGTATTTACACGGATTGTGTGAAATGAACATAATTGTCAATACAGTATACCATTAAGACTCTGAAAAACGATGGTTATATCATAAATCGAATGTGCATGTTTTTATTATTTTTTTTTTTTTTTTTTATTATCATTATACTTATACCCGGTTCCAGGTCAGCCTCGGCGCATGGCAGTTTTAGAACATACCTAACCAATATGTTTGCTTATTTTTCCCGTGTGTTTTTTCTGTTTTATTTTTCCATACTCGTACAAACAACACGGTACTACAGCCGAGCAGTTGCTGCATCTTGGACCATTGTTTCAAATACTCGCCTCCGTCACCCGAAGTACATCCCAGGGACTGCACGTGTCGGTTCGCTTTGCTGCATAGAGCGCCGTCGTCCGAATAACCGTTAAGTATACGTCACATGGTAAAAATGCCAAAAGCCAACCAATAATATTATACGCGAGCTAAAACACCACGCCGCGTGCGCCTATTAAGAAACAGTGTCTTTATTTTTACTATTGTTCCTATATATTTTAATAATAATTGAAGACATTGGTGCAAAAACTCACTGTTACCTAATAACTCCACTGTTTTTTCAAAAGTTCAATTGTTTACGGTATAATTCAAAGAAAAAAATGCTCTATATTTGGATGAAATTTAATCAAATAAATCCTACATTTATAATTATAGTTTTCGGTGGGGATTCAAATTATCTTGTTTTAGAATTTCGGTAGAACAAGAATAGTCTCTTGAACAAATTTATGAGTAACAATCAGATAAATCCGAAAAAAATAAAAACATGTTTTATTGCTCATGGACTCAAATCTAGTTGTTGCTACAACGTCTTCAATTATTGTTTATTGAATTATCATGCATGCATACTTACACATTTAAGAATATGTACTGTAAAATTCGCGGGTTGGAGAAATTCTTATGCGGTTTTAAACGGAGCCTTAATCAAACCTTTATTGTGTATATTACAATACCATAAATTTCAAAATTATGAAATATTAAGAAGCTGTTACGATTGAAATTTATCGTCTCTGTATTTTAAATTGGGCAATGTAGTAAAATTATTTTGCGTGAAACAAACGAAAAGGACTTTAAAATCGATTTTTGTATCGATCATTGGTGAAGAAATCAAATTTTACATCGGCTTTTTTTTAATAACTGTAACATTAATAACGATTAATATTTCAAAAAAAGTCAATGAAATTTCATCTTCATAATGAGGTTGACTACAAATTTAGTAAGTGCTTTGTCTCTAAAACTGATTTTAAAGGCTCTTTCATTTGTATCACGTAAACACATTTTTATTTGATACATTTCCCGTTTGAAGAACTGCAGAAATAGTAAATTGAACTGTATATTGATGGTCTTTTAACAACGATGAATTTTCATTTCAAATAAATTTTATGGTACATATAAATCCCGTATATAGTTATCGTACATTAAAAGCACGGTTTTCTTTTATTTTTTCTTTGGTCGTAGCATTGTATTTTACTTTTAAATGTATTATTATAGCCTTTCCATTGCAAATTAACAAAACAAGTACCTACCTATTTAGTTTTTATTGTTGATAATTAAATTATTTAATTTAATAAGTGACTGATATTCATGTGTATAACTCACACGACATTAACATTTCACGATTCAGTACAGTTGAGGTAAAAATGATATATTATGTGTAATAAATGTATAACGTTTATTGAAGCTTCAATGATTAAAGGTAACCTTCTACTTCCTTAATATTAAACTCCTACGTCATACAATGGTGGGAAAAATCTTAATAATTTAAAATACCGTCCTGTCTCGTTTGTTAGAAAAAAAATATCTCTGTAAATTTTAACATTTTTTTTTTATAACATTTATGTCTTGCAACAAAAAACATTTTATAGAACTGACAAAACTCGTTATTAATTGTTTATTTAATTAAATAACTAAAAACACCTCAAAAACTTAAACTCTGTACTAATTTTAAAATAATCATAATATATTTTTAAACTATAATATGCTTAATCGTATTTTATTATTATACTTTATAAGGTTTATAAATTCGAATTTTCACTTTTTACTATAGCAAAATGTTATTCTCTGACGAATTTAATAAACGATATTATTAGCATAAAACTACCCTGCAAAGGTCTGCGAAACGACCATCTGGTCGGTTCTTAATTTTGTATAATGTTCTTTTTTTATAATTTCCAGACCGACGCGACTTAAAATTCTGAATTGAAAAACATTAAACCTATTATACATGTATGTCTAAAACTGTATATGCATCATAAAATAATTGAAATCTGCTCCAATATTGGAAAATAAAACTTTACTAAGGGCGACTAATAACAACCACACGGAGTTATAATTATACTCAACATATGACTATGACTAACTTACTCTTAAGGCCAAGCGTATCATTTAAATAAAATACCAACATGAAATATAATTATTAACCTAAAATTGTATGCAAAAAAATCAAAATCATTGTAAATTTATTGTGAATTGGAATCATGCCTGTAATTATTATTAAATTTAAATTTAAATATCCGTAAGTAGCAAAACTCAACCCCTTAATTAGAATTTCCTTCCTCTCCCTATTTGGTATTATAGAAATATTCTTTGAAAACCAATAAATAACCGAATATTATAATTACAATACTTTAAACAGTATAAACTATACTACAATATTATACTACACCCAAAAAAATTATGAAATTTGATCATATAAATGGTAGAGGTTTAATTAATAGTTGAAACCCTAAAAGGCACATCTTTGATACTAAAACCATGTATGCGTACAATTTCATTACACTGGCTTCGTTTGAAGAAGAATTTTTAAAACTAAAATTCACCCTCCTCTAGCAAAACCAAGATAAAATTCGTATTAAAATTCAACCTAAATTTAATCACCTTAATCCACCTACAAAACAACTCTTATTCCAAAGTTCAAACTCATTTATAATGTAATATTCTCTAACTTAGGAGAAAATTCGACAAAATAAATTAGCGATTGATAAAAAAATAATGTAATTATTAAAATAAGATCAAAATAAAAATATTTAATATCATATGAAAAATATTATTAACATCCTTTTTAAAAGTACCCTATAAAATATTTTATAAAAATGCCATGTTACTATGACAACATTAAACAAATCTTTAATAGTGGCATATATTATTATATGTCATTATTAATATACCTTACTTTAATATAATAATTTTATTGTAAATATATTTGGAAATTTGATAAAAAAAAAAAAAATGTTGAAATGAATCTAAAAATATGCAGGCAATAAAAGAATGATGGATACACAAATAAAACTACTTTAAAACAAGGTCAATTTTGAACTTTTTAGCAAATAAAAGAAAACCCGACAATAATGTGAAAAAATATTGACCATCATTTCACTATTATTATAGAAACATATAAAGAATAGTATTGCAGTATGATATGAGTCGATAAATATTGTTGAATTGTATTATTGACTTATGTATTTTGGCAGTTCTAATAATAAAAAGAGCCTATACTAACAGACGGGCGCATACTAGTCGCCTTTCGAGGTCAAAAAGGTCGATAATTTTAATAGAAATCGCCTCCTGGGTATATGCGAGTTGCCTACCGGCGCACTCTAAACTTTATCGTAAACGAAAAAGGTCTACTACTAGTCACCTCCCAATAGGTAGGTAATGAATGTATAATTGGTTCACAAACGATTCAAACATTTTCAAACAGTATGCATAAATATACAGATTTGTTGTGAAGTGATATATCGTGAAGAAATATTATGTTGGTTGTTACTTATTAATAACATATCATTGGATTTTGGATTTATACATTCAAAGTCGTAATCTATGACTTTTGTGCATTGATAAAATTGTACGGCTTATATTAAACATTACATCTCTTGTGTAATGATTACTGTCGTTAGCTAAGCTTCAAAACTCGTATGATTTTATTTTTGCAAATAGTTATAAAGTGATTGAATTTGAATTTTTAATAGTTAATAAGTGATGATGTCATTTTCTAATAAGTTTTTAGAATAGATCAAATTGAAATGCGGAAAATGATCAATGAAAAGAGCAAACGTGTTAAAATAATAAATAGTTTTAAATTTAGTTTTCAAAAAAAGTTAGCTTACAACAAAGAACGGGGGAATTGTACGACAAAAATATGCAAAGCTGTTTTAAAAGTACATATTTGAAAGTGATTAAGTAATATTGAACGAAAATAAGTTGAACCATAATAAACATTATCTGAATAAGTACTGTTCACGCACATTGTACATGTTTTTTATTGAACTATTACATTATTATTTTTAATAAAATTATAAATATTATATCAAATTCAGTTTAGTTTATGAACCACTGCTCTATTCAATATGGTAAGCAACTAGTGCGAACATTTTTGGGAGGCAACTCGTATATAATTATGAACCACCTTATCGTCGGAGCAACTAGTGTATATTAACCTTTTTATTTACGATAAGGATAAGAGGCAATCGTACATCTTGGGAGCAACTCGTATGCACCGCTAGGGACGGGTGTGCCACTATAGTAGGTACCAAATTTGAAAGGTAGGATACATAAAGTTATTTAATTTATATCTGTAATCTGTAACAAAAGTTGATTCTAATCAAATTTCGGTTAAACATGTCTGGACATTTTTTTCATTTTTTGATTAAAGCATAATTTCTGGTAGTAACTAACAGTTACTACACAAAAATTACTCACAGACAAAATAAAAATAAAAAAGTGCATTCATGTGTTTAAAACAAATGCGTTCAGAATATAAATGAATTTAAATTATTTACAATAATATGAATCCAGTGAAACAAATGATAATGTATTAAATAAAGTAATTAAAATTCGATGGAAATCACTACAACAAACATTGGTTAAAATAAAATACCTCTTTAGAGATATTCCTTAGAGAAGCAGTATCTACTACTTGACTCATTAACAAATTATTTTGGGCGGTCCACGTCAAAACTAAATTGGGCATTTTAAAATCTAAAATTCTAAAAAGTAAATAAATTAAATAATTGTATGGTTTTGTCAAATTCAACAACTATCTTTTTTTATCTTTTCTATCTTTATCTTATATTGCTTTCGTATTTATTTTATCTTTCTATTATTTCTATGTGGAAGATTTACTGTGGTTGTCAACATCAAAAACACCCGCAGACATAAACAAGAGTATAAAAGAATCAGAAACGTTCCGTCTACCACTATAAAATAAAGCCAAATAACCAATATCAAAATAATAAACAAATATAGTTGTTATAGAATAATATTTTTTTTTTATATATACTACTAGTACATAATAGTAGTAATACATGTATTTATTTGTATAAGTACCTGAATTGTCTATAAAATTATAACACATGTTTTATATTAATTATTATCATTAAGTCAATGAATATACGTTTTTGACCATTATTGAAAATAAGTGTGAACAAATATAAAGAAAGTGTAACATTTTAAAATTTATGATTTCAAAAAGTTCTCAAATAAGTGATTTTTGAAAAATAAGTATTTCATCAACACTTCAAAAATAATTTCTACGAGTTCTGGTATTTTCAAGTTTATACTCGAAATAATTACTTGTAACTTCAGTTGTGTGAAAACACTTGTCATATTAGAACAAAAAAAAAACTGAAATAACCGGATGTGAAATGAGTAATCACGCTTATGATGTGTGGAGAAAGTGTTTAGTTACACTATACTCGATTATGACTGCGAAGGTTTGGAGTTGGTAAAATGCACCCATTCAATAAGGCAAACAAATAAAGTAACAAAAAAAACTAAACACAGTAACATAGGTACTAATAATAAACTTTTACCTTTTAGGAAAATATTTTATTCAACATGAATATACCTAACCTGACGTATTTTGATATTATTTACAAACATCGACAACTTATTTAGGTATTGACTTGGATACGAACTTATTTCTGATAAAATATTATAATATGATAAATCGAAACACATAATAATAGTCTTAAACTAACTCTATAGTGTTTTATGCTCTACGAAATATGCATTGATGTGTCGGCAGTAACATTCCAGTATACGTACAAAATATATTCGAGAAAAACCACTACAAAATGATCAATTCATCAAAAAATCAAAAAAGTGTTATTTAGTTATTTAACAAAACTTTAATATAAAATAGGTTATATACAACTGAAAAAAAAATAACATCCTATTGTCATTCAAAATACCTATCCGGGCAATTTTTGTTAAAATTTTCAAATGTTTGATTTTACTTTTTTTTTATTATTAATAATTAACTTATACTTTTAACACTTTGATCTGATTTTAAATACTATTACGTTTTATGATTAAATTATTAAATTTTAGTGTTATATTTTTATTAATTTCAACCGCTCAGTATTTTAAGCCAAGAAAGTTATATACATATATTTATTTGTTAATCCGGTTCGATTTTTTTTATTATTATTTTATCATTCGTTAGATACTTAATAAGCAAACTCAAATTCAAATTCAAGAATCGTGTATTATAATTCCGTATACATATTAAACTAATTATAATTCAGCACTATTTAAATAATAATTACGATAATATTAAATAAATATATTTTCGTGAATATTTCTTTATAGATATTAGGTACATAGATAAAATACATTCTACAATTATTTTTAATTAAATCTCGTATAAAAATATATATTTATGAAAATAAAGAAAACAATATTCCCTGTGTGCCTACAAAATATGTCCCACTTAATAAGTACTTTTATAACTTTTATTAATATAAAAATAATGTACTTGTACCTCATTATATTTTAGATTTTATTTAACTTCAACTTACAGTTTACTAATAACAAGTGATTAAACAAATACAAATAAAAACCCCTTTGATAAATATATTTTTGGTTTAGAGACAAGAACTTGCATTTTTTCTTATGTTAAGCAATCTACCTTTTCCAACTAGATATAATTTATGCACATATAATAACGAGTTTTCGCTCAAATACAGTATTATACTGCAGATCTAAAACTATATATATACATAACAAATCGTGCTTTCTCTTTTAAGAGTACCCGGAACAGTATTTAGCTCCGCGTTGGTCTAAATAATAACACAAAAACAAAAAGCTTAAATTTAAACCTAGTTAAAAATTATGATTTATAAATACCTAATAAATAAATACTGCTGTCGTTCCACCTTATTTTAATACTAAAACCTACCTGCCTAAATATACCTTCTCGAAAATAATTTACATTTTGATAAATATATCAATAATGTATCAGTACGAATTGCCTACCTATCACAAACTTTCTAGAACATATGATCCTAGTCCTACTCTTTCCTAAATCTAATTTTCACTAGGAAGTTTATCAACACAAAAATACTGTGTAGTACGTATTAAATATAAATTACTTCTTCGTCTACTGGCATTTAATATTCTCTGACATCCCAATCTCCCTATACTTTAATCCTGAACTAATTCTCTGATCCACAACATCCATCCATATTTTCTGAAGTCGTTTCCTAATCTTTTATCCATTGATTTCTAATTCAGAACTTATCTGTACGTATAGGTAATCATCACTTCTTCGCATCACGTATCCAAGCCATTGGATCTTTCATCTTCGGGCGAAGCTCATGGTTAACGTCATTTGTTTTACCTATTTCTTCTGTAGCACTTTTTAAAATCATTTACTTCACGTTCTCTTCGTTTTATCATAAATTGGTCTACACCTATTATTGCCGTTCATATTCAAATTTCTAACGTTCTTAGTCAACATTCGGTGGTATTAGCGGTACCTACGATAAAATACTGTGAGTAAAAATGTCCATATATATATATATATATATCCTGAATATGTATTATTGTATTATAATATGGTTCATGTTATTCGAGCGCTTTATCATGATTATGGAATCCCTAATTGAACATGTAAACGCTAATGGCGAATACGTTACCCATCATAATTTATGGGCATCATATTATCGTCATTAAAATTTAAAAAAAAAAACCAAACAAACAACATAATATGGGTACAATAATGAATGAGGTTTGTATACAGAATCGATCGACCGTTTAGATAGGTATACGAACGGAAAAAAACCCTCATCAGCGGAAAATGCGTCCGACTGAATTGGTTTTCACGAACAAATTAACAGTAGGTACCGATCACTCTCCGCACGTCATCATAAATTCACTGCAGTAAACGTTTCGTAATGGCTGTTTATAAACTAAATAACCAATGTTTGACTTGGGGGCAGGCTCAGGAGTTCTGGGTAGGTACCTCGACTATCCATTCATAAAGATTCCAAAGACGGAAAAATTTAAAACTGTATTATTCAATACTAAATTATTAATAAAAAGTGTAAAGTATAAGCGGCTCCACTTTATCGAATTTCTAAAAAAAAAAAAATGACCCCAACCTAAGTATTCTGCGTGTTCAAAACTCCTTAAATAACCACTTTCGAGAAAATTCCAACGCCAAGTTTTGAGTTAAAAGTACAAAAATATACCACCAATATTATAATTGTCCGTATTGAATTTCGGGTTTATTTCTAGTTTCAATTTGTATAAACCGCCAGAGTAACTACATATTTTTTCCCAAGTCAAGCATTGATAATAATAATTTGTGTCGTGTTGAAATCCGCAATAGCAACTTGAAACGTTCCCAATGTCGTTGAATCGAATATTGCGTTTATTGTTTCCACAGAGACACTTGATGCGCTGCGGCCTTGCAGACCCGCTCGACTGGCGCGTCCGGAACCTGTTGCGCTCCCGGTCCCGGGTCAACTCGGCCATCTACATCAGTCCCATCTACCAGGACGCACACATTCGGAACGGCATATCGGTGAGACCCGTCCGAAAAGCCCAAAGTGCGGACTGCTTGCCGCAGTACGACTACAGCGGCTGGGCAAACTGCCAGCAGTATTCGCTATCGTTATCCGCTGCTGCCAACGCCGCCACGACAAACGCCGGCGGTGGCGTCTGTATCGCCGGCGGCGGTGTCTGTGTCACCGGCGGCGGTGTTGCCGGCGGTGTCTGCGCTCGTTGCGGTATCTGTGCTAGTTGCGGCGTCTGTGCCAACGGCGGCGTCTGTGCCAGTGGCGGCGGCGTCTGCGCCAGTGGCGGCGGCGTCTGCGCCAGTGGCGGCGGCGTCTGCGCCAGCAGTGGTAGCGGCGGCGCAACTGGCGGCGTAGGTGGCATAGGCGGAACCGTTCACCAGCGGCACATCAAACGATTCCAGTTGCCCACCGTCTCCATATCCATCGCGTCCGACTCGGATAAGGCGCTCAACGAACTGCTCATCTGAATACGCGGTACCAGCCCTCAAGAAATAATCCCTCCATATACACACGCACACACACACACACACACACACACACAGAAAGACACACCCTCGTCACCACCACCGACGTAGCTGCAGAAAAATATCGATTCCTGCTACTGTTACCTTCTCCTTCACGCCCTTAATGCGCACACACAATGTAGTACCACCTCCTAATACTACATATTATTACGTTTTATCTGTATGTATATAATATGTTAAGAAAAAAAAAAACGACAACCCTTTTGACTAAAAATGTCACAGACTCGAGTTCGAAATACGGGCTAAAATATTATATTAATGTTGTATATAGATTCGAATAAATTCCTTATAATAATCTTATGTATATATGTATAAATATATATACAATATACATTACAAACTTTTCAATATAATCAAATAATACCATTTCTTGTGATGTACATTTTTATAACATTGTCAATTAGAATGATCACGCAAGATTACGAAAGTGCGTTAACTATTATCAAGCATATCAATGCGTTATCAATATTATACTTAAAACTTTGTTTAAATTATTGATATTCCATAGTATATTGTGATTTTAATTTCAAAAAATACAAATTAACCACTCAAAATTCAATAACAACACTGTTTAGAAAATGGACATACCTTTCGAGAATACATTTTATACATACAAGTAGGTAGGTACTTTTGGAATCGTTTACGAGCGACACGAGATTTCGGGATAAACTGTAAATATATTACTTAGATACATTTAATTTAATTTTATATATAAATATATTCCTATTTTACAATAATTAACGATATTGAATTATACAATTACAAAATAATCTGGCATATTTAATTAAAATTATATCTTGATTTCTACCGATATAGATTAATAAAATATACTTAGGTATTTTGCATGATTTCTTGAGTATAAATACTATATATAATAAAGTTTAATTTCAATTTAATATTATAACAACTTGAACTATTTTATTTTATTTATACAAACATAATAATACTGATATTTCCTTTTTACTAAAACGGATTTATTCAAAAACAATTATTATTTGTTACTTTTCTCGAGTGTCGGTGCCCCTCAAGATATTAATTAATAATCCAAGCCATAAAATGAAATAAGCCTGATGCCATAATTTAAAACAAAAACAAAACAAAATATTTTAATTTTTTTATCGTATTTCAAACGATTACCTAATTGAATAAATATTACAGGTAAACAATTATTATGTTAAAAAAACATACAAAACTGCCTGAAACCTAAATACAGTTTATCGATTATTATTTTACTATCATTATTTAAAATATTACAATATTATGATTTCAATAGTTTCTGTTTCTATTAAAACAATAGCATAATTTAATGAACGTGTATATATTACTTTATAATTTATACGGGGTGAGCAACTGAATTTTAAAGAAACACAGAATCATCTCGCGCCCTGTACCAATATTGCCTGTATAAATCATAGTATTCGTAAGTTATTTTGAGTAAGTTACTCATCATAAGTCATAAACTATAGTCCTATTTAAATATAACATTGGTAATTTAAAAATTGTTATTGAAAACGAGCATTTTAAAATAAAATGTAAATATAATATTAATATATTATAATATAAATAATATAATATGTTTTGTGTACCTATATAGTATATATAATATTTTAATCCTATATTTAATACAAATTTGTATCTAATCACATAGATATATTATTGTTACCTAGTTTTAAAATGTATATAATATGTATATTTATCCTATACAAATTTAATGAAAACAATTAATGTATGTATAATATAAATTTATAATTTTTGAAAAATTAACCATGTTGCACTAGTAAAAATAGATGATTGTTTACGGATACCTGGATTGGCTAGATTTTATAAGCAGATTATCAGTATACATTATTATTAACCGTAATTAGATCGACCGTACATAATTTGAGCGTCGCTATAAATTATGTTCTTTTCGACATTTTTTGTTAAGTCGCTTTAAAGTTCGCTTTTAATTTTTGGGTCGTACATCGTTCACGCATCGCAGTTCATCTCGTGCCAATATTTGCGCGTCGGCATATTTAACACTAGAAAAAGACTGAATGAGATTAGTAAGTTGTTTATCTATACTACAAGGCATTTATAAGTGAATATCCACCAAGTGTTCACTCACCATTCCATTGAAAAAAAAACATTCCACGAGCTATTAGACCAAACCTGCCACTTAACTTTCGAACTCATTTCAGCTACCCTTCTTCCCGCGGAAATGAGTATTTCCTACAAAACATATAATACTTCGTAACACATTAAGCAAAAATTTTACTCTACTGGATGTCCAATGGACTTCACTGTACGTCCAGTTGGACACAGAAAACTTCCTTGAAAGATGCCCTACTACACTAAATTTCAATAAACGAAACCACTACAAGTTTTTATAAACGTCCAAAAAGAAACTTTCAGCTAAAAATTTAACCACCCGTGTGTTTTTATCGTCGCAAAAGTAATATCAATTTATTTGATTATAAACTAGATATTATTGAACAATTTAAGTATAGACACCAACATATAACTACCTAACAACAGGTAATGTTGATGTCCGCGTAACTATACGATTTATTTTCTATAATTATTCTAATGTGCAAATGGTGTACGATATTTTTAGCGTGAGTAAACAAACGATGCGCAAACGATGGCCGGCCTTTAGAATATTAGATCGTAGATAATATGATATAAATAAGGATAATATTATAAGTAGTGTAATAATAAGTAAATATACGTTTAAGGCTAAAGGTCAATAATTGTGTCTATAAAAATAGTACAGTACTATATATTATAATGATGTGACATGACTTTTTTTCCGATTTCGAATATTCCGATAGATTTGTTAATATTAAAATAATTGATAGATATATTGGTTGAAAATCCGATTCTTTTTTTTTTTATAATTCAGTTATGTTGTGTAGACATTTTTCTCCCAAAAATATCGGATCACATATTATCGGTTTAGAATAAAAACAAAAAAAAAAACGATATCCTCATTTATCGGCCGATATAAACGATATTGGTTTATAAATAAATATGCATACTCAGTAAACGTAAAATTAAAATACTTAGTTTTAATTGTAATTTTATGCAGTAAATATATTTATTTATTTCATGTGTTTTTTTTTTTTAACAATTTATAATAAATTTAAAAATAATGTAGGATGTTTTACGTAAAGATAATAATAACAATAATATTTCATTTGAAATATTTATGAAAAATCCTTGGGAAAATTAAAAAAAAAAACTAAATAAAAAAATAAACGAAAATAATTTTGTCCGTAATGTACCGTGAATTACAGTGAGGTGATGTATTCACCACACGTTTATTACTTTTAACATAGTCTAGCATAAATCCGAATATGAAATATTATAAATTTGACACAATTTTATTTACGCTATTCGAAAATTATTCGTTAATAAAGTTTCACGTAAGAAATATTATAATATATTGCCTACGTACAATGCGATATTTTCACCATGATTTATTACACTCGTTTAATCGCATTTGGCTGAAATAATCCATTATATTTTCGGTAAGTACAAAAAGTAGCCAACCCAGTAGTTAATCATTTCTGCAAGAATATTGCGCAGTCTTTGCGTACATAGCGTAGGCGCGTTGCTTTACTTTACTTTCGCGAACAAAATGTATTTATTAATTAATTATTTATTATAATATTTTGTAATAAGTACCACGGCGTTTCACCATATTTTATTTGTACAGTGAACACATCCACTGCGTGTCCATTCCCCCCTCCCTTGGAGAAAAATCTACGAGCAGATAGACCAAACTTTCATTTTAACTTTAGGACTCTCCCCGGGTGTCCCACAACCCCCCCTCCACCGGTGAGAATATTGCTAGAAATACGATTGAGAACAGCCATTACCGTCGATACCTTTTTGAGACCTTTTTAACTACTGTTACACGAATGAAAATGCTCAGTTTTTATAATTCCACGCAACGTTGCAAAATATATAGTAATCCGAAAATCCTCCCAAAATATATCCGACTATACTTCGGGATTTTCGAGTTTAATTGTTGTTGTTGTTGTTTGAGATAGCATATTACTGTATCAATCAATAATGATAATATATATTATGAATACAACCATAACGAATTGTTCGCAATGAATAATCATAATATACTATCATTACTCAGTGCGTGGTTTCCCGCGTTACGCGTTGTATGTACGAAATATTTTTTTATATGATTGGAATCAGCAGTTCCCTTAAGCCTTTTTTTTTTATTATTATTCGATTATTTTATTGTTTTATTATATTTACCAATTCTTATATACCTAGCATGAACATGAAGTTTGTGTGATTTATTTATGAGTTTTGACTTGAATTTTTTAATTTGAATATGAAATACGTACATGCCACTGATACATGAAGACGTTGCACATAATTTCGATCTCAATAGTACCTACCTACTATTTGTGGGGGTCAGCGGTTATTACATTGTTTTATTTCGGCCGTTTTCAATTGTCTACGCCAGAAAAGGTAAAACGTTCTCAGTCTTATTGTCACCAGAGTATTTTCGGTCCCAATTTGCCGACTCCCAGTTTGATGACTCCTAATTGCTGATTACCAATGCGCCGACAGTCAGATACACCTCGTTTTAAAAAAAATTAATTTTTATGACAATTTACATCACTAGTTCTATCAATCAATATGAGTTATATTTCGTAAAAACAGTAATTAACCAATTTTATTAATTTCATCAAATTAAAATGTATCCAAAAAAAATATACCTTCAATAATAACAAAAAAAAAAAAACACAAATTATACATGGATATGATATTTTATAGTATCAAAATACTATTTGGTTTAAACATAACTTTACATAACATAACATAACATTTACATTTTTTAATATTGCACGATCGCCACATTCATTTTCTCCTCGTTTTCGATCTATTTTAAGGAAATAATTGTTGACTATAAGTAATTCATAATTTTGTTCCTACTTTATTTTGTACAATTCCATAACAACCGGAAAAATGAAATAAAAGTGTGCAATATGTTGTATGATACTAAACTACACTCTCAAGTTCACGCAGAGAAAAATTATACAACAAATAAAATAATAATTTTTATCTAATAATCGCTGTTTTTTTAATTGCTTTTTATATAAATTAAATGTTTTTTTTGCCTTTTTTCACATTTTAAATGTTTTTTTTTATTGATTAAATTGCCTTCGAATCCGAACCCTACTAATAAGTTATAACCAAAATAATATTCAATTATATTACTCATATTATATTATATGTTATCATATTATATTATATGTTATCATATTATATTATATGTTATCATATTATATTATATGTTATCATATTATTTATTCTGCCCCCCTGCCAGCAAAGTCTGCGCACGCCTATGCCTATATTGATCAGTGTCAATAATCGTGTGATAGTTTAGGATAAATTGCTATGCCTATATTATCATCGTTGTCGGCGAATTGGGATTTATTTAAAAACCATTAAAACCTAGGTATTTTTGTCAAAAAACAGGGTATCGGCGAACTGGGAATAAGCAAACTTGGAACAAACCATATTTCCTACATATATAAAATATAATATTTTCTTAAACAATTTATTTATTCAATAATTTTCCATTTATTTTCTAGTGGATACACAGTATATAAAATCTTACTCAATTCAATATCTAATGAACTTTATTGTGTGTCCATTTAGACACAGAAAACTTCTTTCAAAAATCTCCTTATAATTAGTTATTTAAGAAATTCTAAAAAATATATACATATATTTAGTAATACCTGTCCTATGCCCAATAAAAGGATATCCAAACAATTTTTTAAGTTATCACTGATCAATAGCAAATATAAAATTCTTCATTAATCAAATACAACAAAAATGACTCTATCTAACAAAACTTTAAAAAAAAATAAGATTCAAAACAAAAACTAATATTTACTAAGTGGAATTTTAGGTACAAATAATTGTTTCTTAGCCAAAAATGATATTTGAATTAAAAACATATCCTGCTTAAAAAACATCTCCTAAAATTCAAATCCTAATTTTTTAACCAAATAGTTACCTACTTTCCTATTTACCTAAAACAAAATAGTAATAATTAATAAGTAATCCAAAAGATAACTGTATTACTAAACTTTGTAAATAATTATTAACAATAATAATTTCTATCACACCATTTTAGTATAAAAATTATATAATTAAATTAACTTTTAAACAGTAATAAAATACTTGCATGAGTTATTAAAAAACTAAAAAGATAACCATTAAAAACATATTTTTACATAGGTACTTAAGCGATTTATCATAAAAATATAAAATCAATAAATAATGTGAAGTACAAATCACTTAATTATAGTTACATAAATGATTGTTAACAATAGGTAATGAAATTCAAATAATTTATCCTTATAAATTAACTGCAAAATAATTAAAACATACCTACTCAGTTTAAGAATTTAGGAATAAAAGAATTTCAATAATGTTTGCAAAAAGAATCGCAAAAACAACTAACTAAATTCAGTCAGGAGGCTTATATTTATAAGGGGGCCCCCCAAATTTTCCAATAATGCGTATTATGAATGGGCTCTGGGTTCTGGCATGCAAAATATGACTGTCATATGAGGGAGGGGGGCTCCCATGAAAAATTCAGTAAATTACAAACTTAGTATAAATTATTATTATAGACACTATAGTCAGTACCTATATGGCAATTACCAATGTACAAGGTAATTTAAAATAGTAATTTTAGTATTTAATTTAGATACATATATATTTATGTATTTCTATACTATTATTATGTATATAATTACCCGAATTCATTGTGTTACAAATTTATTATTATAATAAAAACTTTAAAAAAAACTTTCACTACCTATATTAACATGTACAATGTACATGTATTATTTATTTATATAATCATATTGTACCTAACGATTTAATTTTTTTTTTATGTTTTTATTGATTTAACAAAAGATTGTTGGCCAATGTATAATAAAATTGCTAAATTGATATTATTCTTAACTACCAAAACAAAAAAGATGTTTTTATTTATTTATTCTTCTTCTCCTTCACCTCCATTCCAATTATTTGGGGTTGGCCACCCTCATTCTAAACTTCCAATCTGAATCTCTTACCTTGCATGCATCAACTGTTATCATATCATTTTCAATCACACCCAACTACCTCATTTTCAGTTTTCCTCTTTGCCTATTTCCTTCTATGTTTATTTTAATTTAAATTCTTATTGCTTCAGATTCCTCTCTCTTTATTGATACATTTATTTTAAAATACAAATTGTACCCCTCTCAGTATTAATAATCCTAGATTAAAGGGGCCTTGTTATAATCGTTTATGGGAACCACACTTAATAGTGGTTCAAATAGGTTCAAATGAAGCTCTTCGGATACACACATGAAAATAATTATCACTGTTGCAAGGGTCGCTAGTTGGTGGAAAACTCACAATAAAATATTTAAATATAGATAGATAGATAGGTTATTAGTTTATTACTTATTATTGAAGGTATATTGAAATAAACACGTAAAAAAAAGTAAAATTAAACCAAAACCATCGATTAAACCAACTTAAATAATTTGTTTATCTATCTAATATTAAAACTATCCGATAATAAACATAATAAATAATACCAATAATAACTTTATTTTATTTTAGAAATATACAAATTCATAAGAATTTTTTTTAACAAAATATTTTCTAACCCAACCTATAAAAAAACCTGTTTTGGGTTGGGTGAGTTCTAAAAATATGATAATTAGGTAAATTATAACAGTAAAAATAACAATGAGTTCCTCTGATATATTAAATTAAACACCAATTACGATTAAATATATTAAATATATATTAAATACCTATTTCGTATTCAATACAAATGTGAGTTAATTTAAACTTTTAATGTACACCTTAAATTTAGCAAATATTGGGAAGAATCAATAATAATATATTCATCATGCAATAAGTAAAAGGGACAATATTTAAATTCAATCCAATATTTAAAGGGGACATCATACCAAATAATTACATATAGGGAGATTGACATTACTTTTTTCCTTTAGTATATAGTACTAAAATTGTGTATTGGTTTATGGTTTATTTATTAGATGTTTATATGTATATAATAATTATAATAAATGATTTCTATGTAATGTTTCTAAACTATTAACATTAAACAGTTTATATATTATTATACAAATTGGAGTGAGAAATGGCTTTTTTAAGATAAATTTTATTAGAGTTAATAATGGTGTTTATAAATATTAGATAAGTTTTGAATATACCACCCTATATATTTATACCTACCATACAAGATAAAATAATTTACTAGTGCAAAATAAACAGTCTTAAATTTAAAACTTTAACATTCAATGTTAATCTAAGTGTTTTAAAGCTATGAAAAAATGTCCTTACTAAGCTTACTAAATGTTTAATATGATATTTCCAATTTAATTTATTATCATAAATCAATCCTAAATATTTTATTTTTGTGCAATTACAATCTTTCATTTATTTACAATTATTATTATGAAAAGATAACTTATGATTTTTAATATCATTATTAATGTTACTATAAATATTAAATTTTAGAAAATAAGATTTGTTTTAATTTATTACCTATTGTTATCAAACTATGACATTAATATTTTAATTGATTTATTAGCTAATTTGAATAATAACTCATTTGATTTTTCATTTAATAACACTAAGGTGTCATTCACATTACAAATTAATTTTCCTTTTATATTAAAATTTAGTAATCCATTAATATAAATTATAAATAGTAATGGCCCTAAGACTGTTTCCTGAGTTACAGAGTGTGTATCACAAGCTTATTATACTCATTTTTTACTTTCACCATTAAAGTTCTGTTATTTAGATATGATTCAAAAAGATTTTTTGCTAACCCTTGTATTCCAGCATTCTCAATTTTTTTTAATAACAATGAATGTTTTACAGTATTAAAGGCTTTTCTGATGTTTAGGAAAATTCCAATAACTTTATTATTTTGATCTAACGAGTTTCTAATATAATTATTTTCTATAAAATGAGTATCTTTGATTTATATTCCATTGATAAATCCATATTGATTATCAGAAAATAAATGGTTAATTAATAAAAATTCCATAACCTCAATGTATTTTTCAAAAATATTGGAAATTGTTAAAGGGAATACAATTAGTTTATAATTACAACAAATTCTCTTATCGCCTCATTTTAATTTTTAATAAGTATTTCTGTATTTTAAGTTCAGTTATTGGATTTCAAAAAATATAATTCTTAATATGTCATTTATAATTCATTGAATTCCAGTATAATTTCCCAAAACGATTCTCATTAATGCTCGTCTCAATATTACTTCCAACATCAACAAAAAAAAAATTAAACTAATTTTAATCAAATTTTTAGTGGCAATTTCAAGTTATTAGTGAAAATGAAATATTTCACTTGAAATTTCATACTGCTTGAAATATAGTAAATAATTATTTTTTCAAATATTTGTGAATTAATTTTTATTATGTTTTGTAAAGTCATAATTAGGCTTAGGAACTTCTAGCTCTACAAATCATACAAATATGCTTGGAAAAAGAACCAAATATGCACTGAAATATGCACTAAAAAATAGTTGCCTTCTAATAATATATGTTCTAATGAGAAAAAACATTAAAATACGCAAAAATATGTACAATCAAATTTCAGATTTAAATTCTATATAACATAAACTTTATAACTACAAACAGGATTTATATTTGACTCTGTTACTTTTTACATAATTAAGAAAAAATATTAAAATATTATAAGTCCCTAAACCTAGTCATAACTGACAAATATTATAATTATTTTGATATGTGGTTTGCTTTAAATTTTAAACTGTACACTTTATAGTCATTTAATTATTAATTATTCTTGTTTTTATTCTTGCAGGTTACTTTTTCGATATAAATGCAATTTAGCAATTTTTCGGAATTATTTTTTTCCAAAATGTGTATTTTTGCATGCTTAATTTGATGGTACTTTCAAAAAAATTCGCTCAAACTTCATTTGGAAGTTATGGTCAAAAAACTTCAAAATGCTCAATTTTTATAAAAATCGCGTTTTTGAGTTTAAAATTAAAAAATTTATGTTCTTGGAATTTTTTGTTTATTTTAGAAATAGTAATAAGTACATGCTTAACATTTTGGTGAAATCAAAATTCACTTATCGTGCTTACTTTTTATGTAATTATTAATAAACCACGTAAAACCTACATATAATGTTATTTCAATCATTTGTATATAAAGTAACTCAAAATTGATTTTTTGAAATCAAAACATATATTTTTTTGATATTTATGAGCTATTTGGGCGAAAACGCCAAGGGACTGTTTCTTTGGCAGTAATTGAAAAATTGAAATCTTAGACACTAATTGCCAAACAAAACACATTAAAATGCGTTCATGAGGATCCTTTCAAGTTATATTTGAAAGTTAATTTCATTGACGGATATGTATGGAGATTTCTAAATTATTCTAAGAATTCACATCGAAATAAAGTAAATTTTAAAACTTTATTAAATATTTTGTTAAGACCATATAAATTTCAGTCACTCAGCTCTCTAGGGGCTTTTTTTATGTATAATTATTATGGCTTCAGTAAATAAAAATATAAAATAGTATTAAATAAAGTATATTTTTCCAAAGGTAAAATGTGATATTTTTGTATCCATAAGAAAGGATACCTATTTTCACTATTTCTTCCAAACTAAAAATATTAGTAAGTTCTGATTTCACCAAAAACTTATTTATGTTTTTACACACCGAATAAAAAATAAAAAGCCCAAAAATCAATTTTGAGTTGCTTTAATATGCAAATGATTGAAATAACATAATAATTAGGTTTTATATGGTTTATTAATAATAACATAAAAAGTACGTGTGATAGATTAATTCTAATGTCTGAACATATTTTGAAAGTTTTAAATAGGTAATGTTAACATACCTTTGATAAATATGTTAGTTATTAAATAATTAGCAGTACTGGTCTTAATGTTGACAAAATAGTAAAACTAATAATAAACCAATGATTTTTAAGCCTCGCTAAGTATAATTTGATGGATATAGGTACTGAATTATATTATAGCATGCTGTAAATATTTTAGCCAAAAGTCTTCTTTTTTGTTCAATAATTCTATATTACAATATGTCAATATATGAGATTTGTACAACCAGCTGAATGAAAAGAACAAAGTAATTTAAATATTTAAAAAATCCCCTGGTCACTGTCATTTAATCTGCTAATTAATTATAATTTATCTTGTAGCATTGACTCACTATTGCAAGGTTCTAGTGCTACAATTATTGAAACAGTTCTTAAATCCTTCCACTTTAAACAAAACCGGCTGAATCATAAATCAGATATTTTAAAATTTAAATAAAACAACATACCCAGAATGCCAGAATTTTCTAAACTGGCAAATACAATTTTGTTTGTTCTTTCAACACAAGTTGGTGTGAAAAGTTCATTTTCTGGACTTAAATATATAGTAATTAATTGTGCTTACCAAACCAATGTATCACCTAAAAATTTAGAAAATTAGTTACAGTTTATTAAAAGATTTGTTACAGATTGTTAAAATAAAATAAACAAAAAACAAGTAACCTAAACATTTTTTAATTACAAGTCAATAGGTAAATTAATTTAATATGAATATGAATAGTGCATTATATTTTTGATATAAAAAAAGTTATTCAAAATACATTAGACGTAAAATCTATTAACTGAAATAAAAACAAAATCTAAAAAAAGAAAAATGAATAGTACCTACCTACCCAATTTTAATAGTAAATTAGATACTTAATTTTGTCATTTTATTTATATTTAAAAAAAACTGTCTGATAAGTATTAAAACAAAATGTAATTAGTATATATCGTACAATTTCTGACATGAATTTCAGTAGTTTTAACTTCTACAGTTTTACAAGGAAGTAACAGCAATCATACCTATAGAATAAGCCAATCAAGTAACTAAAGTGTATAAAATGCCAAAATAAGTAGTAATGAATAATCGCCATTCAAATCAATATCCTTTTCAACCAGAGAAAAGTATGTGAGTACCTATATTTTAGTACCTATTGATAATTACAAATTAATTACAAGATAATTTGTGAAAGCTGGATCGCCTAACAACTATAAAGTAGGCGACTTGGTCAAATGTGTACCAATCATGCAAAAATCTAGTGTACTATTAAAATAAAATCACTTTTGGTTGAGACTATTTAATAGGTATTTGATTGTATCAAACTATGCACTGCACTGCAACTTCTTTCAATGCTTGACAATCCAAATTTAAAAATCTGTTTTAGATGTTTTTAAAACCAAAATAATAAACTTAGCCATTAAAAGGCATAACCGTACATATGTCATACAAACCAAAATAATTTCCAAATTCTATAAGTGTTGGACATTAATTATTGTGTTGTTCAGTATGTTTTTCTGAGGGTTGGTAAACATAATTACCACTGTTTATTTACAACCACAGATATCCATATTAAAATATGGATATCTGTGTTTACAACAGAAAACAAACATTCTAACAATATGTAAACACATAATAATGAATATGCATCGTATAACACTTTTATTGGAAAAATATAGATACAAATGAGGAATACGTTTATTATTAGCTGTTAAACTTAACATCAAAGAAAAATATTTATTTTTCTTTTCGCTTTACAAGTACCTTACCTAATTCTTGGAACTTGAGTCATTTTTTTTTTCCGCCACACAAACATACTTCGACGATAGACATAATTATTAAATACACTTTTATAAACGTCACTTATCAAATAACAAATGCCGAATGGCCGCAATATTACAATTCACATTTCACATTGATTTACAAATTATGTGGGAAAACGGGTCGAAACCCCCCTCGGCTATACGTATTACGATTGTCGTAGCGGTACGGACGTACATCAAAACGAGAACGCGCAGTTTTCTATTAATAAACCACCAATATAAACGATTTTACTACCTGCTTTATCTATGATTTATGATAAGGCAACGAGGCTTTATGCTGCAGATCGCGCGAGCGAATGAGACACGTCGATGTTGATCTGCCCAAATACTAATGAGTGTTGGGTAAATCATTTGTTTATATATGCCAAGCATGTACCTACACCTACACCTGTACCTATACTTATACCTAAACCTATACCTATACCTACCTATCAACTCGCCGGGCCGACCGCCTACCACCAAAACATTATGACGAATCCGCTCTGCCCGAATACGGGATTCGACACCACTATAGTTATTTTATTTATCGAGATTAAACGGGCTGAGCCTTTTCGGCACACACCATATACATTTATACATAATATGTAACATCGAATTGTGCCGGTGACGAAAATATGTGTATTAAGTACGAGCTAAAAATGCCTAGGTACTCTACGTCGGACAGATCTGGGGGATCTGTCCGGCATATAGAGTACCCCTTACTTTAAAATCGATAAGTGTCTGCGATCGTCTAGGGAAGTTAATCCGAGTCTGGTTGATGCACGATTATAATCATGCTAACGTTAAGGTCCGTCGCTGAACGCGTTCGATTTGGTGATACTTACCGTCAGTGGGGCGGCTCTCGGATGGAATAGGTGGGTACTCCAAAAGTACTCTCGTTTTTCGAAAGAATACACGGTTCTCATGATGAGTGATTTCAGCGCTTTACAACACATCACATCAATGTGGGTTCCTGGATCAAGGGTACTATTTAATTTGTAACCAAGGTCAAGTACAAAGTCATTAATTGATCGCTCTAGGACAGTAATCATATGCACTGCATATATGAGAACACTCACTTATGTCAAAATTTATATCCATAAGTACATAGAAAGTGTACGTTCAGCTTGTAAGGACAGTATTGTATTATAATTTAATATTTGTAAACGCCTTAATACACGTGGTAATTAAACCAAATTTTTCACAGATAATATACGAAACTGAAATCGATTATTATAAAAGAAAAATGACAAACCGAGTAATTTTTAAGAATTATCAAAAAAATCCCTACGACTAACTACTAAGATTATTGTTGTTATTTAGATCCCCCATTATCTAAATCTTTATTGAGATCTTGGGAATTGACCATTTAAGATCGAGTTAACCGTGAAAATTGATAACGTGTAGGGCCATTACGATCTTATTTGATTTCTGGCCGTTTTGACCGCAGCCAGTGTTTATAATCTATGGTAGCCAGAAATTGTTTTGGATGTTTATACGACGCGCCTATAATTATAAATTGATAATCTTATTTTATCAAATTGTCAGCACTTGGGAAAGTTATGATTGTTCGGTTCGCTTATAATAGTTACCTTTTGTTTTTTCAAAAATATTTCAGATGTTGAATTTAACCGAGTGAACCATTTGAAATAATTAAATTAAAAATTAATCATATTTAAGATTGATAATGAATCTGTGTGTGTCATATGGGTACAATGTACATAATATACACGTGCTTTGAAGTATAAAAATGAAGCATAATATGATATAAGGTAGGTTATATTGCATTTCAATATTTTGTCATAATTCATTAGTGCCAATCATATACAAATAATACGCTACATACGTTGATATTTTTATACTTAACTGTTTAATATAAATTTTTTAAGAATACTTACATATATTTAACAGTGATTTACATTATAAATTAATGATAATGTTAATAGGTGTTTTCCATGCTAGTTTCTAAAAAGCCATAGATAGATTTGTAATTATTTTAATGCCTAGGTACCTATTTGTAATATTAATTAATTGTTTACATTATATATATATATATATATTTTATATAACAAAAGAGCAGTTCAAAACTTGTTAACTTAGAATGTTCAACCACTACAGTCTTCAACTCTTAGTTAAATTTAAATTACTATTATTTAATGGTCAAAATAAAACAAACTTTTTGCTATAAAAAACATAAATTTTAGTTGATAATTATTGATAGATTTTGAAAACAGATTAGTACATATTTATTTGTACTAATATCCCCGCACCGCACAAGTACTTGCTTACGTCTTGATTAGACTATTTAATTTCAATAATTCCTTCATTAGAACTAAACTTTCTTGCAATAGTATTTATTTGATCTTTAGACATTCAAAATAATAATTAGTTATAACATGTAAAATTAATGAACTTGGTTTATTATTAACATAATCATATTATTTTTTTTCAAGAAAACTGCTTACTGTCAATATTACTTGCCTACATAACTAATATCTCAAACCTGTGTATGGACCGTATATGTAAATAACATTGTTAACAATTTTTTTCAGATATCTATTACTAACGGGTTGTAATATGAACAATAAATTACCAGATAACGTTGATTATTGTATTAACAGTTATTCAGAAATTTTGATTGATTTTGCTCCAGAAGGACAAAAACAAATAAGTCGATTTTTTGATGTCAATTCTCATCACGTACAAATTTTACATAAATTGGATGTGTATAGTAAAAATTTTAATCAAATTACATCAGCAGCTGATGGACAACATATGAAAAAAATTTTAATTGACTCTTTAGAATTAGCGGACAGAAAAGTTGACATTACTAAACGTCTAGGGGACATGGTAAATGATAATATTTCTAAATTAAATACAAGTTTGAAGAAAATTAAAATGAGTCAATTGAACGAAAATAACGAAGCAAATGATAAATCTAATAAAATGTTAAATTGGGTACCTGAACACAAAGAAATGGATTCAGATTCTCTTTTCGAAGAATTAAGTGTGAATGATTTAGATAATCATTCTAACAATAATAAAACAAAAATAACTAACAACATCCAAGCAAAATCAAATTTAGATGGTAACATTGAGCCTTCAGAAAAAATATCCACCGACACTAAACAAAAACAACTAAAAAACACAATTGAAAAAAAAAATCTTACAAAAAAGCAATGCAAAAGAAGAAAACAAATTTCAGAAAGTTTTACAGATAGCGATGTAGAACCTACTTATTGTATTTGTGAAAAAGTATCGTATGGTAATATGGTTTACTGTGATAACGATTTATGCCCTATCCAATGGTTTCATTTTAAATGTGTGTCTTTAAGTAAGAAACCCAAAGGAAAATGGTATTGTCCAAGGTGCAGAGGAACTAATTCCAAACAAATGAAACCTAAGGAAATAGTTTTGCTTGAACTAGCAAAGTACAATAAACAAAAAGAAGACGATTTTAATAAATACGAATGACACTGTCAAAAATATTTATAAAAATGCTTTGTAAACATTTGAATTATTTATGTAAGGAAAATCTATATTATTTATAAATTTATAAGTTTTTAATATTATTAATTTTTTTTTTATTTATAAAAAATTAGACTTTAGTACTATTCTTTAGCTAATATTTCTAACTAAATACTAATATATTAAAAAAAAAAAAAAAAAAAAAATTAAACTCTTAGAATTTAGGGTTATTTATTAAATTCAGAGTTTTCTTTAATATTTCATATGATAATTTTTCATTTGCGAAACTCAATTATAAATATTTGTTTAATATATTATGGTATGTTTAAACTTTAAAAATTAATATAAATTTGAAAATATTAAAGTAAATAATTGCTTTTTATTTTTGTGAATACGCTTAAAATATATAGTTAGATAAGAAAAATACAAAATGTAAGTCATAATTTTTATTTTCATTATAACTCTTATAATATAGTTAGGTGATGATATAATAATTTGGAAAATATATAATATAAAATGGGAAAATTGTATTTGTTTTATTTTTTGAAAAATTTTTAACAATCATAATATTACTAGCTATTTGGTAAAGATAAATAAAATATAAATATAAAATAATCAAAGTGAGGGCAAAGTTACAAATTGATAATAATTTATTGTCTAATCACTCAATTACATTGTTTAAATTATTATTTCACGCAATTTGGAAATTTTAATAATTTGATATATTTTCATCTCATTTATTATCATTTTTATCTCTATTGTTTTTACACCACATAGGGTTTTGAACATGGGTGACATTATTTATATTCCGATATTTAAAATTAATCTGATTTTGTTAATATATATTTGTTGTTAATATTGTTATATTTTAGACGTTATAGATATTTCCAAAAAAAAATCTGTTTTTAAAAACCAGATATTTCAATATACTCTATAATGGGTGATATACTATACTGATTTATGCCAATACTCCCAACTAATTTATAGTAGCTCAAATGGTTGTGTTCAATAATATTGATATAATTGAATTACCTCAAAATAAAATGTTTCTAAATGAAACTTAAAACTTACCATAATTCAAATTTGTTCTTGCATACATTATTATTTTTACCAAACAGCAGTTAAAGATAACATTAAAAAAATGTAAAGATAACAGCAATAATAAAATTACACGTAACATTAAAAATTTAAATACAAAAATAACGTGAAAATAAGCAAAGGTCAACCTAAGCATTCTATTTATGGGATGATTGAGGTAGTAAGAAGTGGAAAGTGGAAATGTAAAAAGGAGTTTAATTTCTTATACCGCGAAATACAACTTTGAATAAAATATGAGAAAATAGGTCAGGTGCTATTGATTACTGACGGGTGGGTGGATAAAGGGATATTAAGATAGACAAATTTCAGGGTATTTACGTAGAGGCGAAGGTAACTAGAATCTAAAAGCAGTGTGTAACTAAAATATATATTGAACACATTAAATGGCATAACTAATCCTTAGCAGTGTAAAGGTGCCAAACAACAACACCTTATCATATGGTAATGAAATAATATTGCTACTGTTTAAAAAATAGTAATTTACTTTGTACAAAATTAAAAATATATTACATGGTTAAAAGTTTATTCGGCATTCTTTATTTGGTTATGTAGCAACTATGTCCATGGATCTTCCAGCATTGATGGATGATAATATTGTTCATTATTTTTATTATTCAAATTTGAATTGTTCTAAAATAATAAATAAACATTAAATTGTATTCATACAAAATCAATATAAAACTGTTTTCAAGTGATTTAATTTTAAAAGAAGCAAAACCACGACCTAAGTTAATAGCATATGGTTTCAAATAACATCTATTATTAAAATATCTATATGATTAAATCCAATCTAATGAAAATGTCTAGCTTTGTCTATGTACTAGTGATTACAAATCAAATTTGTATTAAATAACAAATTATTTATTTAATAAAGACATAACTTACAAAGTAATTTTTTTTTTTGAATTTATTAGGAATAGGACTATACTCGTAACAAACACATGCTTCTTGTGACGTATCACTACTGGAATCATTTTGCTATAGAAAAATCAAGTTTTAAAAATCAATGACTGTGTATTTTAATATAATGAAAATAAATAATTATTTAATTACGTTTGAACTATTATTAAATGTGTTAGGTGATCTCCATTGGTACAGTGATCCTTCAGAACTTGGGTTAAATATTTTTGGGCTGCCAAAACTTTGTTCTGGGGTGGTGGCATGTACCAAAATTGTATTAAACGAGTTCTCTGTTGACTTTGCTCTTTCCTGTTGGAACAAACATTCTGAATTTTGTGGTGTGTTGACTGGAGCAGAAATAGCGGCTATATACATGGATTTAATTGATGGCGATTTATCCTTTAAACTCATTTTATCATAACGTTTAACTTAACCTTTTTAAAAAAAAGTACGAGGAAATAAATATTATAAAAGATAATTTTTGTTAAATTCAATTAAACGAATTTAAACTTTGTTTCCATCTTATCTCCATAGAATAATAAATCTCCGTGGATTAAAGTTTTAACCATAGAACCCTATAAGTTATAGGTAACTATGGTTATGATTAAGTTAATAAAAGAATCGGTTCGTTTCCATATTAATATTGTGCTGCTATCTAGTTGTATTGTTTATTATTTATGACATTCACTGTGCCTTAAGGACAATATTAAACTTTTGGAAACACATTTAACCCTTTGAGGCCATATGGCATCATCAGTTCTAACAATTTTTATTATCTTTATGAATGTCCCAACGATTACGTATGGCATCAATTACGAAGGGAAATTTTATTTTCTCTCGAATAGTAACACTATTTTAACGATAACGTGATTTACTGTTATCTTTTTAACAAATATAGCGTTTTCCACGTACCAACTGCACCGTTGCACCTAGAGAGAACAAGATATATTGGCCGAAAAACTGTTCAGTTCAGTCGAATCGTGGATCATATTGAACATAATTTTTACAGTTATCAAGTATAAATATTATAATAATTTTGTCCTCAAGTGCAGTCAGGTGGAAAACGCTACTTTAAAAAAAAACTGAAGAACCGTGTCATCTAAGACCGTGATTAGAACATTAAAATTATTCAAACAAAAAAAAATTTTAAGCAGTGGGCATGAAAAGATTAAATCAATTTTAACAAAACTTGGCTTACAACACTATGACTTTAATCCCCTCAATTATATAATAAACTTATAAACTAAATTATAAAATCAATGATAAGAGACCCACACATGCGCATATCACTGCAGTCCTACAGAATCACAAATTTGTTGAATGATTATCCATTGTATATGATCAAAGATTATAAACATTGATATAGATAAATTATCTATATCTGTGGTTATACAATTATTCATGTCCAATTTAAAATAATAACTTACAGGGTTAATATTGGAATTTAACTACAATTAAATATTTGTATTAAATAATAATATGCTCTCTTCGGTCGTAAAAGAACATCAGGCCAAACAAGCTGCCCGTAAAGAAAGCCAAGGTAAGAATTGTTGTATGTTACAGGTAGATTTAGTCATTTTAGGACATTTAGGTATCTATATTATAAACAAAATAGAAAAAAAAATGTTGGAATCTGGAATATAGATCAATTTTTTTTTTTATGTTCAAAATTATGTTTCCTATCTTTAATTTAATAAATTTATTGGTTAAATTTGTTTTAAGCATCTATTTTTTCATTTAGTATTTGTTTACCGGTTATGAGACATTTAATAGTATAATGTATTATTGATTAAATATACTTAAATCAATTAGGTATTTTATTAAAACAATTAATTAATAGCTATTTGTTCTATAGATATTAAAAGAAAAGAAGCTGTAAATGCAGCCAATGAGTTGACCAATGCACTAGTTGAACATTTAAATGTTGGGTAAGATACAAATTTCAATATTATGTATTGTTATCATTTAAAATTTGTAATTTTTTAAATTCAATTAAAAAATTATTTTTAATATTGTATTATTTACTTTATCAGAGTGGCCCAAGCTTATCTCAATCAAAAAAAATTGGATGCCGAGGCAAAACAGTTACATCAGAGTGCTATTGTATTTTCCAAACAAACTTCTCAATGGCTATCACTTATTGATACTTTTAATAGTGCACTTAAAGAATTAGGCGACGTTGAAAATTGGACACGCACCATTGAAAATGACATGCGCAACATCACTACCACTCTAGAATATGCATACAAAGGTAACTGTATAAACTGTCAATTATTATTATGGAACAATTTTAATTGGCTAACATTTTATTTTACAGTTACTCAAAAATCATAACTTTCCCAGACTACAAAAAAGGTTTAATTTTCAATTTCAAATTCCTTTGTCCATTTTTACTCTTTTATTTAAAATATATTGATTTTTTTATTAATTTTGTAAATACATATACTATACTTTGTAATTTTTTTTTTGGTACTTTATAAAACTGTTCAATCCTAGCTATACATATAATCTTTGTTACATGTTAAAGAAGTTAATAAAAATAAAAATTGTTCTTAAAAAAAATGTGTTAGTTGTTAATTTTTTTTAATAAAAAAGAAATATTAATCTAATTCTTATATACTTAATATGATGGGTACAGGGAAAAAATCGAGTCACTTTTTTTCCAAAATAATAATATTGATATCAAATAATTTATATTGACCATATCTTACCATATGGTACCATATCTTTTATGCGATTGAACAGACGAAAAACCAAATTTGTCGAAAGTAATAAACACTGTAAGTCTACAGGAAAAAAAACAGTAAGTCAATTGATAACCAGACAAGTTCTGGGTTAATACAGGATTATAGCTGCAGTTAATTATATAATATGATATTGTGTTAAGATTATTACATTATAAAGTTTAATATTAAACTTAATCCAAAATTTTTACTTTATAAAATAAAAACACATTTTTCTTAGTTTTTAAAAAAGTGATTTCTCTAGTTTTTTCCCTAAGTGTGCTGACGTACAGCATAGGTATCTAGTAAGTACACAATACCATATACACAGACGAAGTAGTTGATGCCTGGGCTCGTGAATAAATATTATTCGCTCCTGGCCCATTCACCTTTCATTTATAACATCCAGCTTTATTTCAATTGTTAATAGTATATACAAATTTAATAATATCAAAAAAATGGGTCTTGATATAAGATGTGTTATATTAATCAATCAGTCTAGTCCTTATTTAACCAGGTAGCATCAAAGATAGTTCCAAACGATTTAGTCGTGGGAACATTAATTACATTTATAATCATTCCATACAGTTTAAACCCTACTTTGTAGTATATAGATATTAGATAATTAATCAAAAATTAAGAAACAGAGATTTCCATCCAGTTAACCTTTAGATTAAATAACAAGCAAAATATCATTATAAACCATTTGAACTTTTTTATTTTTTATTTAGTAAAAGTAGACAATAATATTATTTGTTTCAAGGCTATATGTATCCTATAATGGTGTTTTAACTCAACAGCATGTTTAAAATGTTTAAACTATAATAGTTTAAAGGTACTTTTTAGAATTTTTTTAAATATTTCAAATAAAAATTATCATGGGCTTAGAGGGCCTATTGTTGGAATGGTGAGATAAGAATTTTAAAATACTCATTAGGCAAGACAGACAAAAATGACTTTAAAGAATCAACAATATTTTATTATTTATTATAAAAAATTGATTAATATTTTACAGATCACATTTAATTTAGAATTTTCTTAACTTCATATAATGGTATAAAAAAATGACCTTTTAGATTATGAGTGGTATCGAGAAATGTATTGGTTTTACAGTGTTTATTTTTTGTTGTTATTTAATTTTTATTATTTTAATATTTTTTAAACAATCATTTTTGTCATGGGAACACATTGTTTTAATCATTTTATCATAATATGACATACCATTATATTATATTGTTGACAAAATGACATTATCAACTGAACTCGGCTCAGAATCTTTTTTTTTTTATTGTTAGCAATGGTTTATTGTTGCTGTCAGATATACATTAAATTCTCGTCTGTAGCCACCCTTCCCAACTTCCCATCTACAACCATGGCTCCACCCACGTGTAAAGTATGTCTGTCCTTTTGGATTCAGAGCATAGGGAAAGAGCTATAGGTTTTACTAAGATATTTATTTTTTTTTCTTTGTTCTAGTCTGTGGACATGTTTTTTCCTAATAAACTTACTCCAATTTGTACGTGTAGCAATTTTTCTGAAAGCTCAAGTTGTTTTTATTTTACTTTAAAAAGGTTATTTTTTGAATAAAAGCACCTAAGTGGGGAAAAACATTGGAAACCATACAATTTCATGATTTCATTATTTCATAAAAACACGTTTTTCTACCAGAAAAAATGATTTAATTGAAAAATCACATAATACCTTTTTGATTTACTTTCAAACAGTATCATCGCCAAAATTTTTCTGCTTTTAATAAATTTTAATTGTTGGGAGTTTTGTTTGCTGCAATTCGGTTATAAATACACATAGACTTGAAACTTGGTAATAATACTTTCATTGGACTTATCTAGACATGGTTAAAATTTCCAAAATCATAGTTCTTTTTTTTTAATAAACATTTTAAAATCAAATTTAAACGAAAATCACAAAAATTACGTATAACCGAACTGCGTTTGGAATTGTCTTTCGTCATACAATGGTTTATCGTTACTTACAGATAAATAAAACAACCTTATGTAAACTACTTTCCTAACTTCTAACCTACAACAGTGGCCACTCCCATCCTCAATAATATTAGCTCTTTTTTACTTTTAGATTCTGAGTGGAGCGAAGCTTTTTTTAAATATGCATCTATTGTAAAATTAAAGGAGAAAACATTGAAAAAGAGAATTCAATGTAGTCTTTAAAAAGTTTACCTCTTTTCAAAAGTAATCATTGATGTCAGACAACTTTACAAGGTATGAGAGTTTTTCCCGTAAGTCAATTTTTTGGGCCAAAAACATGCTAATACCACCTGATGTCCCTTAATCTCTTATGTTCACTGAATGAGTTTAATTTTATTTGTTCGTATTTTGGATATTGTAAAAATAATAGAGTACCAAGAATTGAATGGAAAGAATAAGAGTAGTAAAGTAAAATGGAAAAGTCCACACATCCACGTAATAAACCATTATTATAAATAGAGAAGACAAAAACGTGATAAAACAAATTATATTTCTATGTGTATAATAATAATCAATGAATTTTTATCATATTTATATATTTTATACTTCAAAAATACTCGACAACAAAATAGTAACTGGTCAATGTCGACTTGTTTAACCATAAGATGTCAAAATTACACTATGTAAATAATTTACATATTACTACAAACTATTCAATTAAAAATGTAATATGCAACTTAAACATACAATCATACTAATAAAAAAATATATATATATATATATATGTATAACGTAAAACTATAAAACACAGTATAAATAATTACAAATAATCATTAAAAAAAATATATATATAAATAAAATGATTGTTGTGAATGATGTGGTAAATTAGAGACAGTTGATTATAAAATAAATTTACCTATGAGGAATAAATAATAATAAAATAAACAAGCAAAATGGTAAACTGTATGATGAATACACAAATTCATAAGAAATAATTATGTTATTTTTTTGATTATGTTAACATTTTTAATTACACAACATAATTTTCAGTAACCCTTTCCCTAATGATTATGTACATTGCAAGTATATACTTAATTATTTATCTAATTTTATGACTAGGCGAGATTAAGTAAAATAAAAATAACCCTACTATAAATAATTTTAAAAAAAAATCATTACCCCCCTCTATTAGCATATAATGCTGAATCACAACGACAACCAGCATAAATTGACTGCATTTTGTCAAACATTGTATAAAACATAACACCTAATAGACAAATGCATTTTTTTTTTATGTATTCATTAGTCTATGCACAGACGCACAATTATAACTGCATAAAAACAAACAAACAAATAACTTGGTTAATGAACACTTAAAAAAATACATGGACTCAAATAGAAAAAATAGAAAACTCAAAATTTGGTATAATAACGAGTGCAAACATATTATCACAATTGTATGGGATATTATTTTAATTTTTTCCGAAAAGTAAAAATTTTAACTTAATTGTATAGGTATCTAAAAATATAATATAAATAACAATAGTATTGCATATAATTATTGCTGCAATAATTCATATAAATTCAAAAATATTAGATAAAAAATAAATACATTTTCTCGTTTTCTTCACCATTAATGATACTTTCAAATTATCTTTATCACAATAATGCCTTTGGTTTAAAAGAAATAATATAGTACTTATATAAGCAAAAATATAGTTTCATCTGGAAAAAAATATTATTGCATATACAAACCAATGTATAGACTGGAATTTTTCACTTAAAATATAATTTCAAACTTAAATTTCTTTCATATTTGAGCAAAACAAATTATATCTTCAATAACCTGGTGGCTTAGGAGCTTGATGTTTTGCAACTGAAATAATTTTTCAAAATTAAATAATATTTTTATATCAAATAAAAAAAAGCAAATTTTTATTTACCGACTAGTCTGCTATTATAAATTTTATCAACTCTTTGGAAAATTGGTGGCGGTGGAAGTCTAACAATTGGTTTGAACATACCAGAAAACCTCATTTCCATTTCCTCTGTAAAAATTACACATTTATCATTAAAGTGGCTCCTTAATTAATATTACATTAGTCATCTAACCCAAAAGTGACATGTTTAAAACAGAAGTTGGACCATTTCTCATAGAAGAATGACGTGTTGGGGGTGTTGGAGGAGCTCCATTAGTTACCTGAATATATAAATATATTATTAATAAACCCTATGCATTTAAGTCATTTTAGATAATTAGTAGCTAATACTTACATTACTCTGGTAACTTTTATGAGGGGGTACATTGGGTGGTGGAGGAGGAGGAACAGTCCGGTGTGGTGGCGGCGGTGGTGGTGGAGCACACGCAGGTGGGTTTAACGGTGCTTTAATGGGCGGAGGTGGTGGTCTAGTATTTGGATGTTTAATAGGGCGCAATGTTCGGGATCCCCATTGAGCATTTGGTGGGGTGTTGGGAGAACTCCTTAAAATACTGTCTTGCGATTGATGGAAAGCAGGTAATTGATTTTTACTACTGATGGTCAAATTATTAAATTGAGGTGCTGTGGAAAATTTAATAAAACAAATTAAAACATAATATATCCTCAAAAGTATATAAACACTTACGTTGACTATTAGGAGCAGCTGGAGGAGTTCTTGGTATCCTCATACTCTGTGCTCTAGAAACTAAACTTCGTCCGTCGCCAACACCCACTAAATTAGATGAACTAACAGTCAATGTTGACTTTTTTGTCGGCACAGCTGGTTTGACTGATGGTGGTTTTGGTGCTACATTCGGTTTACCATAACCACCTGGAGGGGGTCCTCTACCAGTTACATTATCAGATATAAGACTCGGAACACTACCAGTCCGGTTATGACCAACACCCGGAGGCAGAATCGAAACAGGCTCAGAAGTACTCTGAAAGATAAATTAGAAATTAGAAAAAGGAATAAATAATATTAAGATAAAATTACCGAAGGAATAGTAGATTTTTGGTTAAATGATGGTGGTTGAGGTGGTGGTCCTCTTATTTTTATATCGTTTTGCATTTTACCAATTTCATCATATTTCTAAGCATATATTTTGAATATAATAAAATATACAAATTTTTATGTTTACTATAGTTGAATTCACGTAATAATATATTAATTACCTTATGTAAAGGCAATGTGTTTATTTTTGAAGGCGAGTTGTTTACAGTTGTTTGATTAAACAATGAGACTGATGATGAATTATTTGATGATGGTGTTTGAGTTCTTGGTTGTCCTACAATATTATAAAACAGTATAATTAGGCATTTTACAGTTTAGTTTAAAAGTATGTTGTATTAACAACTAATTGTATTATATACAATACAATTTACTCAAATTAGATTAAATAATACTTAAATTATAGAATGATTTATTTGACAATCTACAGTTGCTTTAATAATATGAAGTGTAGCATATTTATTAAATAGTCATAAATTCTTAATACAAAAATGTTTTTTTGTTAGATATTAAAAATTTAATTTTTATAATAGAAATAAAATATCTAGTTGAAATAATAAAATAGAACAAACATTATATAACAATTTTTTAGAATAAATTGTATAAACCTAAATTATGAAATTAAACTAAATTATTATTTTTAAAAAATATATCATATTTAAACCACTTAAGATTTTTATTATCAAAATGTATACAAAAATAAATTGGAACTTTTATTAACTTATTAACTTTATTTTATATTATATAGTAAAACCTGAACAAAAAATTACACATAATTTAGTTCTCTATACATATTGATATTATAATAAATTACCAAATAGCAATAATATTTTAATAAAAAAACATTTTCTAAAGAATAAACTAATTTGTTTAATATGTTATTGTTGCAGGAGATTAAATAGTAATACAAAAAAAAAATATAATTTTTTTTTTACTTTACATAATGAAGAAATTTGTGAAATATTTAAAATGAAATCAATTAATGCATGACAAATAACTGCAATCCAGTTTTTTTAAAGATTTTAATCAGTTGTAACCAAACAAAGAAAAATATGAAGAAATATCAAGTATATGATTGACATACAAAGATGCCAACATTACCTTTTTAAGATCCAGGTAAAATTGGGTCATTCTAATCAAGGTCATCTAAATGATTTTTTTTAAAAACATCTTTCAAATTAAGACCTACTCAAATTGCAGTCAATACCTAACACATTTAAATATTATTTTTATTATTAATTATTTAGGTTCTTAGCAAGTATTTCATTTTAATATTTTATAGATTAGTCATCAATAACTGTAGGGATAACATTGTCTAAATAAAATATCGACGTAAAATAAATTACTTGACAGATTATTAACTAGAAAAACAAAGAAACACATGTGAAACAAATAGGTATAACTACATTATAGTACTATTATATAATACTTTATAAACTTGTAAAAATATAAATATATAAATAAAATATAAGTATATATATATATATATATATAATATTAAAATATTAATATAATACAATTTATAGATTCTCAACAATTTTATTTTCAATTAAATTTGTTATATTGAATAACACTTTATTGATAAAAGATGTGGTTTCAATATTATGTTTGTTTAATATCTAAATTATATTTGTTATTTATTCGAAGAAATGTTAGTAATTATATTTATAATATTATCTATTTGTGCGCATAGTCAAATGCACAGAATATAGCAATAATATAATATAAATGACTATACACATATTTTACTGTGATATACATTTTCAATTATTTATTTTTTGTTTAAAACAAAATTATTCTTGCAATCGCTCAAAAGTAATAAAATCAAATCAAATAAAATAATAACATTAAAATGATTAGATAATCAAATAATGAAACAATGTTGTACGCTAAGTTATAGAATTATAAAAAATTGGATTCAAGTTATTAAGAAATTGAAAATATTTGTTGTTTTTTTTTTTAATCAATAAAATTTAATGAGTTCTTCATAATAATTTATTCCATTACAATGACAAATAATAAATACATAGTAGTATGTTAATTATTTCTAACTAAATTTTAGACCAATAACAAATAAAATAATATTAATTTTAATTTTTAAATAAGATACAGAGATAATATGTAATATATTGAAAAATAAAATAATACAGTTAAAAAAAATTTATTAAAATGGTTAATATTCATAAATAAATATATAAATACTAAATATATATAAAAAAATAAAATAAAACAAATGAATGAATGGTATATCACAGTCAAAATGGAAAACGAGACTCTGATACTTATCATAATACTCCAGGCGACACATACATTAATTTATTTATTTATTTTTATTTATATATTTACTTACTATATTTTAATATCTTGAGTAATATATAGTTATAATAAATAAGGATATTTCTGTTAAGTACTTTCTTTTGTTAAATATAATATAAAAAAGATTAATTTAGTAAAATAATACTAAGACTTAAATATTTGTATTTTATCTTTTTAAAAACAATATTAAACACACGAGTTATTTATTACTTATTTGAATAAATAAAATAATTTATTTGTAGGTATAAACTACTATGTACAATATTATATGTATGTAATGTGTTTTATTCATCTCACTATTTTATTTCATTCTATTTGTATAGCTTTTATCTTACCTGCATTATATATTAGCTCAATTTAATCATATAAAATATCTAAATATCTTTAATTGTTAATTTACTTTTCATTTTGTATTTAAGCAGAATTGGACACAGTTAAATAATTGATTTAAATACAACACACGTCTGTTTAAAATATAATTCAACATGAAAAATAAAAAAATGTAGATTCATATTATTATATTTTTTTTCAAATATTCTAAATTTCCAGTACTTATACAATACTAACCATTTAAAATTATCAATTTAATAATAACTGTCTACTTGTTTTCATATTTTGATATGTATGTAATTTGTATTCCCTCAGTTTCTGATTTTATCTAAAGTGATCGTACCTGTTACAGCTAATCCAGTCGGTTTAAGTTTAGGCATGCCTCCGGCAAACAATTCTGCTAAGCCATTAGGTATCCGTGAAGCTATAGAACTCATTTCTTCGTGTTTTACTGTACCGTTACATTTAACAGGTGTTTTTGTAGAATCTATATTATTAAAAATCATACTTGAACGTTTCACATAAGCAACTAGATAATCATGGTACTACAAAGCGTCTGTTATTAATGACCGTGCAAAAGTGCAATAAACTTACGTTAAAAAAACCAAAATCGAAACGTACTACAATAATAATATTACAACACATTCATCATGACGATACGCATTAGTAAATTTGCAGTGTCTGTTCACGACGAAATGTGATATCAAACAGATATTTACATGCGATCACTGGATACAGGCACTTACTGTCAACAAGCGGCTTGCTCTTGTCGTTGGTCACGGTCTTCCTCAGGGCCTTGCCTTGCCTGATAGAGTTGAGCAGCTGGTCTCTGGCCTGGACAGGATTTGAACCCTTCTTGCCTCCGCCACCGAACCCCGGTAGTCCGATCGGCGGGGGTGGCGGAGGCCCCGACTGAACGCCCGCGGGTGGCGGCGGCGGCGGTGGTGGCGGCGGAAACGGCATGACGTCGATCTCGTTCGAGATGCTGCGAACGAACAAACAAGTGCACGCGAATCAGTCGTCGGTTCGGGAAACAAGACGGTGCCACAGATCGCGGCGGTCATCGGGTAATAATAGGTGCTGCTATACTAATAGAGAGGGCTACGTTTTGTTTATAATACGTTTTGCCTAGGGTGCGGCGGCATGACCACAGTGCTGCGCGTGTGTCATCATAATAGAGGTAACCGGACGGGCCCCAGTCGCAGTGACGGAGCAAAATGACTCACTCACGCCGCGGGAACAATTGTAACGTAGCAGAGAAAAAAAAAATAATAATACAAATATCTACGGAGACTCGGACGGCGACAGCGGCGGAGGCGACAACGGAAGGACGCAAAAAGAATGGGCCGGAAGCGACTTGTCGGCCGCCGATCGCGTAATCGCCGGACTTACCACGAGATTCGTATCGACCGCTACTACTGTTGCTATCATCGACGATGTTTTGGCGTCGTCGTTGTCGTGGTCGTCCTCGTCGTCATCTGTCTTGTCGCGTCCGGAAAATGCGAATTTCTCCCGAAAAATCGAACGGGCGACAATTGTTATTGTACGAGTGCGTGCCGTACGTATCTTTTCGCGACGGCGTTTGATAATAATTCACGAGCTCCGGCAGACGCGATACCCCGGAGTACCTGCGATGTATTTCGTGTTATCGCGTGTGATTACACCGAATTACACCTAGTTATTGTTATTAATTATTTTTCCCCATCGAAAACGTAGTTCGGCTTGCGTTGACAAACTACTACTACTACTATTATTACTACCGACTACTACTATTACTACGACTACTTACTACACCTACTATACTTACTTACTACGAGAGAAAAAAAAAAAACCTATTATCCAACTACCATAATAATAATAATAATAAATAACAATATCTACACATACACACACACGAGCGGCGCGCGAGACGGGTAGGGTACTGGCCGTGTGCGTGCGTGTGAAAAACGCAGATGATAAAAAAAAACGCGCTCACACACGTAGCGCAGGACCGGAGGGGCAACATGGCGGCACCGCAAGGCCGTCGTCGTCGAAGTCGTCACTCGTCGCCGCAGTACCCGCCGACGGTATCTCTCTGCGTGTGGGACACGCGCTGTAGTAGTGCTGTCCCGCTGTCCGCTGTCCGCGGTTACCGTACTCGACGTTTATTACGGTCGTCCTCGTGTCAACCGCCGACATCCCCTATTATTAGTCTTACGCCGACTCCTGACTGTTCGATAACGTTACGGGCACGGCGTGCGGCTACAGGTTTTAAATTTAAACGCGGCTCTCCAGCGTGGACGCGCCGCGTACGTAGGCACGCCGCGCGAAAGTATGACGCGATGCGACGATGATGCCACCGCCGCGAAAAAAAAAAATAAAAATATATAATAATAATACGTATCGCACGAAAAATATCGTGCGCGTTTTATTTTTAACGCGGCGATTTTGTTCTATCGACGGTACAAAAATATTGTGTAGATGGGTTTTTTTTTTTGTCCGTCGTAATTCGCCGGGAATAAATATTGTTGTATAATATTATGATTGTCCCAAATTTAACGCGACGTCACATAAAATTATTGTATTGCCGCGGCGAAACGGAGCTGAATCATTCAGTAGGGTGCGGGTCGATGCACAAACCGATACTCGAAATCGATTTTTCTTTATATCACTCCCTCCCTCCAACCCTTAACTTCCCCCTCCCCCCCCCGAAACCGATATTTTCGGAGAAAAACGTCCTAAAATGTCGCCCCTAAACTACGAAAAGCGATGTTAAAACAAAAAACGTTTCGACGTATTAACTCGCGGTTTTGAATTTCAGATATCGGTTTTATGTCGGTACCTATATAGCACATTATATCGGTGTAAAAAGTGCTATTTGGGGGCGGCTTCGAGAGAGGAGGTGGAGGGTCGGAGACAGCAGCCCTCCTAAGCCCGTATTTTTGTAAGAAACAACTGTACAAAAAAAAAAATAATAAACTTATAAAATATGTTTTTAACACAGTTTTCTGACAAATATGACTTGCCCCCCCTCCAACCAAGTCTCTGGAGCCGCCTCTGATACCTATCAGACACTAATGGGTATTTAGTCGTTTTCGTATTGAGCACTCTTGCTCAGTGCTCGTCACTCAACGTTCGAAAAAAAAAAAAGTCGACAAGCAAAGACCGCTTCTGTACGGTTCCGTATACGTCCGTCAGGGACGTAGGCACAGTGATACAAAAAGGCCTGCCCTACGATCTACGAAAATTCAAAACCTGGCTGTACATTGGGTAGTTATCGGCTGTATAGGTCGATGGTTTAAGTCCTGAACGAAATACGGCCGTGTGTAAAGCCAGGGCCGGATTAATTAACATAGTCGCAAAAGGAGCGGCGACGGTGTAATACGGGTTTTGATGTTCAAACACCTGTTTAGTATATATTTTCGCGAGTTTTGATCGAGTAATTATATTTAATGAATATCACTTTGTATTGCGGAATGAAATGTATTACGGGTATAATATGGAACTGTTGCATATTATTACCCACATCGCCGGAATTATAACGGTATTAATCGCAATGTACGTAGAATTTTGTGAAATAGTGCCACATAAATCAGCGAGTCTTGTAATTTTGTCTAGTCGATTTGCCGCGCCGTCGACGTCGCTTGGCATCGTCTTATCTTAGTTGATTGTTCAGTACTCAGTCGGTAAGTTACTAGCGACCGGTGTCAACGTTCGCAGTTGGCAACAATAAATCGTTTTCATTACCTAATAAAATAATTAAATCAAGCGGTAATGAATAACACCGCGATAAAAGTACAATCGAAAAGAAGACTAACATAATTCGCGCGTGGGTGGGCCACTGTTGTAGGTGAGAAGTTGGGTATAACCATAGCTAACTGCACATGTCATATTATGGTAAAATAATTACGCATGCATTACATATATTTTATTTAATAATAATATTTGTTTAATATTGTACCTATTTTCCTCACGTTTTTCCTCCGTTCTTTTCCAGTTCTTCTCATTTATTGGGAATATCAAATAATGACTTCCCTAAAGTCAGATTTTTTTTAAGAAAAGATGCTATTCTTTGATACTTCGGAGTTTGGAGCAAGATTTCTGGTGGAATTTTTGTACACAGTATAAAAAAATAAACAACTGTAAAACCAATATGCAGTCCTCGCTCCACTCAGAATCTAAAAGACATAACTGTACATCAGAACCAAACAAACGTAAGTCCAAAAATTATTATTGATTAGATTATTACATTATTCGCATGTAATATAATATGTTTTCCATCGAGCCATAATAATGGAAGTCTATTAAAAATACTCCTTCCATAATTTTACCAGGGTTATACATAAGTCCTGATATATGGCAAGAAATAACGTGCCCTCCTTTTTTTTGCTAAAAAATAATGTTACTTACGTTCACCTGGTTTTGAGGTACAGTACATTTTTCTGTTCTTCCCGTGTATTTTTCGGTTTTGCCTAGTTATTAAAAAAACCATACAGAAAATCAAAAATCGACTTTCTTACTAAAAAAAAAAACGGATTAAAATCTCTTGTTGTTTTTCAATTGAAACAGTAATTTTGGTGGAAAACATCGTGAATAAAAATTAAAAACAATGAACACGGTACGCCGTAAATATTTACCGTTTTATCTATAATTTTCTTTCCCGTTTTTCCTGATTATTTTGAAAAACCCCATAGAAAATGAAAAATTACCTGCTCAATGCATTAACTAGAGAAAATTAACTTTCAGAAAAGATTCTACAGTTACCCTGGAGCAAAAGTTCTTAAAAAAAGTTGTTCACAAACAGTAAAAGGAATACACACATCATAGTAAAACAAATACTCTCCAAATCCAAAATGACATACTTTTACGCTTTACTTGTAGACTAACAAAATATCGAATATTTAAGTGTGACCGTAGCACAAATTATGGATCTAATAAATCCATATAAAAAAAAACCTTAAAAATTACAAACGGCATAAAATACTTAAAACAAAAAAGAACCAAAATGTGAATGCAAAAAAAAATATAGTGTAAATTGCAAATGTCTACGGTTATTTCCTACTGAATTTTATACACCAAAAATATAAAATCGATTTTGTCGAAACCAGTGGAGTTGTGATGTTTATACAATTATACCTAAATATTCCAGTTTTCCGACGTTTTTTTACTTTGATTTTTCCTTCTTATTAAGAAAAGTACAAGAGATTAAAAAAATGAATAATAAAAATATAACTTCCCCGATGCATCAACTATAAATCTGACACGTGGTACAAAAAAAGAGACTCCTGTTAAAATTTTCGATTAGAGTCAGTCTAATATGGTCGAAAACTTTTTCACAAAATGAAAAACACATATTTCAGTAAAATATAAAATAACCATGCTTAGAATTAACAAAATTGAAGTCCCGAATATTTTTCGGCTCATCCTTCTGAAAAAAATTACTGATTATCTGATTACTTTACTAGATTACTTTAATATGCAGAATATATTATGCTCTGCACGTGAACACTAACACCGAACACTTACCTATATTAGACGTGATCACCGCGCCTCTTTTTAAGGCGGGAGAGTGGTCTGACAACTTAAATATTAGATGGGTGTGTGGGAGGAGGGTAGGTATGTGCTATTTGTTTATTTTGCCGCACCGGACAAAAAAAAAAAAAACAAAACAAATATTTCGGCGCCATTACCCTGCACGTTACGGTCATCGCATACCGACAAAGTACGAAATTACTCCCCCGCGAGTCGTGATGATGTTGACTACTGCAACATCGAGTGTTGAACTACTATCCCTTAGGGTCAACTGTTATGGGTAAAACTATATTTTTTTTTTGTGTTAAATGACGCGGGGTATCCCACTGGAATTGAATTGGAAATTCTGCAGACCAGCACGGAAAAACTTTTTTTTTGATACCTGTGTAGCGACCCACTAGTCATTTTATGATTTTTTTTTTTCGAATATTTTTATAATATTATTTAAGTTACCTTGCTGAGGCGCGGTAACTTTCAGCTCAATAGTTAATTTTCATACGATCAAAGTTTCAGTTGAGAATAATATTATGGTCGAAGTATAGCATATAGTATAAATGTTTGTAAAACCAGTGGGACTACGGCATAGATTTTTTTTTTAAACCTGGGCCTCAACCGAACCGTTCAAAATTATTAGTTGTGGATGGTCGTGGGCTTGGAGGTGGTGCAAGCTGTGTACTCACACAGACCCCCGCGTTGCATTACAATCATAGCAGATATTAGTTTCACATAATTAGTACATTTAGTTAAATATAAATCAAATGTAATGGACAAAAAACAATATTAAAGATTTGCCTAAAAGACAGGGTCGGACTGGCTCTAAAAGGCCTACTGTACACTTTTATTTAAAAGGCCTTCAAAAAATCTCAATCGCCAGAGCCATGTGGCATTCAGGGGACAACATTCAAGTTATGCATCCTTGTAAATAGGTAACTCGAGTTAGAGATATCCTGACGCATGTAAGTAACAGTTCCGCGTAATATTGTTATGAATTATGTCAAAAGCTATGGATTTTATCCATCTATGGTCCCGCGGCTATGCACTTGTGCTTTGTCTAGGCCATGAGTTTCCTGTCGAAGGACTACATCTATTTTAAGTTCACGTAATAATCGAACTGAATAGCTACTTTTATCTCTGCTTAAGCCTTCAACGTTGTGTTGGAAAATAATTAGCCGAGGTCCAATATCTTGGATTGAGAAGCCCTTAAAATGGATGTTTTCAAAATCTGTGTTACTCATAGTTGCTGTGAAATCGGAGAGACCAGTATAGCAGTCGATGCTAGTAAATCTTTAACCGTATATAAGACGTTGCCCGGGGTACACTATGTGAAAGCGATTTACCTTTGTATCCCATTTAGCCTTTGCATGGCCTTTTAAAACAAGACGTATAACCGAACTACGTTCCGAGACATTATTCGTAAGCAATGATTTATCATTGCTTACAGATATAAATTAAATAACTTTATGTATTCTACATTCCCAACTTCACACCAATTATAGTGGCACACCCATGCTCAGTATCAGTTCTTTTTTTAAATTTCAATCCGCCATCAACTTAATTTTATTCCTGCATCGGAATTCGAAACGCGTGTTTAATGTGTATATTGCAAATATATACGATACAACCAATAATAGTAATAATTATTTTATTGTTATCTTTAATCTTTATCTACTATACAAATATTGGAAGCAAGTTACATAAATTCCGGAAATTTAGATTGTTATATGACCCAAAAACAGAAACATTTAAACTGATAACAGTTTAAATATACGTATACAGCAGCGTAATATACCTACCATTATTATTGTATTAACATTATATGACAATTGTAATGCAACGTGGGTATATTTTAATGTTTATAAATATTTTTAGTTTAGGTTCCTATTTGGTTATGATGACATTTCGTTCTATAACTGTATTCATATTATAAGTGGAGAGATAAAAACGAATGTTTGAAAAATATGGTGTAGGTAAATTAAATATTAATTGTATAAATGTTTCATACAAATAACTTGTATTTATTTTTATCTATGACTATTTTCGTGTCATTATATTCGAATAATAATATTATTTTTGTACTATTATAGTAATTTTGTATAGTTATATAAACTAGATGATGTCTATTATAATAGGTAAGAACCTACCGAATATATATATATCGTTTAAAAAAAAAAAAACATTTATGTATTTATTAATGTTATTACCTATTTGTCTTTTTTCGTTCATAAAGCTACAGAAATCTGGTCAGTGATAACGCTATTGTTAAAAATAATTGGAATATATTAAAATTGTAAAAATAATCGATTAACGGGGTTTATCAAACTTCATATATAGGTCGAGCAATTATTATATGTTTGCTTGGACAACATCTAACGAGGATGTAATAAATCAATGGACGGACGGGCAATAAGCACAAAATGAATATATAATAATATTGTCTACATAATTGACACAATATATTTATTAAAATATGTGACTGTCTGAAAATCAGGATTCAGGGGCGACAGACTAGACACCTTGATATTATACTATTAAAAAGTTACTCCAATTAAAACTTTATGAAAGGTATCTGGCGGTAGCGTTGTGGATCATTAGTCGATGATAACTTTTTAAAACTCATTGTATTTTTTCTGTGTGCAACGGAATTGTTTTTCTATGATGGGTACTTTTTTATGTCCGAAGAACCAATCAGAACTTTCCTAACAGAAATATTACTCTAAATGTTAATCTTTTCATATAGGCAATATTGTCTATTCGATGTTTTGTGAAGTCGTTTTTTTAATTTTTCTTATAGTTATCTTAATAATTGGAAAAAACGGAAAAGACTACGATAATAAATGTTTCATTATTTCCGATTTTTTTTTTTTTTTTAGTACAATTCAATTATAAATAAACGCCCGAAATTTTTACAGAAATTCTTATATTATCCTTTTTTTGGCTTTTTGTAGCATACAATTTTAAATACATTCTGGCAATTTTTTAGTTATTTATACAAATTTAACATTTTTGAATTGTTTAGTTTTATTTGGTTTTATGTGGATAAAATCATACGTAATTAACATTTAAATCTATAAGACCGTGTACACGTATTCACGTGAATATATAAACAACACTAATAGGTATATTGAACTAAAAATAATAGTTGGAAAGTGGTTAGTCCACGGACTAAAAGTGTTCTAGTATATCATACATTTTTTTCATTCGTGTTACCATAGATACTAAGATACCTGCATAACACAGGGACTAAACTATGTATCCACTATAATAATCCTAAAATTATGAGGACATAATAGTACTGTAGTGTTGTTACTGTACCAAAAAATAAAAAGATTCAGATATGAAGTTTAACGTGTTACTCTGCCTTTTTTACTTAACCAATTTGTACAGCGCATAGATTTTTTTTTTTTTCATCCATGCAAGGTAGTATGCATACTATTTCAAATCAATAATAGGTCGGCTGAGTATCAGGTAGACTCTTTATTTTAAGTTGTTATGGTATTTTTTTTTTGTTTATTTTTTATTTTTAAATTGTTTTCTTTTCATTAGTGTTCCTATGGTAATCCATAATTCAACAAAAATAATTTAATACCATAAATACCTAAAAACCTTTCATCCCCTATTTTATCTCTTCAAGTTTTATTTTCGCGACAAAATGTAGCTTGTTTTTTTTCCAAGGTCACTAGGTATTTCCAAGGTATCTATACCAAAATTCATCAAAATCCGTTCAATAGTTTTTGTGTGAAAGAGTAACAAACATCCATACATCCTCAAAAAATTTCACATTTATAATATTTATTATTAGTAGGATGTTTAAATAATATTTATATTGGTTGCTTTTTTAAAACTACTAACGACACCTTTTTATTAATGTAGTTACTTCAATATTATTTAATAATATGGGTACCTGTAGTAACATGCTACTTGTTGTTTTTAAATCATAAAATTAGTTTAAAGATTTATGCAAAAACAAATAATTAGGTATACCGTATATAACACATACAATAAAAATATATTTAAACCAGGGAGGGGGAGTGGGGCTAATGGTTTTGAATATGGTGGATAAATTATTTTGCCCCTAGATTTTTATCCAGTTATGTCACTGTATCTGTTAACTAGTTTTGCAGATTTTTTGTTACCTTAATTTTAATGCAACCAATTTTTTTGTAAAACATGTTTTTCAAGAGGTTTTGTAATGAATCCAAAAAAAAAGGCTTTTTAGGAGAGAAGGATTTTTTCTTTCGGTATAATAACAGAATCTTAGTTGGCACAGAATTGCAATTTTTCACATAATTCAAGCCAAAAAACTGTACAAATGCGGCGAATGCAGCATAGTTTGTCCCGAGAATGTTGAGGAAATATCGAGTGTCAAAAAAAAATTCAAGTTCAAAATTTCTAGGAACTTTTTGATGTGATTAGGTTAGGTATTCGATTATCATTTATCATAATAATAGCCATTACCTACGTAGTTATCAAAATGGAAGATAAATTCTCTTTAACCTCCCAAAAAAGCTCGTTAAGTTGCTCTTCGTTTGATGCGTTACATAATCGCCAAAATGTGAAAAACGTTTTAAACAAAAAAATCGGTTACATAAAAACCAAGAAGGTTATAGAAAATCAACAAAAACATATGTGTTCAGGAAATGTCACAGAAGTCATCGATATCAATTCTACTGTTTTTCGACGCTCCATTGGTGTTTAATTCAAACAGTCCCTGTACTTAATGGCTACACCTCGTAGACTTACCGAACTGGGTTTTGTTTATCCCATTGTCGCTGCTCTTGTAGAACCATCATCGGGACGAGACGATATAGATTATAGGGTAATTAGATAGTTGTAATGAATAGACGACGACGACGTTTTTACAGTAAGGAAGGAAAAAAAGAAAAAATGTTCACCATGACGCGACAAAGTTAAAAAACCATTTACAAAATAGGTATTATTACGCGTACAGACGACACGCGATAGTACTATAGCTACCGCTTCACGACGAAAACTAAACTCTGAAGATTGAAGAGACGACTATGTAGGAGCGTCGCGTGTTTGTATATGCGATAAGGCCGCAATCCGTGGCATTTTTCTACAGATGTTTTTCGAATATTCGAATTTTTTATGCAGACATCTGCTAGTAGACCGATATTATTAAATAGATAGTACTATACCGTAATCCACTCAGTGGTATAGGGTAACATGGGCCACAGGCCCGTGACATTTAGAGGCCCCGAATCAAAGCCCAGCCATTATTTAAGACCATTGTTTTTCCAATTTGATGGGAAGGGGAATGAACAATACACAACGTACACATACAAATTTTACGAATCTTTAGCTAATCTTTTTTTTTTTTGCCTAGATGTTTATACTAAATTTTTAAGATATTTTAGACTGAAATATTTTTTTTGAAGTTCTAGTTACGCTACTGAATCTACTAACACGCGATGGACCATGGTCCACGATAGTAGGCGTTATACTAAAGGATGTCAAACTTGGAAGTCAGGTACAATATTTATGAGCGCCATTAAAAAGTTTACCACTGTTATTATATCAGCTTAAAGTATTTTAATTTTTGCAGGTTTGTTACACCAATCCGTAGAGAATTTTATTTTTATAAAATATGTATAATATAAATATAACCTATATTATATTTGTTTAAATTCATCAAATTATCGATACTTATATAGGCCTTAGGTAGGTAGCTATTTCAGTGTTCGGTAATTGCGCCCGCTTATGTATTTTCTGCAATCTTCAATGTAAATTATAATAGGTACTTAATACAAAAAAAAAAAAAAAATGTATCTATCCTAACTATACAGAATGATCAACATAACGTAAAATACGTATTACCTCGGAAAGTATTAACTTTGTTCAGAATTTGTTGTTCATAACATATAAGAAATAAATAGCTCTACAATTTTACATTACTGGTTTTTTTTTTTATCCCTTATTTTAGACGGTGAAACCACTATAGTACCAATATAGGTGTCTATTTTTGATAGCAACCTAGGAATATTGACAATTCTATGAATAGATGGATTATTATTAATTTTGGTGTTGAAATCTTTCATTTCCGTCAACCCGTTGACAGCTTATATTCCACTTTTATGTTCCGGCGTTGGAGAGTAATGAAGCATCAATTTATGTTCCGCGGCTCTCCCCCTATCTAAATTTTAAAGTAGAATACAAAAATCAGAAATCTCTATAACAAAATGTATTCAAACTTATACTCCATCTATTTATGGAATTTTTAACGTGGGTGGGCCGTGAGAAAATCAAAAGTAGATAGTGGTTTCACCCCTTAAAATAAGGGTGACAAAAAATTACCATAATGTAACATTTGAGAGCTACTTACATTTTAAATTGCCTAAAAAAAAAAAAAACCACAAAATTAATATTTCCCAAGATAATAATGAGTGTCTTACGTTATGTTGATCACCCTGTATATAGTATCGACAATCCCAGTATTATTATCCAAGTATTATTCATTAGGCCTGAACATTAAGAATAATGCCGTTTGGCAATACACATAATAACATATTTTAAAATTCTATTCTTATATTGACTAAGCGTTATGTAAAGTGATTAATTATTTTATAGAATATCTACGTAGAGTCGTGAACTATATTATCCAATCAAAGTTTAATTTACAATAAATTGTATGTTATATTATTTTATTGAAACACGGAAGAGACATTTTAGGATGATTAGATTTTAAATTGTTTGTTAAACAAATGCACTTTTAGACTCTGAGCGGAATGAGGAATGTATTGGTTTTACAACGAATTTTTTCTGGAAAATATTTTGAGGGAAATTGTAAATATATTGAACATGACGTACGACCAAAACTCTGCTCAAATCGGTTTTTGTAAACAATGATTATCCGTTGCATACAATTGCACATTAAATTCCCATTTATATCTCATCTTTCCAACTTCTCATCGCCAAAAATAGTGGCCCCATCCATCGTGCGGAATACGCCTTTTTATTATTATTATTAATTAGGGTAAACTTGATGTAGATAGCAACGTTCGTCCAACCATGACTTTACATTGAAATATTAAATAGGCATTGCCTCTCAAGACCGCGCGCGCCTTATCACTATAATGCGAGTTTTGTGAAAACGTCATCTCTGAATCTTTGTGATTATTTGGCACAGTAACGACACTTGCGCGGCGTGCTGTTATGTCCACGTAATTCTAGTGTTTGGTTATAGCGGATGTTGTACAGTTTAACCCCCGTGTTGCACGGGTATCTGTGGCACACGATAAACAAAAGAAAAATGTACGACGCACTAGAACGCTGTTGGTCCGCGGACTGCATACTTTCCGCCTGTTCTTTTTTCAGTTCGATACACTGATACGGACAAAGCGAAACGGAAATCAAGGTAAAGAGAATAATGCATGAAATTAGCGCGGGCAACGCCGGGCACGGGACAGCCACGATTTATAAAATTAAAAATATTTAATATTGTCAAAAAAATTAGAATTTTATTGTTTAACAAATAATAGTGTAGCTTAGCAATAATAATTATTTTTGTTTTTCTTCGTAATTACATTTTTAATCTCAAATCTCAAATTATATGATTACCCACATAAAAAATCTAAATAATATTTATTCACTTTTTTTATTGATATTATCAGCAGTATTTATAAAACTGTATATTATCGTTTTTTTAAGTATAAATTGTACGATCCGCAATTATATATTAATAGTTCACTTTAATGCCAACGATCCATAGTCATCAATAAACAATAAAATTGGTTAAGTACCTTATCATTATTATTGAATAAACTGTAAAATTGACGTACAAATACCAATAACCGTTTATATCTCTATAAATATCATATTAACTATTAAATTTCTCATTGTAAATATAATAATAATTACAAATTAATAAGTTTTCACAAAATGCAATTTGCTTCTCAAACTTTCACTACCAATTACCATTAGCCTTTAATATGGCTACATCGTTTATGTCCACAAATAAATAATGTAGATATATAATAATATTAAAGGTACTTAATTATATAGGTACATAGGTACCAAAATATTTATCCGACTATGTGTAGTATCGATACCATATAGAGAGATACGAGTAGGTAGGTTACCTACCTATGTAAAATATCGCAATTTAAAAATGTTTATATCTCGTTTGAAAATTAAAATATCGAAAAAACCTCAACACCATACGAAGATAATAGGTAGGTTATTAGGTACCTACCATTATGTTTGGTATTGAATAAATTCGTTTTAATATTTAAAAAATTAAAGGCACAAAATGTATCCTATTGAATACAAATGTACTACCTATGTAGCAGGTTTGTAAGACAATGATGTGGAATGGCGTCCATATAAAAAATAATAAACAGATATAATATTATCACAAATATATTGAATCAATAAATACATAAATAAGTAGATAGACAGGTAATTATTATCCAATACCTTCTCAATAGGAAAACTAAAATTACTTTAAATTTTGTAATATTATGAAACTCTAGGTACCTAAATACCTACATCCATCAATATTATAAACACCATAAATTAGGTCACACCCTGTTTAATGGTCTAATTTAAATAGAATTTTAACAGAAATGACAATCATTTTAATTTTGATTACCTAGTAAGTAGGTACCTAACTACTTAGTAATCTAGCGAATAACATTGGTTGTAATAAGACCTGTTATATGATTATGAGGCCTTTATTTTATAACAGAATATACTTTCGCAAGGCAATATATTTACTTTGTTTACATCTGTATAAAATATAAAATTATATAATCACTGCATGTCTCAAACAAATATGTGTCTGATTACGTATTGCTCAGATAAAACAATATTTTTCAGAAGAATCACAATTTCAAGGAACTACATAATGATTGACAATTAAAATAATATAAGTAGGTAATCAATCGTTATAAACATAGATTAGATAGGTATAAATGTATGTTTCTAGAATTTTTTTCCTAACAAAATATTTCAAGTATTTATTAATAAAAGTACAATTCTAAAGCTGATCTTACCTTATTTTACTTTCAATCAAACTGTATACACACTAAAACGATTAAAATATTGTATTACGTAGGGTCGTAGTTAAATTTTTTGTTATGTTTAATTGCCTATAGGTTCACGTTAGTGGATACAGGTTGAACAAAAACACGTACTTAGGTATCTGATATACGAGTAGGGAGGTACTTAAGTACTAATACTAATTAATTTATATTATACGTAAGTATAGCATACATAGGTACCTATTATATTTATGGATTTGATAACATTTTGATATGGGTATCTACTTGTTTTATTGCGGTTTGTTTACATCGAAAGCTTGGTATAAGTAGGTATAAATTACATTTCTGGGTGAAAATACTCGCACTCGCTGCTGTCAAATAATTTATGTGGTACTTATTCCACAGGCAAATTATATGGTTTATAACTTCCTATTCCAATTCTACTATTTAATTAGATTAGTAAGACTATGTGTATAATATCAATAATAAAATGTTTAAGTACTTGATTAGTTAAATGTATTTAAAATACTTAAGTTGTATTTTCGAGATATTGTGCATGGAAAAATGATAAAATATATAATAATAATTATAATAAAGTTGTGAATTAAATTCTATGGATAAGTATAATTATACAGTTTTGAAAAATTTACTAAAAAAGATGAAAATATGTATAAAAATCTGAGTTTATAAATGATTATAGATAAATCACACAAAAACAATATTGGTACATTAGTACCCATTATTATAAATAAACATATCACAAAACAGGGCAACTCAATAAGTATGTACCTATATCTATATGACCATATTATGTAGGTATACAATAAAATCAATGGGAATTTTTAAATAATTAACAACCTACCTACCTACTAACAATATTTATATTATACCTACCAGGGTTGGAACGTATAATTAACTATCTATTTACCCATTACAACACAATACATTTTTTTACAATATAATTGGAATATCTTTGTAAGCATTTATTTTTTTTGTAGATGCAATCTAAATGTAATAGGAATAGATAAATTGCTTATTATATTAATAAACTAAATCGGTTTTTGAACTTGTCTTATAATAATTAATCAATGATATATATTATATAAATTGGAAATTGTATTAGGTATACAAAAAAATAAACATCAATTAAAAATGTTTAAAAAGTTTTAAGTATATCATATAAGAAAACATATTTATCTTGGACACAAAGCGTGTCTTCCACCATCAACTAATAGCGAATCACCAGTTGTAAAACTAGCGTCATCACTAGCTAAAAATGCAATGGCTTTGGCAACTTCTGTAGCCTTACCAGGCCTTCCTAAGGCATGTGTGAATTTAGTTTTTTCCAAAAATTGTAAATAATCTTGTTCACTCATACCATGTCTGGTTAACAGATTTGTGACAACGACTCCAGGGTTAACACTGTTCACTCGGACACCCTTTGGTGCTAGTTCGATTGCCACACATTTTGTAAACTGATCTACAGCTGATTTCGACATACAGTACGCCAAAACGTTTGGAAATGATCGTATTCCATTTACACTGGATACATTGACTATGTTACCTTTGGTCTTGATTAAATGAGGCACGGCTAATATAGTCAGATGGTAAATAGATCTTACATTGGTATTCATTATTCGATCATACTGATTAAGGGATGTAGACTCGATAGTTCCATTTTCTAAAATACCTGCATTATTCACCAAAACATCTAATTGATCATAATGAGCTATAGTCGAATCCAAAATACGTTTAGTGTCGTCTTCATTTGTTAAATCACCAGCAATTACAAATGGCTTAGATGTACCGAGTTTTTCACATTGATCGGCTATGTTTTGTAAATTGAAGAGATTACGCCCAGTAAGTGCAAGTTTTGCACCCAACTTAGAGAAGTGGAGTGCAGTAGCTGCACCAATTCCTGAACTGGCACCAGTAATCAAAACTACTTTACTATGAAAAGCCATTTTAAAAAGTTTTATTACTAACTAAAAAATATTATGAATGTAGCTTATTAAGTAGGTAAGTAACTAGTTATTTTAAATATTAAAAATTAGGTTATAATAAATATGGTTATAGATACGGTGAATAGTGATAATAAAATGTTACAACTCACAGGGTAAATAATACAACTAATAAGTCACAATTAAAAAATACAAATTACAAGTTTACAACGTATTAAAAATTAATAAGTAATCGATTCAGGTCATTTTGTAACTAGTGATAACATTATTTACATATTATGATATTAGTTGATAAAAAAAAAATTGATTACCTGTCCTGTCAACTTGTTTTAAAATGTGAAATTGGTAATTATTAACATAGATTGAATCAGACTTTACTAGTTTATCATATTAGTTTCGTGTTTATTTGTATGAGGTCTATGGATTAAATATACTATCACTATACTATATATATAATCTATGGTATAAGTCAGCGGTTCCCAAACTTTTTTCATTCAAGCCTCCCAATAAAAAAAATTGTTCACGCCTCCCGCAATGAATACTTAATAAAATAGGTTAACAATTATTTAATATTTATTAGTTAACAGTAAACTTATTATTTTATTTTATACAAAATAATTAATGCGAACAATGCGCTTGTTTTTCGTTTATTAATTTTTCAAAATTAGAAATTAACGTAGTTATTGCAAGACGCATTTCTTTTTCCACGTTGAGTCTGGACTGATATTTTGATTTTAATCCTATAAGTGAATATGAAGAAAATTGCATTCGTAATGAAGAATCGGATGGATAAGATAAGTTTCCATAAAATTGTTATCAGACGCATAATTAATCTAAAAATAACTATATGTACAAAATTCTAACCGCGCGCGGCGCCTCCATTGTTAAGTACTCGCGCCTCCTTCGGGTGGCGCGCCACACAGTTTGGGAACCGCTGGTATAAGTAATTAATTTACATTATAGAATCTGTATTGACAGGGAGGTTATTCTCTAATCACAAATATTCAACCCCAAATTTATATACTAATGGGAAAATTATTAAACTATGTAGGTTATAGGTAATCTAGTTGGTTAATCAATCTAACACTTTCGGGTCCCTTCACCAGAGCTTTTCTATCTACATTGTTGATTACAAACAATCACCATATTATTCTAAACAACTTAGATGTCAACATTGCGTTTGCAATTCCAAAATTAAAATAAAAAAAACAAACAGTGCTAAATACCGTGGCTAAACAAGGCTCACATATTAAAATATTCTTAATTAGTGGTTCTGAATACCACTATCTAAAAATCGTAGGGCAACTAATTTAAAAATATATTTTTTTGTATGGACTTTAACTTTATGTCGGTTAGCCCTCAGAAACAAATTATAAAAACTGGTTGAATTTAGTGCTAAATTGTTTTTGTCAACTTGATGTGGATTGAAAATTAATATGTCTCATAATTATCTATATATTTAAATTTAACAATAAAGCCCAAAATACCATTGACGAAATTTAATTTTTAATTAATAAATGATAGAAAACAAAATATCAACAATTAAAAGCATAATTACAACTGTATGCTATACTTTTGAATTTGTTCACATCATCTGCAATGAAAAGAGTAATAACATAATAAATAAAACATAATAAAATGTACTCATTTAATTATATAAATGTTTAAAAATTAGAAGAACAGATTACTTTTGAAATTAAAAAATAAATTACAAATATATTCCATGTTGTATATAATAAAAGGTTTAAATCTTAAAATAGATAATAATAATTTACCTATAGACTAGTTAGCAGTAGAAGATTTTATATTTTAATACACACATTCAAATGTTTATAAATATTTTACAAACTGCTTTAAGTAATGTAAATTCATGACTTGGACCTTCGAAATCCTTATTTACAAGACTTGGAGCAATAAAAATAAATACTTTTGATAATAATCTATTTTTTTTTTTTACTTAATATATTTCTTCTAGTACATTAAATAATAACTAATTTAAAATTTGTATAGAAATGTGTTCCTTTTTTGTAGCAACTCTAAAAGCTTTATCTAAATGTTCTATAATAAACAAAACAGCTTTTGAAACAACAATTAATTACCTCTACCAACAAACATTGTAAAAATTAAATGTTTTATAAAATTAAGAACAATCTTAAGGAAAGCATAGAATTTTTGAATATCTGAATGGGATTCTAAAATCTCAGAATCAAAAGCTTGTGCTTTAAAATCACAACAATTACTGTTTTATAGTTATTATTCTATCTCTAAGTATTTTTTAATTGAATACAGTAATGGTTATTCATTACTATGACACTCACATTGATCCAGAAAAAACCACTCAAAAGGAATCTTGTGACAACTTTTAATTAAGGTAAAACATTTTTAAAGAAATTTTTATTTCAGTTATAGGAAATTTTTAAATTGTCCATTTGTGAATTAAATATAAATACATTACTATCAAATAAATATTATAGGCAAGTTATGTTTAATATAATTAAAAATACTCAGTTGAACTATAAAACATAGATTCTATGCTGATACTATTAAAAAGCCTAATGATAATAACAATAAAACTTTTTGAAAGAGAAAATTTAGAGTTTAATATACTCATCAAACAACCTAATAATATAAACAATTGATTTGCAGATTTATACTTCTTTGAAATTGTGCCTATCCTTTATTTTGCAAGTATTCAATTGCACCTGCCCCTCAATGACTGTACTGCCAACTTCACTTTTATAATATTGTCCCTGTAATGATTTAAATGTTGCCATATCAATTTATTAACTAGTCTGAAACCAATATTATTTTGCAAATTATTTAAAGCAATTGTATACTATTATTAGCATTAAACGTTCCCTAATTAGTCAAAGAATTCCTTGCAAATTTTAGCATGCAACATGCATCATTGAATCTATTAAGGAATTAACTTCTAAATAAGCAGTAAATAACAATAAATTTAGTATTTACATTTGAAATCATCATTGTTATTAAGATTAAAACTATGACCTAATTTTTTGAAAAATCACACTCCAAATACAAATTCAAATCTTAAAAAGGCAACTTAAAAATAGCAAAAATTACAATAGCTTAGTTCAAAAATAGTTTGGACTTATAATACATAACAACAAAAATACACATTTAAAACACTTTGTTAAACTTACAGTTCTTAAAAACATGCACTTCTCTAGCTAAATATGATTTTTAGAACCATCATCAAAATCAACATTTTCTGAATATTTTCTTTTACTTGATTTTCTAATAGCCATAAAATTGAATATTAAACACCAATCATGGAGCTAATATCACATTTCTCTACTTCCAATTTTAAAAATGAATAAACTTCACTTAACAATGAATAGAACTCATCTAGCTACAGATTGAAGATATTAAATAAATAACAGAATAAAGTTTTTAAAAAATAATACATTACATCAAAACACATTTGCACACAACTTTCCAAATGTTCTACATTTATGTTTGTTCGTGCAACAATAAATGTAATGGATGTACCCACCAACATGCTGTTCTTCCAGTTGATTAGCAGTTTCATCAGATGAAGGAACTTTTTTTTTTTTCATATTATAGAGCAGAGTTTTTAAAGATTTAATTTTAAGGTCTCGTTTCTTCAAACGTTTTTGTAATTTTTTTATTTTACTACGTAAAACTCGTTTTGATGATTTTGAATCACATTGTTTAAGTGTGTATTCTGAACCGTCCTACACAAATATATTAATAAATTAATGTATAATATTTATTATAATGAAAAATATACAAACCAATAACTCTGGTGAAGATACAACTGGAACCACTTCATTGTCAACTAATGGGTCGGTTGATCGACTAGTACTTGCAGGTATTTCCTGAACACTGAATTCGCTTATCTGAAACAAAAATACTCATTTATTGAGTTATTGGTTTCATAACTAATAATATGTACATCTACCGTAGGTCTTGGTAATACAGGTTGTTTAAATGTCAAATTTTCTTGTAAATAACTTGGAAAATATTTGAATACAGTTGGAAATGCATCATTTTTTAAAAATTTAACTTCTGTCCCTGGTTGAATTTCATAGTCATCAATAATAAAATGTTCACTACACAAAAAGCTGTACACAGTGGGCTTAAAGTCATTTATTTTCATTTCACTCATCCATTTATTAAGTAATTCAGGATTCTCCAGTGGAAATCTATATATTTATATAAAAAGTTATTAATATTATAATATATTAAATACTATTGTTCAATTAAAATAAGTAGTTACCTATGAAACTGAATAGGTATATCTTCATGGTACTTGTTGGCACATTTAAATGCTGAGCATGCCATCACCATTTTTGTATATGTAATGCAAAATACAGATTATATTAAGTATCTTAGATCAATTAATATATTACTTACTACTTTAGAGCTAAGAGTAATTAATATATTATGATCTAAGAGATTATGACAAAAATTAAAACCTCTACAGTCTACACTAGTAAAAAACAAAAATGATTCCAGGCTCCGGTTTTGTAATTTTGGTATTGATTATTTTTATGGGTGCCGGGCACAGGTAAGTATAGTGTAGATATATGTGGTGCTGGGTGGTTGTTCAAAAAGGGATGGGTAAAGTCATTGGGTAAATAATATGTACAGACATACGGTACTCCCGATTTTGATAACAGCGAACCTGACATTTTTATAACCAGTGATAATATTTTATAAATTGATAATATGATTAAATTTCCCGCACTTTTATGTTCTCCAGTAAATTGATAAAAATATTAAAATCATATCAATCTTGTAATTAATTGAATACTTGTTACTTGTAGGCTGAAGTAAAACACAAAATAATTTATTTAAATATGTCTCAAAACAGTCAAAGCTCTCAAAATAGGTAAGAATATTATAAATAGAGCTTATAAACTAGTATAGAAATATTATAATATAGTTAGTGTATTATATTTATTTAGTACCTATGTAAGAACTGCTGAAGATGTTCAAAAAGTCATTGAACATGCAAAACTTTCAGTAGACAATCTTAGACCAAACGTACAAAACATTTATTTTGGTGAAAAGTTTGAAAACTACAAATTGTTGGAGTTAGACGAACACATCCTGTCAGATCTTAAATGTGGTTCAACGTATGTACCTGTTGATTAAAAAATTGTTTGTTGAATATTTAAAGTTGATAATCAGATTATATATAATCTGATATAATAGCTATAGTTTTGTTTTGATCTATACTTTTTAGCAACTCCTTAATCAAAACTAAAATGTAACTTATGTGTATAATACGGTATATTTGAATTCACTTTTGTGTTATATTAGTGTGGTCTTTAAAGGCGATCGAAAAGAATCTGCTGTGTTGTGTACTGAAACTAAGACCTATGATGTTAAAGAAGCTGAAACCTCAAATTCAATTTTATTACTCCCTGAATTAACATTCCCCGATGAAGAGTCTAGCAACACAGAACTTAGTAGTAGAAAAGTAATATTAGTGTATTATGTAAATAAAGATATCTTATATTTTTTTATATTATTATTTATAATTGCAGGTTGTTGGTATATTCCATACATATTATGAAGTGAAATCTTGTAAACCGCGACTGAAAAAATTAAGAAATTTATTAGAAAAATGTAGCTATAAAGGATCTGAACTTGAACACACAGTATTAGAAACTAACGAAATGTTTACTTTTGAACATTTGTCTGCTATAATACAAGCTAGTGATGTTCAACTAAAAAATGCTCTTTTAGACATGGGTGCATTTCAAATTAACGGTAATACATATGAAAATACTAAGAATTGTACAATAATGTTATAAAAAACAAAATTTAATAACATGTACAAGTTTATTGCGATGAAATATTAAATTATTACTAATTATATAGGTTATTGGAGAGTTTTAGATTTTGAATATGAATGTAGAGCTTTATCATTTTTATTAAATTTGATCGATGATCAGTCTTGGCCTTATAATACAATACCTGTGGATGAAACATTTAAAATTCTCGGCGAACTATTACCTACAGTAATATTGCAACACATTTTAGATCAATATAGTACTTGCTGTGTATCATCAAATTTAAGTAAGTATCATCTATTAATTTTGTTCAATTAATATAGTTTTTATTTTTATAGCTAGTTTACATAAATTACTTTAATATATTGTACATAGTTTAGAATAAAAAATAAATACAATGGAAACTGGTTTAAAATTAAAATATTTTTAAATATTGTGGTTAAGGTATTTAAAGTATCATAAATACATTAAAGCTGGACTATATAAATAATCATTGCTTATTTAACAGAATTCAAAATAATTTAATTTGATTAGTTATGTTTCAATTTTTTTTTTTTCTACATTGAACTAGATAATTTGAAAAACTGCCGTTGTCAAATAACATTTGTGTTTATTGAATACATATTATCTCTTATCTTGTAAGTCTAAGTGATCACAATCTAAAAATACGTCAAATATTTACCTTTACCTGATAAATAATATGCGAGATAATATTATGTATGTTTTTAAAAATTGATGAGAAAGCTTAAGCTTTACACATTCCAGAAATAATTGAATTATGTCAATGTGTCATATACATAATTATTATTACATAGTTTTAGATTCCGAGCGTAGCGAGTGAACTATTGGTTTTACAATGATGTTTATTTTTATTTTTTTTCTCTTCTAGTCTGTGGACACGTTATTTCTTAGTTAACTTAATCCGATTTGTACGTATAGCAACTTTTATGAAAGCTCAAGTTGTCTATATTGTACTTTAAAGAGATCATTTTTTTGATTTTCGATGCCATTTTTTAAATAAAAGCACTTAAGTGGGAAAGAACATAGGAAAACTTACAATTTCACTATTTCATTATTTTTATAAAAACACAGATGACGTTTTTTACCAGAAAAAAAATTACTTATTGATTTATACATGTATTTATATATATATATGATTTAATCAAAAAATTACTAAATACATTTTTTGTTGCCTTTTTGATTTACTTTCTAACAGTATTATTGCCAACACTTTTGAGCTTTTAAGGAATTTTAATTTTTGAGAGTTTTTGCTGTAATTCAGTTATAAATACATGTAGAGACTTAAAAAATTGGTAATAATACTTACATTGCACTTACCTAGACATTATAAAATTTCAAAAATTGTTGGACTTTTTTTCTTTTTAATAAGCGTTCTGAAGTCAAATTTAAATGAAAATCGCAAAAATTATGTATAACCGAACTGCGTTTGGAATTGTATTACATCAAGCAATGGTTTATCGTTGCTTACAGATATAAATGAAATAACCTTATGTATCCTACCTTCCCAACTTCTCACCTACTACAGTGGCTGCTCCCATCCCCAGTATCAGCTCTTTTTTTTTTTAATATTTACTTACTATCTATTGCAGGCAGACAAATAAAAATATAGTATTCACAAAAAGTATTTACCTTTTCAGGTAAATATACATATTGGACACTCATCATTTTTACGTTCAAAATATACAAATATCTTATCTCTTGGATCCACTTTAATACCTCTATATGAACATTTATTAAGGTTAGGCCATTTAATTAAATTTTTTTCGGTAGCGTTTTGCAAATGTTTTTACTCGTGTTAGATTTGAGAACTTTCTCTCGGGAGGTTACAAATTACAAGTTAACATTTTCATTTGTGTATCAGCAGACAGCTAATAAGACTTATGCAACGATCATTTTTTATCATTGTTACCTTTTAAAATAATCTGGATTTTCTGTGCTTCACGTTGTAATCTAAATTTAGATTATCCGAATTGCGAGTATAATTTAATAACTTAAATGATAATGAAAATGTTGAGTATCAAGTTAAAATATCTCTTAGACATTTATTTTTCAAGTTTTAGTGAGATAATTGAAAAATTTAGTTTAATTTTAACAATGTAAAAATAATGCAATAAATAAGAAGTTAGAACAGCATTAACAAAAATGAGATTTTAAGTCATGTGTTATATTACATATTACATTAATTGGTTAATCTAATTATGTAGTTATTATATTATAACTTTTTGTTTGATTTTTCTTTAGGTGAAACACATAGATCATTAATAGAAGATAAAGTATGTAAATTTATGGCTGTAGGGCTTTTACGTCCATGTGACAAATTTAATTTATCCGATTTTAAGATTGCCTGGCAAGGAAGTGTTCCCGAAGGTAAATTTTCAGTATTGTAATATTATTATAACATATATTAAAATATTATTATGTAATATGTTTTTTTATAGGTATGACTACAAGTTTGAAACAGTTAAATGGTACAGTACTTGTTGATGAATCTAGTCACCCACAAACCATATGTTATTTCAATGAACATGACTTACCGGATGATGTAATGGATAGAATGCAGTACTTGTTTCAAGTTCGAGAAAAATGGACACTTGACGAAATAAGACCATTTCTCGAGTAATATTATCAAACAACAACTAATACCTAGTTAAATATTTTTTAAGACATTGTTTTTCCTAGGAATTTGTCTACTGATAAATTAAGTGTTAATAGTCTATTGGCCAAATATGCTAGAGCTTCTAAAGTAGATGGAGTGCGGTATTATTCTGCCAAACACAGTTCAAAATAATCAGATTAAACATCAAATTATACCTAAAAGTAAATAAATCGGTATTATTAAATTTTTGTGTATTAAAGAAATTTATTTTTAAGTATATATAATTTATTGTTGCCATGGTAACAAAATGTTTGAATGAATTTTTTCTTGTGTTGCTTAATTTTAAGACTTTAAATTGATAAAACAATACTGTATACATGTATTCAATTTAACTCAAAAAACTGTCCGTCTAAAGTAAAAAAATAAATTGTAAATATATATTAATTTTAAAATATATCTATTAATATTAATATAATATAATATATGATGTATAAAAAAAAATTGTACATATTTAAAAACAAAAACAAGTTTTTAATAAAATATTAATATGAAGTCGACTAACGACTTGCTAAAATTTAATAAGAGAACAAAAATTACACATTATGACAGCCAACAATTTAATAATTTAAATAATTAAAAAAAAAAAAAAATACATATTTACAATATTATTACAGTAAGTTAATATTTATTAAACTTTAACATTTACATTCAAACTTCTTAAATTAATACTGACAATTACATAATATCAGCTACCCATTAAAAGAAAAATAATATATATTATGTATATCAGTCTATGGATTTCGGTAAACAATAATATTAATCATTAGTCTAAGACTGCTCATTTAATGAGTCTTATCGTTATTGTATAATATAAAAATTTGTAATATTATTCTGTACTTATTTGTCATTATACTTTTTTTTTTTATTCAGGAACAATGTGTTATGTTATAATTAAAATTTAAATAGTTGTCGTTTGTGTCTTCGACATACAGACTTGCAACAAGGATCTGAACACGAATTCCACTTGGGACATTTTTTACGGTCACATCTCACATTTCCGTCCTGCAAAAAATATGCTATTAAAATAACACAATACTCAGAATTTAACTGAACACTCAATTTACATGGAAGTATAATTTAAAAGGGATGAATTAAACACAGAAATGTAATAATCGGAAAAATAATAACATTAATAATAATCATTGGTTTCTAAAATATTTTTGTTACTTTATAAAGTAGACATTTTCTTATTGTACTTTTCCCCCCTGTAATCTACCCGACATAGTTTTGCACAATAAATTAAAGTTTATTTTGCGAAATGAGTTTGCATTTAACTAAGTTGGCGAGTGAAGCGATCCACATGGTCAACTGGAAACCAGAGTCATATCTAGGGAGGCACAAGAGGTTCACATTTACTAGTCGCTTATGACCACGGAACACCAGTGATCAGAGAATCGCCAATAAAAGTGTTAAAAGTTCTGCAATTAAATATTTTTATGATAAATGTTTGAGTAAACGCAGACAGACAGGTTTTAGCATATTTATAGCATTATGATGGTGATGATTTTTTCTACTTATTGGTACATTTTCGTGGAACCTGGTGCAAATTTTGCTACGCATGGTATTATTTGGGACCATTGATTTCATAAGCCTCCTTGATTAAATCCATTGCTGAATTTGGTAGGTACGGTTACATTTCATGAAATTATGTTGCTTAGTTAGGTACTTGTCTACAGGTTTTTGTAGTTTAAAAGATTAAAATATTCTATCAAATTATTGGCTATTTGTATTGATATAAAATTAACTATACACGAATGAGTCAATTATTTCGTGTTCAATTTTCATTGGAAGATATGAATTTATTAAATTTGATAACTTATTGTCATTCATATTATTTATTACGAATACTGTACGTCATTAAAGTTACATACTTTGCATTTACAATTAATGCATTTGACTTCACCGTGCGAGTATATTTTGGGATGCCATTCTTGGCCGTTTTCGTACGGTCCTCCGACGGGATAACTGCACCCCCCGTTGGCCAATATTTCCGATTCCGAATTGACTTCACCGTTCATCTGTTGGTCGCTCAAGGCGAGTTGAACGAGCGGACCCGTCGGTTTGGAGGTAGTTTGCAACGAGGACGGACAAACTTTACAACATGAACGTTTTGTCTGCCGTATAGCTATTCTCTGGTCACATTCCAACGGCGGACAATCCATCCGTTGGCATTTGATTTTTAACGATGTATTCTGGAAAAAAGTACAACATATTCGGCGAGGATTATTAATCGCTTTTTCTTTCCTTGTTGAATTATTATAATAATACTCACGTTACAATGACACAGGGTACACGTATCGAAACCGTTCGGAGGTAAATACGGATGCCAACTGCTGCCGGCTTGAAACTGTTGGCCGGCTAGCGAACACGAATTGGTCGAGTTGTTTTGATTTTCCGACGCGTTTGCTATTATGAGTTAGACACGTTAAAATCGGGCAACAATAGTTTAAAGCAATAATAGGTATATTGTTATCAGTGGCGTATTTTGGATTTTTTTTTTAGGGGGGGGGGTGTCTTGACTCTTGGCAATACTTTTTCTCTATAAATATTAACATAGCTTTATCACGAATTCATACCTGATTATAATACACCTTAAAACCTTATAAGCGGTAATTTTCTTATAAAAAAAATCATAGGATAGCTACTTAAATTTTTGATTATAATAAAATTATGACAGGATAAAATATAAACGATTTTAATGAATAAATTAAAACTAATTTAACACTTAAATTGACTCAGTAATTTCCCATATTAGTTTAATTAATTTTGTATATTCGTATATTCACAAACTATTCGTGAAATACACATAAACCTAATATTATTATCGTTTGGTGATATCCAATTATTATTAATCCATGATAGACATTTTCAAAGCAGTTTTAAAATATTTTGCGATATTTAAGTAATGTAATAATAATTCAGTAATGAATAGAATTAAAAAGAATATTGGGGGGGGGGTTTAACCCCAGGACACCTCTCATAATTACGGCACTGATTGTTATAATTAAAGACCAGATTAGTATGCTCTTAAAATCCACAAAAAAAAACACATTTAAAAAAAGCAAAAATAATTTATGGGTTTAAAAGTCCTCCCTCTAAAGGATTTAACTTACAAATGAAATTGTCTAACACTATAAAATTGATTAATAAAAAGTAATTATTTCTATAATACGCATGATTTTATTTAAAAGAAATAATTTTGTGTGAATTATTTTTGTACCTAGGGTTAGGGAACTTAATTTTTATCCCTAAGTTAGAATCATTAGTGGAGAAACCTAAACTCCTCTATCAATTTTGCTTTTTCAAATATTTTTTTAGTGCGTTTTTCAAGTAATTTACGATGTTTTCAAGTGGTTTTCTATAGATTTTAAAAGCATATAGATAGAAATCCGGTCTCTAGTTAACTTATAATAGTGTTTAAGTAGGTAGATACCATCGCACGTCGGACAACACGTTCCTGTTTTGGCCACCGGCGCTAGACACTGGACAATCGGACAAATTATAACATCGCACGTTACCCTGCCGTAATGGCAGTTGCACATGTAACATTCGTCTACCAACGACGTCCATTGAGCACCGTGTTGATAATACTTTTGCCCGTGCAAACAGCTCAGCTGCGCGACCGGTTGACGGTCCGATTCGTCGTTGTTCATAAGTATATTGTTCGAATCGTTGTCGCCCGAGTCACGAGCGTAACAAACTGCAGGGACATTAACCTGATGGTGTACACACAACGCCAAATAAATCAATGATAAACAATTAACGACGTTTAATTTACTCGACGGAATAACTAACGTATTTCCACTCGGTTTTCAGCACGGACTGCCCCAGTTTCGGGTCCCACAGGTCCACGTGCACGATGTTAACGTTGAGCCGCGACAATTCCTCTTGGCTCAAACCGATAGTGTACCCTTCGAACGTCGGTCCCTCGAATTCTTCGAGGAGCCGCCTGAAAACCGGCGCCCCGGGAATTAAAAGCGGCGAGTCTTCGACGTACAGTTCGAAAAGCCGACCTTTCACGTTGGATCCTTGCAGAACGACCTGTGGATTATTTCGGCGGTTTAAAAGACGCGGCGAAACGCGCGACTGAGTGTACGGCTATGCGGTGGGCACTGTACATTATAGGCGGGTAAGAAATAACAGCGCAATATTTTACTTCGTATTGCAGGGTGCAGTCGGCGTCCACGGTTATCCACAGCAGACCGACCATAGGCCGTTGGTCGGGGCTGGACAACAGCATGGCGCCCGCCGCATCCCGGGAGTCGGCCACCGGTCTCCACGAGAATCTCGCTTTAAAACCGGACGACGCGCTGAACAGACTCAACTCTTCGGCGTACAGTTGTTCCAAATGCACCGGGCCCATGGTGGACACGGTCCCGTTGCTCCAGTTTTGAACGACGGATTCGGATATGTCGAGGGCCGACACGCGGGATTCGCCAGAAACTATACGGGCAAATATACGTATTATTAGGAGGGAAATTAAACGATCGCGTTTAATGAGATTGCGTTAAATCGAGTGCATCTATTTTTGTAATCTCACCAATAGCCAACTCGGTAACTGCGTTATTGTCAAATTTAACACGATACTCCAACGCTCCGTCCTTATTAATAAACGCCCAAGCCGCGCCGCTGGTTCTGCCAAAACGCATTAAAAACAAGAGCATTATTCAAAACGATCGGAACCACGCCAGATAGTTATAACCGCTAAGCGAATAATTTATTTCCGAGCACATAATCGCCGGACATACATCTTTGCAGCAGCCGCCGCCGCCGCTCTTGTATCAGTGGAATACGGCGGGTGACAATGTGGACAATTCGAATTATTGCGTACACGCTTCGTTAATCGACACGGGATATTGTATATTATTATTATTGTACTAGCGTAATCGTATTATTACTATTATATTCGAAATGAGTTTTCACCACTAAAAAATATTGTAAAGATTTATACCGTTCTCGTCTCGTCGCGTGTCACACGTTACAATACTATGGGTACCCACCCGGGTGCGTAGTAGTGGCGCGCTGGATCGATTGCTAATCGCGTTGTAGCGTACGCTCGGGCCAACGACTGGGAAACGGAACGGTTATTGCGAGAAGACAGAGCCCGCCATTAGCCGGGCCGATTAACGTCGATTCCGATGGCGTTACGCGGCGTAAATAATAATACAATTCAAGCGATCCGAGGCCGTTCGCTCACCGTACACACACGCGCGCGCGGCCGTTACGACTTTAATTTCGCGCGAAATTTATCGGTAGCGGTTTCGTTTGAGACAAGTCGTATAACTTAGTTTCCCTTTCAAAGGATCCGTGTGCGCCGTGTGTGTGTGTACAGTTAGGTACCTATATTATAACTTATCCGCGTTTTGCCAAATTGATCGCGACTGCCAAAAGTATTTTTAAAAAAAAAAAAAATAATAATAATAATAAATAATACGATCCCGTGTTTATGGCGTATACAAAATGTTAGGATACGTATCACGTTCGTTAATTAAACATTTCCCATAATAATATACGCGGCGATGCACTTTGGTGCAGTTTTAAAGCAAAATAGGGGCAGATGTATAGACGAATAGGACATGTACATCCGGTGGCGGCGTTGTCGGGTGTCCTACGAAGCGGCTGTTTCGCGATCGAATTCGATTGATGGGCGGGTGGGCGGCATCGCATTGTCATAAATCGTAAGTTATGCCAACGGAAACGTAAACGTACGGGAGAACGTATAGCCTCGGTAACAAACACTTTCCGGTTTTTCTGGGCTCGGATTATTTTTGCGATTCTACTAAAACCGCTTCGTTGGGAAAAAAAACTTCACGCCGCCGCAACCACCGTACGCGTCCAATGTCCGGTGGCGTGATTAGGAGGCGAGGGGGGGGGAGCTGAAGACCATCCCAAATATATAGAGGCAGAGACCCCCATGGATCCGTGTTTAATCCTCCAGAGGTTTGCGAGCTTTTATTGTGCCACTGAACACGTCCGCGGAAAACAATAGTTGTTATCATCATAAACGGCGGATGCGACGGGGAAAAACGTCAAACACTCACCTGTCTTTTTTCGAATCCAGTTGGTGGCCGTTTGACACGACCGGCGTTTGGTAAATATCGCACGACGCCCGGGGCGCGACGACCCCTTGCAATTTGAAATTCGACTGTTTGGCTTCCAGAACGACGAGCAGATCGCGTTTGGACAACGCGTTCAAGTCGGAAAACGTAACGGGCGATTGTAATTCGACGACGGTCGTACCGTTCGTCAGCTTGTCCACTCTAATGGTCTGCAATATTCAAAGGGAGAATAATAATAATAAAAAAAAAAAAACACAGTACAATACGATTATTATCATTTTTTTTTTTTTTTTTTTTTTTGTACTGGCACGATGTATATTATTGTATTACACGTTTTTCGATGCAATAAAAACGCGGAAATAATATTATTGTTATTATTATTATTATTATTGTGCCGTCGTACTTCTTCTATAACGGTACGTCCGTTGTCGGCGTATTTCAGTCTGACCACAAACGACCCGCTCTCTTGGCCGGCCGCGAACGGACAGTTGAACATGATTTGCATGTGCACGGACGGCGATATGGTCGAAATGGACACGATGCTCGTGCCGCCGGAGTCTCGCGTTTGGCCCGTGAGTAGCGAGCTGAACGCTTCCGTGTCCAACGCTTTAAACCTGTAATCAGGGGCGTAGCCGCGTGTTTTGATAAAATACGCAGTTTTAATGCGCGGGAGGCGCGTATTTCGGGGGCAGGGGAGAGGGTTCATGGGCCCCGGGCGATTTTGCCCGGGGAAGTCACAATACGTTTTTGAGATAACGTCGTAAAACGGCAATTTTTTTTTATTAAAATCTATTAATTACTATCGTCGTGATGACACCATAGATTTTATCGCGGTTCTAATACACGGCACATGATCTATAGGTATAACAGATAATTATTTGCTCGATTGTTTCCGATTTTGTAAAATGTTCGTTGTAAAGTTATTTTCCACTTTTTAATGTAACCCGCACGTTTTAGACCGATAAACTGGAGTAAAATCCATCCACTACAACTCGACCGATTTTAATTTCGAAAACATATTGAGTAGAAGTTTACCCCAATAAAATAATTTTCAATAACATAAATTAGACTACTGGAAGTATGTTTATTTTATTCCGGCTTATTGCTTTAAGTGTATGAAAAAACTAATCACTTCTAACCGCCTTGGATATGTATATAAGCTTTTTTGTATGTATTAACCGGCCTAAATCACTGTTTACTCTATCGGTTCATAAACTATAGTGTGTTTAGAGCACAGAGTGTTATGCAATATGTAAAGTGTGCAACTAAAAATTCGAAATTGGAATTTAAGACGGCGTCATAGGAACGGTGCCCCAGGACGCCAAAAATGTAAAAAAAAAACAATATGTATCTCGATAAAAATACGCTCGTCTTATGATGCATAATATTTGTGTGTACTTATTGCGTGTAATTACAACAGTCACGAAAATAAATATAGTACGGACGATAATTATTAATTGCATGCGGATTACAAACACGGGGCAACCGAGAATCTGGAAAAATACAGAGTTGTCAGAAATATGTGTGCCGAAATCAGGACTGTTGTGGACATTGGGCGGGTCACGTGCGTGACGTAAAGTCGGGTCGGTGTTGATAGATACGGCTGTGCTACCTTAGTGGCCCGCGAGGGAAAAGACCGCCACTGAGGCTCCCGAGATTTAAAACGGGGTAAGACATTATAAATGAGAATAATAATATGTCAATTATTATCAATTGCTCGACTGTCGTTTTCGTCACCTATATCACAGGACGTTTACCTGTAAAGATGGCCGCCGATTATCGCCGTTTCCCAGACCAGCGATACGGATATTTTCTCTTCGCGCAACAACCGCTTATAGTCTTTGGACACCCGTCGCCAGACGCCGCAGATTTTGTTCGTCAGGTTTTGATAGACGGTACCCGATAACAGCGCCTATTCGCAGATAATAAATAATCAGCAAAGCGCCTAGGTATAAACTATTTTTTATGCGCCGTTCCAGACATTAATGTGACGAATCTTACGATTTCTTCGATTATGTTGCCGTTAGTATCGACAAACTGCACCATTCTGGGCCTGGTCGGTCGGTTAGTGTAAAACGAAAAGTACAGGTGCTTCCGGTAAAACGAAAATCGTCCGGTCGCCACGTAATCCAATCCGATTTCTTGCAACAGCGTCGGCGGGTAATCCATCTTCTTATTGAGTAGATCGCCAGTCGATTTTGCCGATTGTCCGGTCAATATTGCAGCAAAGTCTAAATGTGATAATAACGGAATTACACGTTACGCAATTAAATTGTGATTCGTTTAAAATTCAAATAAAGATAACACGTATTTGGTAAATTGATTTGGAAGCTTAGAACAAAATAATAATTCTAAGATTTTCTAAGAACTTAGAACTTAGAATTCTAAGAACTTCACCTTTGTGTAATTACAAATTGAAAGAAACAAAATTGTAATTTTTTTAGCTGTGACTTTATTGCACTAAAATAAACGCGGTTATTTTTCTGACACTAAGCTAGTTAGTTTTAGAAAATTAGCCACGTTTTGTTTTACGGCCGAATTGTACTCAGGACTCAGGGATCTATAACATACACGTTCCATACAGTAAAGGTTTTTGACGAATATTATTTTTTATTAATAAAAGCAGATAGATCATCTATCTTATACAAATCTACAGTAATATTTTGAACGTCAATTTTACGTTTTGAAACAATATTTGAATTATTGCTGCAGCATGCGGAGACGTCGAGAAAAATTAGTTTTCTATCGTTATAATTATACGCGCGTGTAGTTGTCACGTTCACAATTTTAATTTCGACAATTAACTTTAGTTTTACGTACATGAACATATACGTAGTGCACTATAGTGGAGCGTATAGACGTATAATACTGTTGTATATGCTAAATTTAAAATAATATAAACGCTTACGTTTCATGCTTTTCTCTTCGTCGTCCGGCGGATCTTGTACGAAATCGTCTGAAACCAATAAAACACGTCACTTCATTTTTGAAATCGTAATATATTTTAATAGTTAAAATACGAACAAGAATTCCTGTATACGTGCAGGTAATATAATATATATATATATATATATACATAGAGAGAGAGAGAGAGGTAACAAACTAACAACAAAATACGAGGATTCGAATCCGAACTGTGATTCGATCTTGGCCTAGACTGTGATCTCGACATACATTATTTATTAAATATATAAATACATGTATTCAATTATATATTAAATGTATAGATTAGGTATGTATATATAATAATACATAGTATATACGAGCTTTATATTATTATTCGTGTGTGTGTGTATATATATATGTGTGTATATAATCCGCATTAAACCTTGGTGGCAGCCCGTCTGCCCGTCTATATTGCCAAAGTATTTGCGCACGCCAGACTATTTTCGTCGTCATTCGGAACGTCATATATAGAGAGGAGTGTATTATTATATAGAGTAGTTTCGGTAGTATTTACCGTATCGAGAATATTGTGTATAAGAGGGAAACACCGGCAACATATTGTATATACAATCGAGCCCACCCCCACAAAAATAAACCTTCTATTTTAATATTTAAATTAAAAGATAAAACAGCATTTTGTTTAATACACGAAAGGCCGAAAATGCCATAAAATAACTTCCTTCTAGTCAATCTGTAATCATATGAAAATAAATTTTGTCTTTCGAACATCAAATACTGTAGTCTATGGCGCACTGAGATCTGAAATTTCGTTCATATCCGGGGATTAGGCGAGGGTCCGTTAAGATAGTGAAGTAAGATTTTTAAATTTCAATTTCCGTACGGATGTTCACTGCTTACATTCGAATTTTGTGTAACAATTTTATAAAAAAAAAAAAAAACGTAATATGTATTTTGCCTGAATGGCACGGCCAAAGTATCGATTAACACTTAAGTCAATATGGTTAAAAATTATAAGGGGTATGAGCGCACAAATCCAGCCCCACAAATGGCATCCTTGGTTGTTACAGGTCAATAATTACCTACCACTATACAAATAATGTATATCTGTATATTCATACATATTTAAATACATTTACGAACATTACCCGAAAATCCACATTTTTAGACGAAAAATAAATAAATAAAAAACACATAAAAATACAATTCAATTTTTTATACGAACATAAACCGTTTAAAATGTAAGTACCAAAGTGTATACAGATTATATTACTCATACGTGTATAAAATTTCATTAATAAACCGCCGGGAGTGTATAACTTCATTAAATTATTTATTTCGGTCTTTTTTTTTTTTATCAACAAACAACTATGCGTGTAGATAATCTTAATAATTATCTGACAATTGAAAAAAAACAAACAACCACGGCAATGGATTTCAAATATTTCTTTTTACACAACAGTTAAATACCTATATAGCTTTAGTAGTAAATTGGCGAACGTGAATATTGAAAATATTATTGCCGTAGGTAATAATTTATTTTGTTAAAACACTCACGCATCTCGCAGGGAATTTAACGTCTGAAAAACTAATAACAACAACAGCAACAACAATAACAACGTACTCGAACATTTTTCGCAATATCATATAAGATTATGAACTATTATATTTTGTATATAGATACCGAAATAGCAAAAATACCATTCATTCGGCCACTACGCCGCTCAAGTCCTAAGATTTTAGCCGATACACATAGGTACTCGATAAAATATTATTTCATACTTCCAGGTCAATAATAATAATAATAATAATAATATAATATATTGTATTAAGACGTGCGTATAAAAATCCGCTATTAAACCAATATGGAATTATTGAGCCATGACCTAATGTCCACAGCTGTAGTATAATATCTAGATATACGTATACCTATAAGTAAATAACATTATGCAGAACACGTTTTGCGAATCGTTGCATTTTTTTTTTCTTCTTTTATACATTGTAATCATAATAATTGTCACATTATTGTGCCATATTGTTCTTTTATTATCATTATTATTATTAATTCACGAAGGCCATTCGCATTAGAATTGGGTTAATAATCGGAATGGGTAGTAGAAAAAAAAATGTCACATCCTACATGCCGAACAATACTAATTATTGTACATTTACAGTGCAACTATATACTCGTAAAACTAATGATAATATATGCACACGGCCCTTCCTCGAAAAATAAATCGTCAATGGAAATCATAATAAATGTATACGAGTATAATACGACGATGAAGTATCGAAATACCATCACTCTTTATAAATAACTATTAAGAACGAATATTTTCGTTATGTCGTCGACGAAAAACTCGTATAACAAATCAAAAAAAAAAAAGACGGACATACCTCGCTCTTGGGTGGGCCACTGTTTCAGGTGAGAAGGCGAGAAGTTGGGAAGGTAGAGGGAGAATTTAATGTATATCTGTACGCAACGATTAACCACTGTTAATGAAAAACGATTCTGAACGGAGTTCGATTAATAGTGTTGCTTCGTAAACAATAAACAGGGCGATTCACTAAGTGTGCTCACCCCATTTTTTTTGGTTAAATTGTGCATATATTCAAATTCTGATTTTTGGAATTTTTAAGTGTAGTTAAAGCCGATATTTTCGGATACTTAGATTTCCACAACATTTAAGGAGTATCCTGTGGCGATACCAACTTTGGTTTTTCAAATGAGAACCTGTATTAAAAAATTCCACAAATAGATGCAGTATTAGTTCAAAACATTTTTAATTTCCGTCAAACCGTTAACGAGATAATCAATTTTTAAATTAAGGTAGGAGAAGAGTAGGAAAATATCGGCTTTAACTACACTTAAAAATTCCATAAATCAGAATTTCAATGTATGCAAAATTTAACAAAAAAAAAAAAAAAATGGAGTGAGCACGTTGAGTGAATCACATTGTCTATAATATATATGTCATATTATGGTGAAATAATTACATATACATTATACATTTTCTTGTATATTGTTTGTTAAATATTAAATTATTTAAATTATTTGTATAATATTGTACCTATTTTTTCGTTTTTCCTACATGTTTTCCCATTTATTGGGAAAACTCTTGAGAAAATCAAAAAATGACTTCCTTAAAGTACCACTTCAGTCAAATTTCTTTTCAGAAAAAATGCAATCATAGTAAATCAGAGCAAAATTGATGGTAGAAAAGTTGTCCACAGAAAAAAAAAATAAACTTCATTGTAAAATAAATAGACCCTTCACTCCGCTCCGAATCTAAAAAAATTAAGATGACACTGCTGACGGGTGTACCACTGTTGTAGGTGGGAGAAGTCGGTAAGGTTGGATATATAGAATTGTTTGGGCACTATTAAACTGGTCTCCCAATTTTAGGTAAATATAAAATCGACCTTTTAATTGGATCCCAAAACTGTAGAATAATATTATTTAAAAAGGGGTTCTTCAAGCACTCTAATTCGTGTATTCACCGAATAAACAATACAAAGAGATTTACTACATCTACCCACACATGGAATAAAACTCAATGTTCATGGTCGTAATTTGAGGGAGTATACTGGGATCTGAGAAGACTATACCCACTTAAAAGTTTAATCATCAAGTTTATACATTAATAATTACAAGTATTTTTGGCGGTTTCATGGTTCACATCTATTCAAATGATTCGCTATTAATTGAACTATTCAGTTTTACATGTGACATATGAATGAAATTACGGTAATTTTTAATTTTGTAGATTTTTTTAAATCAATATGATACCAATCATCTTTTGTCATCAATACTATAAGAGCGTGTACACGAAATTGTTGAACTAGATCCAACAGAGCGGTAACGTGGTTAATCGTGTGGTAATATCGTGTAAAAATACAATTTTTTTTTACTATAAAAATATTTGAAAGGTTATGTTTAACATCATAATATACGCCAAATGTTCCAAATATGCGTTTACATATTATAGGTATGTTTAATATGTTAATGTAAAATTTTTTAAATATATACAAACGAAATAGCTTACGGGCATCTTCTCCTGGACATGATTTGCAACATTTTCCTGGCAATAACGTGGGTTCTTCGCATTTGGGTTTTGGACAATCGTTTTTGATGTTCCGACACTGCACCTTGCCTATAATCCTTCTCTTCTTTTGAACCTGCACAATAAAATGAGTAGGTACACATTAATAAATGACATGTAATAATTTACTGTAGGTTTTTCAACAATTCAATACAAATGTAATATATCGTGGTCGGCTATCAAACCAAAACCCGTAGTCGAAATGTTGAATTTTTTTGGTACAATTTTAAGTCTGCTATAATTTTTCACTTCTTCTGTAAAATTTGTTAAATTAATCTTACGAAGCTTTGCTGGGTAGCCGGCGATATATATAGTGTCCCACGAATATATGTATAACCATTACCATATCTCCTGAACTAATAAAGATAATAAAATTCTTTTTCTTTTTTTATATATTTATAAACTCACAGGAATAAGGATTATATATATTTATATTTGAATTACATTTATACGTTTTGATAAAAAACTAAAAAAATTAATTTTTATTTTATTATTTTTGAAAAGTTTGAAGATTTTTATTAGCTGTTTTACAAAATTTATTCTTTTGAAAATTTTGACGTAATTTCAAATTTTTATTTTCATCAAATTTGTGATTTCAAATATTTTTTTAAAGTTCAGATAAAAGTTTCTAAATTCTGCAGCAGGCTGTACTCGCATTCGCTATAATTGATTAATATTATATTAATATTCACTGTACATTTTTTTTTCTCTGAACTTTAAAAAATTATTTAAAATCACGAATTTAATGAAAATAAAAAGACGAAATATAAAAATCTTCAGAAGAATAAACTTTATAAAATAGCTATCTTTAAATTTTTCAATAATAATAAAATTAACAAAATAAAGTTATTTTTTAAGTTTTTTCTAAAACATAAAAACAATTTGACTATCTTTATTATCTTCGGAAATATTCTGGACTTCGCAGGACACTGTATATAGGATTGAATATCGCAATGATTTGTGATTTTTTTCGACATCAGCTAAAATGTCGAATTTCCCAGTAGCTACACGAATTTTTAAAAAGATTTATTATTATTTTATTTTTTTAAACACGACGGATAGGTAGTAAATTATATAGCACGATGTAATACAACGCGTACGGAACATTTTTTTGGATAATATTCAAAGATACGTTTTAGCCAATAAATACTATAATATAATTATTGATGATTTGTACATTAGCCGAAATTAGCAATATACGTTCGAACGGAATTTGGCAAAACTTTACACCGCGTAGGTACTATATTATATTGTTGTCGTCTTGCCAATGTGTCATCAGTGATTTTATATTACGTACACAAGTCGAGAATTACATTAATATGACTGAATATTTGGAAAATTGGACTAAATTTTAGAATTCAGTAGTTAAAGTGGGAAAAACTTCGACGGAGACGGATAATTTCACGTTAATTAAGAGCTACACTTGAACCATCAAAAATCAATTTATTTATTTATTTTACACATTTGTGAAATAAAATCCGAAATCTAATATTGTTGTGATACTGTAATTTTGCGAAATCGGCGAGTATATTTGTACATGTATGCAATATGTACACATTATTGTACATACCTACGTATATTATGTTTACCTACCTGCCTACCTATGTGTATGGTATATATATTGAATATTGATTAAATTATTATGCAAATCGACCGTCAGAAACCCCCCGACTTGTCATACGGATCCGGAGATGATGTGGGATAATCGTATACGTATAAACACGTATCTATATTGGAATAACGTATACCTACGCATTTTTAAAGACTTAACAAAAAAAAAAAAAGTGGTGATACTGCTGATGGGTGTGCCACTGTTGTAGGTGAGAAGTCGGGAAGGTAAGATAAATAAAGTTATTTAATTTATATATTTATGCGCCGATAAATCCCTATCGAAGTACGATTTTGAGCCAAAGTTTGGTTAAACACATGTTTTTTTTAATTTTCGTTAAAATTTGAACTTAAAACGATCATAAAAAAAAATGTATTACATTACACCCATCCTTTTTATTTATACGACTATAAGTATTATTTATAATCAAGGTACGGGACTTATAATCAAAATAAACGCTGATAAAAAAGCACTTAAATACTTCATTAGAAACACTCAAATAAACACATTAAAATATTAAAATAAGTAAAAAAAGGCATGACAAAAACTATGAACACATTCTTTTTTTTAATATTGACATTTAATTTTCATACTTAAAAATATAAACACAATTTTATCTTTAAAAAAATTAATTATATTTATCATTTTTAAGTTTTTAAGAACATTTTAACATCTTATAGATTTTTTTGAAAAATAAATTTCAAATATTTTAAACGATTCTGAGAGAAGCTCCGTCAATAGTATTGCTTTTTTTAAAATATGCTTTTTCACAACAATAACGATCGTTTACATATTATTAAAAGATTAAAATAATACAAATTTAATAATAACAAAAATAATAAAAACGGTTTCCAATGACAACTTTATTTTTAATCTTTTAATCTTTTTTAATCTAAGGAATCAATTTTTCCTCGTTATCTCGAATATTAATGAGAATATCGGAGTATCCCTCGTTTCACTCAGGATCTAAAACAGAAATTAACTAAAATGTTTAGGTTTTTGTGTCAGTGCTTAATTATGACACGTACCACTGTACGTGTCATAATTAAGCAGAGAAATGCAATAAATAAAAAACAATCAGAAAGACTAGAAAAAAGCAATTTGTTTAAAAACCATCGAAATAAGATAAAAAATGCACTTTCAATTTTCATATATGAGATAATTGTAACGTGACACGAGTTTCTATAGCACTTTGATAAATTGTATGTTAAAGTCAAAAAAATAAGCAAATGATAGAAGTCTTGGACCCTACATAATGCATAAATTTCATGTTGGGATATCAAGCATTTCTGTTGCATCAAACAAATTGTATCCACATAGAACCAAACAAAAACTCGAAGATGCCTATAAATAACTAAGTCACCAAAAAGTTTTAAAAATGTTCACCACGTCTAGAAAAAAAAATGTCATAATTATTATTCAGTGAAAATTACAAGTGTATACGAATATTTTTAACCGAATTATGACCAAAAAAACAAAATTGAAAATAAAGAAATAATAATTTCCGTAACTTTCCAGTTTTTCCCGGTTTTCTCCAACTTTTAAGATAACCACACGGAAATTCAATCGATTATCATCCAAAATAAAGTTGTCTTTTCATTATTTTATCGGATCAAAATTTCTGGCAGGAAAGTCACTTATGGACCACGAAAAACCAAAAAAAAAAAAAATCGCACTCGCAGTAAAACCAATCCGCTCTTCGTATCAGAATCTAAAAACGAAAAAAAAAACCCCCGAGCTTATTGTACGAGTTTCATTGTAATCAATTTTGTCGGCGAAATTATAAGTACCTGTTCGAAATTTCTGTACTCCACGAAGGTCGTAACAATATTGTTGTTATTATAATTTACACAAAACGCGTGCATACGATATTCCTACACGCGCGTGTATACTACCTGTACGTATCGGTTATATTACGCACGTTCGCGCGCGCAACAACAATATCACGGATTCGATAATATGATAAAAAATGGAATTAAAAAAAAAAAATAACCGACAACATGACGGACCCTAAATATTACGAGCGGGCGTACGTCTAAAAAGCACGTCCGGCGTGTGGTATTATCATATACGTGTACCTATGTGGGCACACAGGTATAGGTAAACGCGCGAAAACCCGTGTTATAATACCACCTCGGTTCTTCGCCGTTTTTTTTTTCTTTCCTTTTTTATTTACACTATATTATGTATGCTCATTTTTTTTTTTTTTTTTTTTTTTTTTTACGGTGTTTTTTTTTTTTTTTTTTTTTTTTTTTTTTTATTCCATCGTTATATTCATGAACACTGGCTTTCTATNCTTCGCCGTTTTTTTTTTCTTTCCTTTTTTATTTACACTATATTATGTATGCTCATTTTTTTTTTTTTTTTTTTTTTTTTAACGGAATTATTTTTTCTTTCTTTCCATACTCCGTTTATTATACCGTAAATATATTTTACGCGTGTGACAGTCACGACGACGCCGCGCACACCGCATTATATTATTATATACGTATTATATGCATGTATATAATATGTGCGCGCAGTACATATGTAGTTAGGTATGTGTACACGTATATTTCCTATTTTTTTTATTTATTTATTTTTTTTTTTTTTTTATTCCATCGTTATATTCATGAACACTGGCTTTCTATAACGGCGACCGATTGTTCTCGTCCGCCGTCGCGCGATGGAATGTGTGAATCTGATCTCAGTCGATTGTTGTTTGGACGACGGCGACGCACGCGACACACAATTGAACGGCGGCGGCGGCGGCAGACGAGACCGCGTCATTTCGCGCGATGGATAAACGCAACGCGAATAATTACAATCGGTTTTTACCGCGAGGACACCCGCCGCCGCCGCGTGCCGACGAAGGGGCGTAAATCCGTTCCACCGCAATCAGTGGCCCGGCGTGACGGCCGGTGATGCCCGGCCATCCGGAACAGTGGCCGAGCGCGCCGCGACGGTCTCTACGTGCGTTTATTTAGGGGACGAACGCGGGAAAATATTTCCGGCGAAGGGGATAGACCCGTCCCTCCCCCGAAGTTTTGGTTTGAAGACTTTTGAACTGAGGTTTCGTTACGCCGAGATTTTTTCGATTGAATGCACCGTCTTTGCAAGCCTAGTGTGTCGGCCTTCGACCGACGCCAGTTTTTGACCGAAGCGCGATAATTCGACTGAAATGTGTACAATTCGATCTTACCTCTTACAGTCAAGGACGTATATTTAAGAGATCGGGGAGGTTAGGTTAGCTTATAAACTTATAGGTTTCCAAGAAAAAAATATAAAAAAACGATCAAGTAGGTTGTGAAGCGTTGAAAATGTTCCAAATTAAGTTGAAGTACTGCGTGGAGTAATTGAAGCGTTTGCCCAACCAAATCATTTTTTTTTATATGGGTAACTTAAAAGAAATAATTTTTTATAAAATACAATCAAACAAAAATAACTGCGTCTTTAAACGTATGAGATGAAAAAATCGGAACATTTTTACTAACCGAAAAATTGTTTTCCGAGAAAAAACACATATTATAATAGTAAAAAACTAATAACTTCTTCGCTTCACTCAGAATTTAAAAAAAAAAAATGTAAATAAAAATAATTATTAAAAAATGTTACGGAAAACCAGCCTCATCCTACCCCCCCGGGATAAATTAATCATATGATCGCTACTGCCTAGGTGTATGACTGCGAAGAAAAAAAATGTTTTACGAAAACGTGATTAATTTCATACCTAGAGATTTATTCCCGTGACGCTATTATTATTGTTATGCTTACCCATATATTATATTATTATACTACAAATGTGAATCGGACTTACCTGAACGCATTCGCATCTTATACAGTACATGACGCCGAAAGGTGGACCCAAATCCGCGAACCACGTGGATCCGATTTCTTTGAGCTGTTTACCGAACTGACATTCTGAAAATCGCGAAAAAAAAAATCCAGTTGAAAAAAATCGAGCAATATATTATTTGTGTACGGCGTGTTGCGTTAATATATTTGCGAAATTCCTTTGCATACGATGCGTACGATTGTACTAACAAAATACACACGCTTCTGGCGATTCATGAACCAGCGATAGCTAACATAGACGCTTTGAGATTTTAGTTTGTTTTTTTTTTTTTGGAAACACTACTATAGTAGGTTGAACTGTTTAAAAATCACGCGAAAAAAAGATCATTTACGCGTTTTTATAATTTCTGAAAAAAAAAATAGCCAATAAGACGCGCGAGTTAGACGCGCGATTCCAAAAACTCTGTTAAAAAAATGTACAATATTATAAGTCGGTAGGTAGGTAGAATTACGATCAGAAATTATCTCAGTGTTAGTGACCTGACGAAATGATATGTGCGTATGTGTTTTTCCGTAAATTCATTCGTCACGTAAATATTATATTGACGACTTTTTTTTTTTTTATTGTATGATAAACTATAGTATTTGTTCTTCAACTGTTCAAGTGACTGATTTCAGTTACATAATATTATTATGTGTGAATTTCAAGTCGAGAAATTATTTTGTTTAGAAAAAAGTTAGAAGCCTTTGACAGAATGAACGGATGGACGAATAGAGTCGCCTCACAAGCCCCAAACAAAATAGTTCCGTTAGTCTCGAGATCAAATCGGGGTATTTTTTTGAGATTTTCTGTGTCCAAGCAGACACAAATCAAAGTCCACTGGAAACTCAATAGAATAAGATTGTACCGTGTGTCCACCACTATAGAAAAAAACCGAAAATTATGGATTTAGTGGTTTTTGTAACAAAACGTTATAATTCATAATTTAGGAAATACAACGTCACACCGGTGAAGAAGGGAGAAGTTCAAAAGTTAAGGAAAAGATTTAGTGGAAGTTTTTTTAAGGGGTGGGGGTGAGAGGAGACGCAATTGATATCCACTGAAAAGTGCTCAGGATCCTAAACGATACGGAATTCTAAAATGAAAAATTGACTCAAGTCTCACGTGGTATATATATATTTTTATTGTTTTATGTGATCTTATCGTATATTAAAATTTCGCAGTCTCGTATATTACGATTTCCGTTTTCCATTATACGACAGGGGAGCGAATACCGAAAAAAAATAAGAATTTAATTTTAATCGCATTGCGCAATATTATACGGTATTTATAGTATCGCAGCTATTCAACGAACTGCAAGTAATAATGGACATTTCAGAGAACGCGAAATTATATTTCCATAACGAAATTACACAGCTAATAGTTGTAATTGTTGGTTATTATATACAAGTCGTCCAACTACACAAAGTCAAACCTCAAACCATTCAATAATATTGTATAATATAAGGTGAAAAAATATATTTTCACATTATAATAAACATCTTAAAGGTCAATCCGCTAATTATAATATTTGCCGCAAAATGTAAATGCAAACAAATTAATCGACTACGATCAAAAAATTATATTATAATGTTCATCAATTATTGTAACTCTCTATAGAGTATATAATTAAAAAGGAAACCACAATTATAATGTGTATAAATAATTATTGTTAATCACTAATTAGAGAATACCTATGCGCTTTATTTTTAAAAATATTACGAAATACAATAGAACAATTATATATTATTGTATACCGAGTCCGGGTTGTTTGTCAACTTTTTTTTAGATATGTTTTCTTTATTATTATCATTTTATCGATAGACACTGTGGACGAACTGCCATACCCGAAAATGTTATTGTGTAACATTTTTAAAAATATTAGTGGAAATAATTCAAATGAAAAAAAATAAAATAAAAAATAAAGATATCTGAAGAAGACGATTATGCAATTGAAATATAGAATACCTACTATTATAATATCAAATCTCACGTTCAAACAGAGAAACACTCAATACTTATCCGTGAGTCAGTCATAGTATAGGTAGGTAGGTATGTCTATTTTAAATATTTATTTTTAATCGTTTTAACACGTGAGAGTTAAATAAACTAATATAGGTGGGTAGGTACGTAATTAATATCTAACGATTTCAACGGTGTCTATATATTCATGTGATTCGATGTTTACGTACGAATGTAAATATTTAGAACGATACGAGCATAATATTATGATAATGACTGTTGACTGTTGTCATAGGTAAATAATTGGGCGAAAACACGTTTGAGTATTAGCATTGATTACAATTTATAGTATTTACTATTATATGCATTATATATAATAATTTATAATCAATGGTATTAGGTGTATAAATATACGGTGACTGTACGATTAGAACCCCCCTCCAAATATATAAAAAAAAAAAATGTAAATTCAATTAATCCATTAACTATTTATAGTTATAAATCATGCGAGTTATCAGCTAGGTAATATATTTGTATAGCTATGCAATAGTAAGTTTTCAATTGTTTGGCAATAAGATCGTTATGAATTCTTATCATAATATATTAATTATAATAAATCCACGTCAGCGGTGGGAATGCATTCTGAAGCGAACTGCACTTTAATAAAACGCACAAAATATTTCGTTAACGTTCGAATTGTAATTGATAAGATACTGTATTTAAAAATTATCTCCATATCACTAACCACAAACATTCTACGAACAATAATATTATTTTGGTGAAACGGAAGAAGAAAACGGCGACATGACAATACATTATACACATACAAAATAAAAATATCACCGACACCCACACATTTTTTCGAATTCTTTCCTAATTTTTGCGGTCACTAGAAATTTAAAAACTATGAAAACTGCGAAATGTAAAAAAAAGTAAATTTCTTCTAAACCTTTGTGGTAATTGCTAATTCAAGTACCTTTAAAATTGATGTAGACATAATAATCTGCATCAGTGTGTTCAAACTCACGCATTAATTTTTTAAATTTACTTTATTACATTACAGATCGAAGTCCAAAAACACAAGAATAGGTGTAAAACAATTCAAACAAAACTACAAAACTAAAATCGAATTGTCGCAGCGTTGGTTACAATTGTAAATAGATAATATAGATACCTACCTAAACGTTTTTATTTGTTTTAATACAAATATTGTATTAACAGTCGTATTTGATATTATATTAAACGCAGGAAAAGAAAACTGAGATAAAAATGTTAAATATATTACAATAAGTAATATGTCGGTATAAGGGGTACAGGAGGTATCCCTCACCACTCGAGTCAAAAACTGAAATTGCGCCTGTGTTGATAATTATAATGTATTATTATCCACGTATGCTTCCACGTAACCGTTATGGGTAATTTTATTTACCCCGATTAATTATTCGTCGTCGTATACCAATACCACGGTATCTACGTAACACACTGTAATAACCGCTCATACCGTTCTTTCTTTTAAACTGGTTCGCCGGACAGCAATCTCACTAATATATTTCATATGATGTTATAATTACATTACCTATAATTTAGCTTTACAATTCCGAGTAGTAATTCATGTGCTCATCGGTGTCACGGTGTGGTTTTTATTTTCGCAAGGGTTTTTACGTGAACTTCAAACTTCCACTGACACGAAAGCGAACGTAGATACCGTTTAATTGAAAACTTAATCATTAATTCGAAAACAATAGTACAATACTAATTTCCATCGAACGGATACTGCTGTGTTTCGGTATAACTACTGTGAAAACTGACTCGGAACATTTTTTTACCGTCGAATATTCGTCGGGTGAATTCAATATGTTTAATTTATTATTACAGTAAATAGTGTAAACTATAATTATTATTAGTACTTATATATGCATTACATCTCGCATTACAGACTTATATTCGTATTGTTTTTATTACACGTTCGAGTATATTATTATAATTTTTTTTTTTTTTTTGTATATGCGTACCTACGGTGGCGCCGAATCATGTATACAATACACAGAGAAGTTAGACAAAACAACAATTTAGCCACCCACAACTATAATAATAGTCATCGTGTAACATTAAAACATTTATAGCCACTGCATAGAATGATGGTTTTTTTTTTTTTTCGAAACGAATAAAGTGATATGTATACCATTGTGTTTGGTTATGAATACTACGCTAAGTTCTATATATCATATTAATATGTGTACAAGACAATGCTACAATTTAATTGATTTCCGACTAATTATATACTGTTTTACCAAACCGAAAACATTATCCTTGAAAGATAAATGAAACAGAGACTTCACTAGGTAGGTACATAATAGCTGGCGTCACTTGGCGTTAATATTACAGGCAATACGACTGCATGATATTTTTGGTTACGAAATTCGCATCACAATATAAGCGAACAGGTCATCCGAAATTTACTTCCTAATAAAAAATCAAATATATTTGATATAATACGCATATACACTGTATAGGAGTATATTTAATTTTTAAGCCTTACGAGTCATTTAGAATATTTGCCGCCAAAACTACTTCCGTCAATCGGCTTTCATCATAATATGCTGGTTCCCATTCGACTCCAATTTCTTTAAACGATTCCTTAACGCTGTACATCCGTCTTTTCCTCGGCCTTTTCTCAATCATCATGACTCATATCGCTGTTGTCATGACCATGAGACTTCCATCAGCCCGCCACACATATTTTAGACGTGTTCCTCAGACAAGCTGGACCACATTCTCTCTTTTTTACATCTCGTAAATCAGATGGACGTTATTTATGATTACACATTTTTATTCGACATTGTTGAGCCAGGGCCCATGCACCCTTCTTAAGTGTTTTACTTATGAATAATTTTATCTTAACCACCTTTGTTCGACGACGTGAATGTGACACACGCATATCTCAACACAGCCCTGATATAACTTATGCATGGCCGTACTTTTGTCTTGCTTATCAGTAGAATTTAGTCTGATGATGATTTATTCGCGCATGTTATTTTGACAACCAAGTGTGGTTCTAATGTGTTTGACCTCTTTCACTTGTTCAAAGTCAATAACTTCGCTTTTCCAAGATTTTCAGGAAGATCTCTATCGAATTTTACTTAGTCGTTTTTTTTTTTTTTTTTTACAGTACCTAATTGTATTGTTTTATTACTGTGCATCGTTGCAACATTCATCGCTATGCACCTATATAAACTAAATAGATCATTCATTTTTTTTTTTTTTTTTTTTTTTTAAATAATTTTATTTATGTCATCGCAGGGCATGTAGGCGTGAACCTAACAACAGTTTTTACCGAATTTTCGTAAACGCACTTATAATAATAATATTTCTGGCCCCGCTCTACAAACAACATGTGCGAACCGACGAGATTTTCTCGGTAGTTCGCACTACACGTTTTACTTAAATATCTATGTATATATATATATATATTTTATAAATAATATAATAATGTTTTTTTGCGGAACACCGGTTGGTAACATATGCGCGCGGCACATCTATATATTATTGTACTAAAAAAAAAAAAAATATATTCCTTTTTTTTATAGAAGTATAACCATAATAATACGTCTATATAATATTATGACGCGTATAACTCGTATATTTTATTGTTTACACACGCAATTACACCACGCACAATGCCCTTCGTGTAAAAAATTAATTCCGTTCGCCTATATAATAGGTGCAGGTATGTACCGGAGAATATACACATAATATTCGTATTATACATCATTTTATTGTATACAATTCGTTTAATTCGACATTCGGTCGTCGTCGCCGCCGTTATTGTTACTATATATTTTTAATTTTTTTTTTTTTTGTTCGTCCAAGTATTCTCTTTATATTATTATTAGGTATCTATTATATATTAAGGGGACTGCGCGCGACCTGTTTTTTTTTGCCCAAAAACACGCTTTACAAGGTTAACTCTCCTGCCTCGTCGAATGGTCCGATTTCGATCATTTTTTTTTTTTTTATGTTGGAAATACGAAGACAACAAGTCGCATTGGACTTGGATTTTGAAAATTATAATAATTCCAAACAGTATAATTTGAGTTCGAATATAAGGCCAATTCATACCTGTTTAAATTATTATTATTATTGTGGTTTTTGTTTATATAAGTAATGCAAATTCGAAGTCCAATACGCTCTATAGGAAGTTATCCTCTTTCAAAAACAAAAAAAAAAACCAAACAAACAAAGAATAATGAAATCGGATATCACTATGAGGTAAGATAGTTAACCGTGTTTCGCGCAAAGAAACAGATCCCTTAAACCGAAAATTAAAAGCGAATGAATTTTTGGCACTTGTCGGTTATCGCTACTACCGGGAACTACCTCAGTTACCACACGACAGGTCATCGCAACAATAACCGCCCACTTTCCGTTACGCTATGGTAATAATCGCGATCAAAATATAAAATCCATATCCAAATTAGACGAGTTAGACAACTTCGAGTATAATCATCTAACTGTGAATCGTTATACATAATATAATATTTTATTGATTCTAACACTGGTAATCGTACGTAAAATGTAGAACAATTATATATATGGGGAACGCGGGCAGTTATTTGATTGGGTTCGTATTGTATTGCTGAATTTACAATGATTTTTAAACGATTATATTATTGTGAAAAATGTATATTATGTATAATTTTAAACACGAATCAATCGGGTTAATATCGGGTAGTCGCGATAACCGCGATAAATATACCGCATTTTTTAACATCGTGAACGTCGACGGGGTTTTTTTTTTCTATCAGCGTGACGACAATTGTTATTGTTTTGACGATTTGTCGACCGAGGGGGGGAACCGCGATCTTCGAGGAGGAAACCGAAAATCCTGCAGTACTCGAGCGCGTTGTCGCCCGTATAATATTTTACAATACGCGTTTTTTTTTTTTATTTATTAGCGTATTTTTTTCGTAAAAAAAAATAAAATAATAACAATATTATTTTTTTTTTTTCGACTCCGCGGCGACGGACGTACAAAAATGATGATTATTATTATCACCGTGTCGGCGTTCTCATTGTTCGCCGGGGCTACCACACGAGCGGTAATAACACAAGCAGCCGGCAATGACGCGAAACAGATTGGCGCCGGCCGCGGCGACTGGAAAACGACGACGACGACTACGACGACCACGACGTTTACCCGCCGTTTTTATGCACGCGACATTATTATGTATTATTGTTGTTCGACTTCGTATTTGGTATGACCGGTTATATTAATAATAATACACGCGCGCCCATATACACAATACAGTAATAACAACAATAATAACGACAGTAACTATATAACATTAACATATAAATATTATGCGTATCGTGAGTATTTATTTTTCACTGGTAATAATACGTATTTCGCGCAGGCGTTATGACGTTAGGGTGTATAATATTAGGGAGGACCGAACAAATTTATATTTATTTTTTTATTTTTTCAGCGAGCCAATGTTTATTATATGTCATTTGTGTACATGGAAGTGTAACGCAACTCCGTGGGATCTTGTTTCACGAAGAATAAAAAAAAAAAAAAAAAAAAAAAAAAAAAACAGTTCTATTGTTAACGAACGGCGATTTTATTAGGGGAATAACGCGCGATCACATTCGAAAATGTCAGAACGTAATTAGGAACAAATTGCAAGTTCTTATAATAACTGACGAGGAGATATTAAATCATCAATATTAACAATGTTCTAAGCCGCTATGAATTTGAACAACACGAAATTACCCTAGAAAAAAAAGTTCGTGTTCAATCTTTTGCAATTCTTTATTTTCTTTAATGTCTTTCTTTAAAATTTTTTTTTTTATCACCCTAATATTTATGTTACGACCGGGACCGTAGAAAGACGAAGCGAATGGTGCCTGCGCCCCGTGCGTAATACACGGGAGGCCGCAAAAATACGTTAAAAAAACCGTACAAATATTATGTTAAAAAGAAATTACTAAACAAAAAAATTTCAAATTTAAGAAACCCAACAGTGAGATAAGAGATAATTAAAATACTGGTGTTTTGTAGGTTTAAGTTTTCATTTTAGATTATTATAGTTCATAAGGGGCGCCATTTGTGCGATTCACAAAATGGGCAATTTTTTTGTTCGGTAAAAATTAATCGAGAAAATTACACAACTTTTCCCGGGGTTGAAATATACCTAAATTACGCATGTATACCTACTTAAATTAATTTTAAAATCTGAAGTTTTATTTGAAGTTAATATATTCAAAAAAGTATTTTTTTTTTAGCTTTTTTTTACATGTATAGTAAACAAATTTCTGATTACCTACAATTAAGTATTTGATTTGTTAAAATACATGAGTATTCATAAAAAAAAAAAAATACAAAAGAATAGAATCCAAAATCAAAGTTTCAAAAATTCGAAATCTGAATTTGTAGACGGATTTCGGATTCCCCTATGCATTCCCGAGATCGGATTCTGACGGACTTCGTGAATCTGAATTTTTTCCAACCACATAGCAAAGGGATTAGGGAGGTATATAGAGTATCTCCCTTTAGGCTTTTTTTTTTTTTATCTATTACTAGCTATCCCGCCCGGCGTTATCCGTGCCAAAAAAAATAATCGAAAAATTTCATAAATCAACAAAAATAATTAGATTTTCTTCGTACTAAAAATACCTATAACCCTGTATCACCCCTCCACTTTAGGACTTGAAAATGAGAGGAAAAAAATAGCATTTATGTTATTCCTACTCTAGAACTAAATCAATACAATGCTTCTACTCAATGCTCAATCCGTCCAGTAGTTTGAGCGAAAAGTGCCAACAAACGTACATCCGTCCAATCGAATTTTCAAATTTATTAGTAGAACTTATATGACTTATATGACTACCTGTTCTTTACATTTTACTTTACTTTCTAACCAGAAAAATACCTAGTACCTATTATACAAAAACTTGAATGTATTTTATTGTATAAAATGAGACGGGGCAAATATTTATATGTTTTCGCGTATTTTTATCGATCGACGGCTGAAAATCGGGCAATTTTAAAATTCAAAATCTCCTTCGTTGAAAAAAAATCTCGTACACACCGTCATTAAGTATAATCACTGCAACGTTATAGCAACAATCGACGATTTTAATAATATAGGCGCGTTTGGATGCGGTTTTTTTTTTTAAATTTTATCCTTCCGCCGCAATATGGTAACCGTCTGCCACACACCGGCGGCGAATGTACATAATACAACACTCGTAAAATCGTACTATTATAATTATTATTAATTATTATTATATATACACATATATATGTACACAAACGATTCGACTGCAATACGATGCGCATCAACGTACTGCGACGGCGGTTAGGTTATTAGGCACGGCTCAATGAACTTAAAATAATACTATAGGAAAAAAAAGAGAAAAAAAAAAACCAACCATTAATATTGTTATCCGCACTTGTTGCGCGACAGCAGCATGCGCGTGCGTGAGATTTTGGCATCTCCGTTTACGTGTGCGTACGCTCGTGTGTGTATGTGTATGTGTGTGCGTTCGTGTGTGTGGTGACGTATTCCCATTGACATGAGAAAAAAAAAATAACAATAAAATAAAAACAAAAAACGATGCCATTGACAAAACGAAAACGGTCGACGACGCACATCAGCAGTAGACCATCGGGAAGATATTATAATACACTTTTCGCTCTACACACATACACACACACACACACACACACACACACACACACACACAGACACACATACATTTCTCGTATTTTAACGTAAGACTTTCAATATTAAATACTCGTATATATGAACGCGCGTATACAATAAGTATCGCTCGTGACACACATTGTGTCGTTTGAATGTTACCGCGGTATTTCACTGCTTATAATAAACCTATACTGGCGGACCGAACGATAAAAAAAAAAATAATAATAATAAAAAATAGTTGTCACGAGCTAAAGTGCTGAAAGTTGTGTCATTATACACGTACCTACATATACAACTGCCCGACGGCACGGAGGTCCGGTCTACACGTAAGTATATAAACGTTTTATAATAATAATTTTTATTTTTTATATATAATATACACACGAATATAAATGATAAGTACGTTCAGTAAATTATTTGCTATCTATAGTATAAGTACTCGCATATCATTACGTATAGTTTACGAAAAAAAATTGTCCGGCTTTTACCTTTCGCACATTTAACGCGTTTGACATTTCCCGTCGGGCGCCTACGATGGGTTACCGAAATTCGGTATAAGCATACCGGAAATCGGTAAACAACACGAGCAATATAAGCCATTAGCCGGTCATTGGAAATTCATCTTATTCGTGCAGAGTAATACCCGCACGCAAATAAATAAATGTCAATGTCTACTCCAAGTCTCGCGGAAAAAATGGTCTTCCGAGACGTGCAATAAAAACCGATCACACGTATTCGCGACGTGAAAGTGCAAATTAAAACACATTCGTCGCCGTTTTCGTTCTAAACATCAATACGCGAATACCCATCGCCGTGAATTGGCACTACCACATACATGGGCATGAATGAAATCTAAAAAATTTTCCTACGTTATATTATCACTAATATTTCGAAACGATTTGAATCTGTACATAAAAGTTGCGAATTGAGGAAATTTTACTCACATATCTCGCGGGGCAAATGCATAACGATAACATCGATTAGTTATTGGATTTCTATTAGGAAAAATAAAATGAACGCTATATTATAATATATATTGTAGTGATATCTGTATAAAAAAATATGTAAAAATGGACACCGACTGTTGTCTTACACGAGGAAAAATGGTGCCTGCACAAGCCATTAATTATAAAAAAAAATATGTACAAAAAATATTAGAAGTCTCGATTGAAAACGTGAACTAATATAAAACGGAAACCGTGTACACACTTGAATGATAAATTCGTTCTCATGTACACGTGAAAATGTACTATCCGCGTTCACGTGAATACGTATAGGAAAACGCGTAAAAAATAACGCGAAATACGCGCGTATACACGTGCACACGTGAAAGCGTGTATACACGTGAAATATGGAGCTCTAATAAATTTTGAATAGAAGGGACGAGGGGGGGGACCTGTCCATCGCGGAAATTCGTGTACGATATCCGTCATTCTGTATACTATGTTCAAACGTATTAACTTTCGATATTTTTCATTCGGAAGATATTTGTTACGTTGAGTACGTTACGGTGTGTATAATGAAGTGTTCCGTCACATTTTCTCCGACTTTTTCGCGCGTTCAACGAGCTATCGTCAAAGTACCAATATATATATAATATTTAAATTTACGGGAACAATATTATTATTATTCGTACCACGGTCAGGGCTGCGAGGTATTTTAAAAAATTGTGTAAATTTAAAACGTTCAAAAATTAAATTAAAATAATTAATATGTTCAGAAGCGTGAAGATATTTATACACAGTTCCTATTCATTCATAAAATATAAATGAAAATACAGTTTCTATTATTACTTTTGGATAGAATGGTAACATTTTTCCAGTTGTTATTTTGTTCTTAAATAATAATTACGATCAAATTCTAATTATAACTAATACGATTATTTACAAAAAAAAAAAAAACACGAAATATTGATTTTGTTTTTGACCACGGTACACTGACTGAATATCGATTTTACGTGGGAAATGTTCAAAACGTGTCGCTACGGATGGACCTATCCATCATGTCCGAGCTATTAATAATATTGTTTAATATCATAAAAAACGTGTAAAAAAAAATCTACAATTACTTCAAACAGTGTGCTTATGCCTACCTGTAAAGTGTATATATATATATATATATGTATGTGTGTGTATGTGTGTATAATGTTGCAGCGAACTCGCGTCTTGGCTCTTGGAACGCACGCCAAAATATCTCCGGGAGAACCCATTGCGGGGGACACCCTGTACAATTTATGTTGTATAGGTGCAAAGTGCGTGTCGAAGTCGTTGGCCGCGTCTAGACGTCCCGATATACCTACGACTCTATGGACGCGTATTATTATTGTGTGATTACTTGGCAGTTTTACGAGACTGTGCGGTGTGTTCTTATATTATACACACTTATATACTATATTATATTATGTATATGGTCGTGTGTATAAAATATAATTTTTGAGCGCGTGCGTGTGTTTAAAGTGCGGGCAAGAGCGATTTATTATATTTTTGGATGAAAGGTGTATAATAATAATAATAATAATAATACGAGTATATTATATTAAAGTGGAACGAGCGGAGAACTTATTATAACAAATCTTGGACTTCTATCGTCACTGCAGCATACCCATTTATATATAATACATACATGATACACACATACATACATGTATGCATACAGAATACAGCTCGGGTTAAAATCAAATGGAAATTATAATAATTTGATTAATATTTACCGTCACGTTTTGCGATATAATTTTGGGGTTATGGTCATAATATATTTTTGACCTACCATCAAAATTTGACCCACCTTGTTAAAAAAAAACTAAAAATCTCGATTTAAGGTCTTGAAGATAATCTTCGACGATTGTATCCTTATTTGGATCTAAGGAACGCCACCCATTTTTTCCCGAAGCCACCTGGCAAGCAAAATAAAAACATATTGATTCGAATTCAATATATTTTTTTTTTATAGCAACACACCACAAAACTTCGATTTTTTGTGTGTTGAGGTCGACAAAATTTTTTAACGATTCACCGCCTGATACTTTACCTGTATAATATTACATCCGTGGTCATTCAAACAGGCGTAGGCTCTAATTTCAACGGTAAAATTAACCGGTAGGTACCCATACAAAGTCAATGGCGTGCCGGACATTTTCAACGGCAGGTAAGTTATGGGATAAGTATATACATCCCGATAACGGGAATTTAAAAGCCGGGTTAAAAAAAAAGGCAATTTTCATTCGATTAATCGAGCTTTTTCCTAGCGGTTACATCAAGTCTGAAGTACGTAGGTATATAATGAATTTCGAGATTATAAATTACTAAATAAATACACATAGTTGTTGTATTGACGAGACAATTATAGGGGAGGGTAAAATCGCAACCTCTCCTATCCCCGCGCACGTCATTGCCAATAATATTTATGTTGACGGAAGATACTGATTTTTTTTTTTTTTATAACTCGTCTATATATTATATTACATAGATTTCATTAAATAATCGATACTCAATATTAAAATAAATACCATCATATAAAAATAATAATAATATATAGGTAGTGGTAATATCTGTGCCATTGATGCAATATGCGCCCGTCTGTTTCGAAAAATATTATAAGTAGTTTTACTAGACATTTTTTTCTTCTTTTTAAAAATTAAATTTTATTTCGTCGAAAAATTATCGAGTTATTCGTCCGCGACAGAAGAATGCACGGGAAGAGGGAGTTTTAGACATATTTTATCTAATATTTATTTATTTTAATTTTGAAATGTATTTGCGTACGTGCGTTTTGTCCGTGCAAGTCACAAGGTAAATATAGTTAATTGATTAAGCGAATTGAATTTTTTTTTTTTGGATTTTCGGATCCGGCTTTGGACCCGTCGTCGGGTTACTGATACTTGTATATTATAAGAAGCAGGGGCGATCAAACGGGGAATATATCCCCCGCCCGTGGCTTTCAATATTTATAATAATACGTAATATTATACAAAAAGCAAACAAAAATCGTACCTTATGGTAAAATTACCCTAATACCCCATTCTTCCTTCCTTTAGGTGAAGAAAAGAACCGTTTGACCGTAGCCAAGAAGAAAACGATTCTACGATACATTCGCGATTATTATTTACTATACACCCATCACATCCGATTCTCCAGATGACGGCGCACCTCCGCCGATCCGCAAATATACGTAATATTATTATTCGTTTTGTATATTTTATACGAGCAATACAATTTTTATAATTATCTAAACGTCATTCATCACGTTATTTGTATTATTTTACCGAATAAGATATTAAAATTTTTAATTATTTCACATTTGCGCTCAAGATCAACACGCCGCAATAATAATTTATTAGCAATTATTATTTTACCGTGAGTATATATATTTTCATGTAGTCACAATTCTATCACAACTAACATAATATTATTGTTATACAAATATGGACGGATCTATTCAGCGTAGGACGTATTAGTTGGTCGGTATAATTTTTTTTCCTTGTATTATAACTTATTCAGCCTGTACACCTATTATTTTCCGAACAACCGAAGTGGTATACGGTTATAAAATATCAGGGTGCCTTCAGAAATTCAGTGTCGTTTCATCGAAATGATACATTTTTTAATACGGCCCGAGCATGCCTATAAGGTTGTGCGTGCGAGCGTATCAATGCATTAACAGCATAAAATTGGATTTACCGTAAGAAAATTTGTCACTATCCAATTTTAAACATTAGCCGTGACATACCGAATATATACACTCCAAATTGATAACATTATGCTGTCGGATATCGTTCAAAAATTCTAACTTCGCCAACTAAATTAAACGTCAGATCCATAAGAAAATTTTACGGATATTTCGGTATGTACAATTTTATTTTGTTATCAGTTCTTATTTGCCGTAATTTAAATTTACGCCGCGGGGCATCTATTACGCAATATATAATTACGTTTGATTATTCAACGCAATCTAAATGTGTTGCTATCCAACAACCTCCCAACAGATCAGGTCGAATAATTACATTTCGGATGGAAAATTTACCCATAAAGCAATATAGAAATTTGCGTTTTAAAAAATGAGCAAAATACGAATTATACTTATATATATTCGATTTCGGGGCATTTTGAAGTTAACACGAATACAGTTTTTATTCATCAAGCGAGTTCACCGATATTCAGATAAAATAAAATCATATATTAATACGAAATTTACTTTATAAAGGCCGTTTGAGATTTTTCCAAAGCGAATTTTTTCAATGTCGCAGTGCTCGTACATTTTTTATTATCTTTATTCTACTAGAAATCTTGCTCCGATTCCAGAGTGTAGTATAATTTCTGAAAGTAAATTTAGTCCAGTCGGTACATTATTCTACCTATGATTGTTTTATTGATTTTCCTTACGGTTTACTCAATAATCAGGAAAAACAGGAAAAAAATATATAAAAAAAAAAAAATTTAGAGCAATAATAATAACGATTTCATTGAATTCGATTTTGTTTTTATATTCGGAATTTCACTCCGATTTTTAAGTGTAGCATCTATTCCGTAAGAAAATGTCGTCTAGTTGATTGGGGAAGTCGATTGATTTCTTTTGTAGTTTTTTTTTTTTTTGGATTAAATGAGATTAAAATAATATTGGTGTTTAGCCGGTGTAAAGATAACGTTCACGTATAAAACGAATGAATTTCTATTTTATTTTTTTTAGTAAAAAATGAATTGTACGTTTTGTTTGCTAACACTACTAAAAAACAATATTTAACGGTGGTTTATTTTAAACACATCTAAATAAACGGCCGTTTAGGTACGTCTGCTGCACGTTTAAGATACCGCAGTAACATTACGATTCTTATACATACAGGACGTCTCGCGGAGATCCAATAACTTTTGTTCTGTTCAGTGTTATTACATTTTTCTTGTAGGTAACAATTACAACTATGGAGCTTTGATTTTAATACTTTATTTATTTATTTATTTTTTATATATATATGTGAGCACGTGTGTTTTTTTTCAAAATAAGTGAAGATAATAACGTTATCGTTCATAATATGTCCTACCTATATATTATTAGGTATTTGTCTCGTTTCTTATCGATTTCCACACACGATACGTATACGTGCCATTCACGTGTCACGTTTATTTTTTTTTTCGCAATTATCCACACGCTATTCCTGGTTTTATTTTTTGTATCCTATGGAATGGACCACGCGCGCGCACGCTTGTGTGTGTTTGTGTGTGAGTATGTGTGTGTGTGTGTATATGTGTGTGTGTATCCCACTAGCATATATTAACATAGTATAACGCGTCAATCTACCTTCTCGTTTTTTTTTTTTTTTTTTGTACATCTATTTTTAAGTAGCCGTCAGTACATGTATACGCGGACGACGAACAATACGAAAATATTATAACGGTTTTTTTTTTTTAATAATAATAACTACGATAATAATATTATATTATATAGAAAATCGAAGTTTGACGAACTAAACAGTAAATGACTGCCGCCGCAGTTTCTACGAATTTTTTATTTAATTTTTTTAACGTTCTCAAAACGAAAATATTCGCGCCATTGTTATCGCGGTTATTTGAGAGGCCCGTCACACGTGCAACAGCCTTTTTCAGTTATCCGTCATTCGGACGGGTGATGATATCATACAATCAAAAACGTGTTCGCGCGCGTAAAACAACGCACAAAAAGACCTTTACAATTGGTTTTAGCGACAAAACACCCGTTACTAATAATTCGCGTAAATATATTCGACTCGCCATGCCAAGGAACGAAAAATTGTTTTTTTTTTTTCATCCGGAGCGAAGCGAGAAGGATTGTATTGGTTTTACTATGATGCGGTTGTTTTTTGTCAATTTTCTACCGGAAATCTTGCTCCAATCAAAAATTGTGTAGAAACTTTCTCGTAGATTTTTTTTTGTACATAGGTGATGCATTGAGAACATAAATTTTTTTTTCCTCGTAGTTTTTTTTTTTCAAAGGGAAAACCGGCAAATTTGTTGTATATAATTTTTGTCGATTTTTTGGTTGCTTCGACCACAAGTAAAGAAAAAATACGATTAATATGACAAACCGTTAAATATACTAAATTACCTTCCAACTTTCCTCCCGAAACAATGGCACACCAGCAGTATCGGTTTTTTTTCTCTTATTCGTAAATGAGTATAATTTTTACATCGCGTTATCTTCGAAATGTCTCGAGAAGACAAAAACATCACAGCAGTTACGTTAGTTTTTGTTTTTTTTTTCAAAATAGCTTATCTTTTGTTTGGCGATATTTTTTAGGAAATAAGAACAACGCAGCCGCCTCAAAAACAGTATATTTTTTTTAAATGTCACCTTTGTGTGTTTATAACTATCGATAATAATAATTCCATCTAAACGCCACGGTTCACAATCTAAGTCACGTATAATTTCGCAAAATATGCCGCCAGACCGATGGACGGTATAGATATAAACGCGAGTATCGCGTCCTCTTAACAATTGTATTTTTCTGTAATCTAAATCCGTACAATAAATATCGATGTTTGCGCAGTTCCTTTATTTTTAAATTTTTTTTGTTCATCTTATTAAATATTTGTCCCGAAACGATGATTTACTGAACGTGCTCACCTCATTTTTTTTTTCGTTAATTTTTGCACAAGTGGAATGTCTCGTTAACGGGTTGACGGAAATCAAACATTTTGGCACCGAAATTTATGGCATTTTTAATACACCCAAGTTCTCATTTGAAAAACCAAAGTTGTTATCGCCACAAGGACGTACTTCTTAAATGTTGTGAAAAATCCAAGTATTCGAAAATATCGGCTTTGATTTACGCTTGAAAATTCCAAAAATCAGAATACCGTGCACTGTTCAACCGAGAAAATGGGGTGAGCACGGCTTAGTGAATCGCCCTGTATATGCCATAAAAATTATTGTGATAATTTTCGCGCCCGCGGCAGGTAACGCGCGAAAAAATTTAAGACAAATCGGGCGAGTTTTTTTTTTCCTTTTTGAGAATCCCCACGTTTCCAATTAAACGGGTACGCGTAATAAACGGTACGCACAATTCCGACTGCGTATTATTATTATTATTATTATTATTATTATTAGAGCACAGTATCTCACAGTACGGGGATACCTTTGCGATTATTGCGGTTTTGGACGGGCACGCGCGTTCGGGATAACATCGCGTCGGGACTCGGAGTCGCGTATACGCGCGTGCGAGCGGGAGGCAGGGTAATCGCCCGAGTAATAATTCAAACATATTCGTACGGTACGGTTGTCGCGCGCGTAAATTATAGGTGTTGCTATGTATACATTTGGGCCGTTTCTGCGGACGTATTACGCGGGGTCGTGTAACGTATACCACACATACCGGGTGATCCATTTAAGCGGGCACGCTCGTTATCTCGGAAAGTGTTAACTTTTTCCGGAATTCGATTGCCAGAACATTTGAGAAACAAGCCGCTCTACAATCGCATATTCACGTTGTTCCCGGGGCTAAAACTACTACCTGCTTTGGATTTTCAAACGGCAACCTGTATTAAAACTTTCATAAATAGATGGAGTATTAGTTAAAATAAATTCGAGTGTTGGAATTTTCTCGATTTCTGTCAAGCCGTTGACCGAGACACTGCACATTTGAGTAAACGCACAATAATCGGTAAACCTAACCTAGTTTTTTCCTTTTTTTTTTTTTCTGAAAAAAGCACACGGAACGAGTGCTGCAGTTTAGCGCCCTTGGCCCTACGTCTATGCACGTCCTGCGCGCGCACAGTACGCACGGCCCTTAATATTGTAATACTTTTCTATGTCGTGCTTGTACGTACAACACTCGGAGCGAATAACTTCCGCGTTGAATTCCGCAATGGCGTGTACGTGCACAATAAGTATTGTTACGATAAATACGATAAACGTACGCGGAGTTGACGTTTGAAGTTTGTACGTTCGTATCATGCCCCGCGTTTTAGGCCCCCGGTGGCGCGCAGCACTTCCCGCCGGTAGCCTTTCGCGCGCCATTTCCGCCCGTCATCTCCGCCCGATGAAATTTCACGGACCGTCCGCTCGACATTTACAATTATTAATCCACGGGAAATCACGTTTATTGAATATTACGATTAAACCAATACACGCTTGTCGATTTATTCATTGTTATAACTTAATACGCTTGACTCACGAGTACACATTATGGGTATACATGTTTTATAACCGTCCAATCCAATAATTTGATTTTTGAACGAACGATAAATTTAATAAACGTTTTTTTTGTGTTCAAATTTTTATGTTTGACGATTAAAATGCGTTTTCTTTCTTTCGCGCCGGTACGTACATTCCAAGCTCAAGCCTTCCATTGATGAATTCGGTGTATTGCATATTAGTTATTACGGAAAATCTAAGCGTATATAATTACGTGAAATATTATTTATAACCACACCTATCGTCATTATCGTTTGTTCAAAACTACTCGTATACAAATTCGACAGCTTTAAACAATTTGTATGATTTTCAATTTTGAGCAAACAGCCGACCTTGTATCGATCTCGAAGGGTGTGGATTTCGATAACCGGCGTAAATGGCGCGAAAAAAACGTTGAGCGGAAAACACACGGGCGGAAAGTGCACGGCGCTTTCTACCCGTAGAAACCATTAAAACGTTAAGCCCGGAACACGTGTTGTTGTGATAAACTCGATTACATTAATACACAACGCCTAACAGTTTACACCTATTGAACACCAAATATCGACCATACACAATCAATTGTACTTGATTACGTATCTATTATTTGTTCCCGTTTTTCTATTTGTTTGTTTTTATTCGGTTTTTACGCGTTGTTTTCTGTTTAATAGTGAGAAGAATACAATTGGAAATCGCAAGTAGACACCGATACTATATAAACCGATGTTCACAATGGTGTGCCCGCAATACGCGTTTTATTATTTATCTAAAACGAACAAATGGTTCGAAACAGATACATCGATCATTAAATCGCATTTAAATTTAACATCGAATTACAACGAAATTCGATACGTACACTTTTTGTTTGGAAATTCGACCCCGCCTGACCCCATCGCAGGGTTTACGGGGTATATTTGGAACGGAAATTTAATTGAATTTTTTTCGGGTCGATTTATGCGCTAACCTAGCTAGTCGACGCGGATGCGAAAAAACGGTCGCCCATTATGATTAGTTTTGGTCGCGCACAGACAACGGGAACAACAGTAGCCTTTTTTACAAAGACAAATTACCCGGAGAAACGGACAGACACGTGCGTCCATGAATTCCCCTATTACCGGTTTGTGTTTTCGAAAGGATTGAGCCCGGGCACCTAATAGGTACCGGGTAATTAAGCCCTCACAATTCGAAGACGGCGCACGGACTTCATGCTATTAAAAATACACGAGCGCGATAATAATTCACACGAAGATAAAAATGTAATTTCGTACAGACATACAGTATTATTATTATCTCTTGCGGAGATACACACGGTGATAAACGGCGATAATGATATTATACGGACGCTAAAAATATAATCGGAACGAATAAATCGTTGTATGGCTCACGCTCTAGCGCGCGTCCTATGGCCGCGCAAGAGGGTGGCATATTTGTGAAAATGCCAAAAATCGGTTTACCGAAAACAATGACCGTCTCTTTCATCCGGGCCGCCGGCGGGAAAATAAGTGCGTGTATTTCGGTATTGTGGACGCCGAACGTCGTCATTGCGACGACGATGCGGTAGTCGGGTCCCGGCGGAAACGGGGCTTGCGGGTTTCGCGTGTGCGTGTTCATAAATGCGTCGGTTAAATTTCGAAAACCGCACTAATACGCTGCGCGCGCTAAACGTTTTCGAAACGCACGCGCGGCTTGGACCGAAAAATAAACTGGGCAAAAAATCATGCAGGGGGGGGGAGCGGAAACCCGAAAAATTGATTCGAGCCCTTTTCCCCTGCGGGACCGAGGAATAAAAATAAACGACTATTAATAGACTACGTGTTATCCCTGTAGGTACCTGTCACGCGGTACGGCTTTTTGGGCACGGCGTTGTCTTCGAGCAGGGGCGAGTGTTTCCTGGCCGCCGACGCGACGGTGGCCATCATCAATGTCGTCACGAGAACGCTGCACAGTGCGGCGACGGCGATGGATTTGCAGACGGCCATCGCGGCGGACCGCTGCGGCAGGGACGGTGGTGACGGCGGCGACGTCTGACGACGCGTGTTACGCGGGCGTACCGCAGAATATCCAATACTAGTTTTCCACTACTATTATATGTAACCGGGGAGTTTTCCGACTATTTTTTCCCCACTTAATATTTACGGCGGGCCGTGGGATCGCGGGTACGCAACATCACAGCCGAGTACCTCCGGCACGGTCGTCGCTGTTACGAGGGGCGGAGGGCCGGGAAAATTAATCTATCCGAAACCGATCGGGTGTATAATCAATCGTTGGACGGCCCGAAAAGGGAAAAATTCCGGGGATGAAAAAAAAAAAAAATTAAATTAATCAAATTAAAAACACGCGGCCGCGCGCGTGGACAGGCGCGTAAAGCGACGGGATATGCACGACGACGGCGGCGGGAGACGCAAACACGTGCGAAGCGAACGCGTACGGGCAGCACACTGGCGAGTGGCGACCGTCGTCGTTGTCGTCGTCGTCTGCCGCCCGCCGGCCGCCGCCGTACGTAGCGTAAGCGTAAATATACGTACAATAGTAGTTTGTACGGCGTGGCGGCGGCGGCGACGGTGCGTATACGCGCACTCGCACACACCGGCCGGCCGCCGTCGGGTGGTGCAGACTGCCGTCACGCGGGGCCATTTATATTTCTACCCGCCGCGCCGTCGCCGTCGTCACTCGTCGCGCCGCCAGAACTACGATGAGCCCAGCAGCGGCCGGCGCGGCGGCGAGAAAAACGTGGGCCGCGGGATTTGACGCCACAGCAGCGGCGGCGGCGGTCGTACGCACACAGTATATACTAATATTATTTACTAGCGACGATTAATTACCGCCGTGACTCGGGAGCGCACGCGCGCCCGCGCCAACCGTCGACGCCGTCGCCTGAAACAATGAGTCGTATACACACGAACACGAGACACCTTTGCCGCCCGCCGCCGATCCCCTGGCGCCCGCCGCCTCGTATTATGCCTCTCCGTATATATTCTGTATTTTATTATCATCGTCGTGCGATTGTTGTTTTTGTTGTTGTTGTTGTTGTTGTTGTGTCGACGACGCCGCCGTCGCCGCAACGCAGCCACCGCCTCCGCCGTCGCACGTGCCCCGCGCGCGCGACGACGGTTCTTTCGCCGTTTCACGTGTGGTGGCGGCGGTGGCGGCAACGAGTTGGACCGGGCGCAATAATTGGTCGGGCGGCAGCGTATGATGGTCGAGCGCGGGCGCGCGCGTGCGCTCGAATCGCCCTAGGGGAGGTATTGTCGTTCCCCTCCGTGTACGTTAAGCACTGCCCCGACAGTCAGCACTTTTTTTTTTTTTTTCCCGTTCGACTTTTAACGCACGCGTCGCCACCGACGTTTTGTATACTCGCGCGATTACAAGGACTTTTGAACAATATTAATGGGTATACTGCACAATAATACATACGAGTTGTTTTCAACATTTAATTTTCACCGTTATTACACCAATAATAATAACATCGTGTGTACAAACAACTGCACTGTTTTACTGACAACTCACATACGTATAGAGAAAGAGAGAGAGAGAGAGTTGAGCAATAAACTTTAATAATAATACATTAATACATAAAAAATAAAATACACGTTATAATGGTTTTATTTGAATATATATATATAATATGTGAGTGTATTCAATTTTCGCGTTTAATGTGTACTTTGCACTACTTATATGAACTTAATAGTACTTAATTACGAATTAATTTGAATATTTATTGTATAGAATATTATATTATACACTGTATTTGTATTATCGGATAGGTACATAATTATACTTAATCTGTTGAATATTGTAAGTTATACAAAATTATAATACGGTCATAACGCAGGTAAAAAAAAAACGATTTCTCATTTTCGTTACGCAATATTAAATAGTTAATTATACCGTTTGTGCGGTAGGTATTTCAGAATAAGGTATTCGATTTTTCATAAAAGTTTCTGTATACGAGAAGATTTGTTTTCTTTTGTAATCGAAATTCACCATTTTCGGTGGTTACTTATAGTTAAAAATCAAACGATGTGGATTTTCCTCACAGTACTGCGGGTAGTATTATTTTTTTTTTCGACATTCCCAACATATTATCTTGACCCCGGGGAGGGGGGTTTATCGCTAACCTCCCTCCCTCCTATGCAGAGTACTGTAAGGCACTATAAATCATCCCTATAATATGTATATTCAATACTTTCGCGATTTCTCATTAAAATATAAATGGCTTACCCAGGGTGCATGTGTAGGTAATGTCCGCATTTTTATTATTACAATTTTTATTGATTTCTGGTTTCTTAAATTACCGTTACATGGATGAAAAATAAAAAATATTAATACATATTGTCCATTATATCACATAATAATATAATGGCAAACAAATTTATACAGCACTCCTTAAAATAATTTTTTTTTTATATCTTAACTTCTCGATTTAACAAATTATTTTGTATACAGAATATATTTATATTCTCGTGTCATAAGCATGTCAGGTGCATTGTGTGTGTGTGTATATATTTATCAATGATTGGACCGTTCACTAAAAAAATTTAACTCGTTCACGGTTGCGTTCAATGTCAGAAATAAAAAAAAACGAATGTATTCTCATTCACAGTATTTTTTTTTTCTAAACACGTTCATCTGGTCATTTTTTTTTCTCTTTTTGCGGGTACCGCGAGATCCTCACGACTCTTATCGTAACCTAACACTTGTATTATTATTATTATTATAATTATTATTATTATTATTATTATTATTATTATTATCATTATCATTATCATTATCATTATTTGTTCGCAAACAATAATATACCTACCTACGCGTATTCGCAGGAAAACAAAAACCGTTGGTTCACAATGATTACTCTAAAATGTAAATATACAATTACAATAACTAGGTATTTATTTATGTTGGGCCCTAATTATTCATCATTTCACTCGTATTGAAACAAATCGAAACACGCTTTAATATATGTTCCGAATTGAGATTATAAATAATTATTACTTTACCCGCATGGAGTTGTACTGCAGATATTAATATTTTTATTTGCTGTTAAATTACTCTTATTATATACAATCAAATACACTCATACACACACACACACACACACACACATATATATATATATATAATGATAAATAGTCGTTGACGGTAAAAAAAAGTGTTTAAAATAAATACATTTTAATATTAATATTATATATATATATGTACTCTAAAATACCGAATGCAAGCCAAAAGACGTATCCCAAAAATATGTATTACAGAATAGAGAAATCACAATTTTTAAAAATAAAATGAAACGAGAGCCAATTTTTTTTAAATATATATTTGTAATTACAACTATACAATATTTTAATGTTGAAGTAAATAAAATAAAACTATATGTATATATATACTATGCATATATATATAATAAATGAAATCTAAAATGTAGACAAATTTAAACTAAGAAGATATAATAGCCCGCGACGCCATTGCTTTTAAAATAAACAACATAATATGGTTAAGTAGCTATTACAATATTATAATGTTAATATGTCTAATTAGGGTCTATAAATTATATCAAGGTGCACTTAAATGATGTTTAAAACTGAAAAATCGTTCGTAGTACGCCAAAAGCTGCAGCTAAAATAAATTAAGCTAAATATATTCAAAACACAAAATGTGCAATGATAATTATTATCATTATATTTTATTTCTAAAGTTAATATCAGTACCGTAGTCAGGCAACAAATTTGGGGCACTAATAATTTGTATTTACTAATTTTTAGATTAATAAAATACACCGGAGTAACCTAAATAATCGACCAGATATCGCGTTTTTTTTCGTGTGTCATCTTCTTCGAATTATTTATCCGACTTCCCTCTAGGCCCCTTGATGCGATTCGTCAATGTGGATCCCACTTTTATCTTTTAATTGATTTGTTTTTAATAATTTTCAATCAAATACGTACCATTTATCATTTTTGTTGTTTTGTTCGTTATCATCACACAACCTACGAGACTGTTACTGTAAATGGCGTTTGGCGTTTAACATAACAATAATGAATATAATATTAATTTTAAAAAAAAAATCGGGAATGGGGATGCTTACCCCCCAGTGTCCCTCTCTGAGTACGACGCTTATTAATATGACCGTCACTGAACACGCAGGACGAATATAACATAATACTTTATACACACATTGTATTTATAGAATATAATAATATAATATTATAATCGCCTTTAAATTAAAAATATAACGTTTTCGCACCAGTTTAAGTATTATATCTTACATATCCTACTAAAATTAGTAACGAAAAAGATATTTCAAAACAAGTATCTGTTTACTCGATACTAAATACATTGATTTTAGTAGGTATCTAGGTACAATAGAAACTATAGATACCGATAAACAAATTATTGGGGACATTTTTTGAAATTCCTTCCATTTTTGTACAATCACTTAATTTGTAATGTATTTTTCGGAAAGCCAGAAAAGGAAATAACTCAGCTATCGCCTCCCTTCGGGTGCATATAAACAAGATACAATAAAATGAATATCTGGACACTCAATATTTTCCAGAATCATATCGCAATACAACATACAATTGTATCTAAGATTTTACCCAATCCTGATTCCTGAATACAATACTATATTTCTACATAAATAAAATAGTTGGTTGTTTTATTACGATTATAGATTATAACATTAAACACAGTATACGTATTAATTGAACAACTACGTAAGTGTTAATAATTATTGTATTCTATCTATTTGTTTAATGTAAAATATAAAAATTCGAATTCAATAAAGTGACCATAACTTGGCCTTTTTTGGAAAAGATGATATAATGTGAAAATCATCCATTGTTATATAAATCACTATTATTTATGATAAAATAGAGAGATTACAATGGGCAGAGCACATGTAGCGTGCAGGAGATCGTCTCGTAAACAAAGTTATAGTTGAAGTACTCAGTGAGAAGACATCGCTGAGGAAACCACGCCGGAGATGGTTTGACACGGCGAAAAGAGACCTGATAAATCCCAATTATAACATCAACCTGGCGATCAACAGAAATCAGTGGAGAGGAATTTTAAAAGCGGTGAAAGACCTAAATGGTCTATTTTAATAAGCCAGGAAGAAGAAGATTTATAACTAAACAATAAAAAGTATTAGTGATAACCTGGCTAAACTTAACTATAGAATAGAGTAATAATTCTGAAGTGGTATTAATATGGATATTGGAAGAAGTTTGTAAAAAGAGAACTAAGCAACCGAACAAAGTAATCAGAAGAAGTTTAACTTAACATTTTAGATTCTTAACACATAGAAAAATTTATTGGTTTATTATGATATGTTTTTTTTAGATTCTGAGCGGAAATGAAGAATGTGTTGGTTTTACTACGTAGACAATTTTTCCTATTTATAAATAAATTTTATACTAAAAATTTTGAT